TTTTTTTTTTTTTTTCTTTCAAATAACACGCACACAATATTGTAAAAATATACACGGCGTGCACATCTGTCTCGCGGGCGGAGTGAAACGACCCCGAGACGCTGTACCCGGCGAACGTTTTACCACTTTTGTTGTTATTATTTTATTATTATTTTTATACGCACATAAATATCGTCGCTTCGCGAGATCCGCCGAGCATTGTCCGGGAGCCGGCGGCGCAACGTCGTCAACGATATTCCCGTATTTTACGTTGCAACGACGAGATAATAATAACATAATACCGAACATTTGAGAAAAATACATTTACGACGGTTTATTTTTTATTTTTTTTTTTTTTCAGGTCAGAAAACGTTTTGTCAAAATCGGTCCCCGGCCTGACAATACGCTACTACCTGCGTTCATATGTTATTATCGTTACGGCGGCGGATCGAGTCGGCGGGAGGTCGGGCATTTTGCACCGGCGATGGGGGAATGGGATTGTATCGTCACGGACAACTGAAACGTAACACGCTCGACGAATCTATTATTTTTCTCCGGTAATTTCGGAATGTATCGGTTTTGCAAAAATGTTTTTTTTTTCTTTTTCAACGTGAACGCTTTTTCTACCAGAAAGCTTTTTTCCGATTGTCAAGTTCGGCACCTTTTCCGAATGGAAAACTTGTGCTCTGGATGGTACTGTAAATAGGTAATTTATTGGAATTCTCATTGATGTCCGAATGACAATGAGCAAAACCTGGTCCTTTGGGTTAGAAGACATTGAAAGGTTGGCAAAATTAGGTCGCCGTCGGCAACCGTTTTCAGTTATTTTCGTCATCATTGAGGTTTTATTTTTTCAATCATTTTCAAACAATCACTGCCGGTCACGGAAACGCACATTGTTGCAAACGTTTTACCATAACGTGGCGTGCATGTTGCGCCGGCAAAGCAACACCGAGTCCACCGAGCTGTTATTTTAATTTTTCGCGCGCGTAAAACCACCCCCCCCCACCCCTAGCACCCCCTAGTCTCGCCTTTGCGCCCGCAACAGCGGCCCACCCATCGCGCCAAACGCGTCCGTTTGTTTTTTTTTTTTGTCTTTCGTATCGACACGTTTCGCGTAAATCCAATTACACGCACACGCACAAAAACGTACCTCGGAAAATTCGCCGCCGCCGCCGCCGCCGCGAATTACACTATTGTATCGCGTACGCGCCCGCATTCGCACAATCGTTATTTTTATTATTCGTGTTGCGCGAGGTGAATCGCCGCGTTATTATTAACCGTCCGTCCGTCCGTCCGTCCGTCCGGCGGCGACCCGGGGCGACGTCGGGCTCCACATTGTGCGCGGCCCGGGTCCGGCGGACCGGGTACCGCGCCGTCGCAACGATATTATTATAATATCGCGCCGTTGTTGTTGTCGTCGTCGTTATTATTATTATATTCTCGTATTCTACTCGGGAGACGGTAATGAGTTTCGCCCGTACACGGGTTCCTGAGGGGGCGTCCGCGCGGAATGCGAGAGCGCGCCCAGCGACACGGCCGTTTGTTGTTCGCGTCCTCGCGCGCGCGATTTTTCACGGTCCGCGAATCGCGGGCGGCGCGGCGCGTTGGCACGCACGCGCGGACGGACGAAGGACGTGCGCGCGGCGATTATCGCGCGGCGTTATTGTTACTCCCGTCCGGCGCGTCTCGTTCGCCGACATCCCGGGACGACAGTGTTACGCCGCGTCCCGCGGGCCCGAGTTGATTGCCGGGTTAACGGTCAGGTTTCGGGGGGGGGGGAGGCGTGCGGGCGCGCCGAAATATGCGAAAACCCCGTGATGATAATATCTCGTTTTTCACTACGAACTTTTAATGGTCCGAAAAGGGTTGAGCGTTAAAACTCGCTGAAAAACCAATAGCCTTACCGGGGAAAAATTCTGATCGAATGAACGGTTTAGAAAGTTATAACAGATACGCAGACGTACGTTCGTTTTTGTGCGATATAGCCGTCCGGACAATGCTCTGTTATTGCTAAATTGTATTATTGTTATTATTATTTTTTTTGTAGCCGAATTAACAAACAAATAATCTAGTAGACACCGTAGATACGTTTTGACAATAGGCACCACATAATCAGAAGAAAAAAAAATAATAAATAATATTTACTTTGTTACCGAGGTAACCCAATCGACGAATATTATACCACAAAATACCAAAATCCCCGTCAGCTATCCTTTAGGGATTGAATTTTAAAAATTGCAATGGCTATAAACGTTCTCCGGACCACGCGGAACATTTCGCGATTAAACCCCGTTAAAATCGGTCCAGCAGTTTCTGAGTTTACAAAGAACAGACGGGACAAACATTCGTTTTTACACAATACTCTAATGTCGTATTAAAAATCATTGCGAAAACCATTCAACGACAGAAGTGTTACGATTAATCGATAAATTCAGTTATACAAACACACGCGGTTGTCGGTGACAACCAAATAAATTAAAGTAACCCTTGTAATAAACAAACAATAATAGATGTTCGTACCGAAAATACCTGAAAACTCCATTTTTTTTTACTTCTTAGGCGTTGAACATTCAAAAATCCTTTCTTAGCGGATACCTTCGTCATAATAGCTATCTGTGTACTAAATTTCAGCCCGGTCCGTCCGGTAATTTGGGCCGGCCGTTGACGAGTGAGTAAATGTGTCGAACGTCTGACTTTATACGTAAATAGATTTTCGGATTTTACAAAAATCGGAGAAAACTCAAAAAACCTATCCGCTCGACAACCGGTGTAACCGGAAAAATGGTATGGACTTTCCCACTGATCCACCGGGGCCATTTGCCTTTGAGGTGGTTCCGGGTTTGGCCTGTTTTTCGTTTTTACTGACGGATCGGTTTTTCGGGGGGGAGGGTCAACCTCAATCGGGGTGTCGGATAAGATCTTGATCGGCTCACAGCGAGGAAGCGAGCGAGTGCATCCTTGACGTACTCAAGGGTGTCCGCCACCTGGTCGCTGTTGTGCCCAGCAAAATCGGCATCCGGGCTAGAAAAATTTAACAATGAGCAAAAAAAAAAAAAGGCCCGACCTGTCCGTCGGACGTTCACTCATACGTTTGTTATAAAAATGTTTAATTACAATTACGCCGGTAGACGTCGACTACATTCTCGATGTAAGGGGTGATTTTATTAACGGCCTTCTCAACGGTGTTGATATTAGAGAAGTGGCGTACGCGGGATTTTTCAATTGGCCGGGGGGGGAGGGGGGCTTGAAAATTGATAATTAATCAATTGTTTTGACACAAGTTTGAAAAATAAAGTAGATACGCGATCAAATTCGCGCAAATATTTCCCTTGCGGCTCAAACCTACTCAGTGGCGACCACACGTTATAACCAGTGTTGCTCATGCCTCGTTTACTTTTGTGGCGGGAGCGGATAGCGCGTGAACTACTGAACAGTGGATTTATATGTAATACTTACATGTATAACAATTATATCCAACGGATAATTGGTAATGATTAAGTGATATTAAGTACCGTTAATCATTAAATCGTCGGAGAACAACGTAGGTAATCAGAGGTCCGGATTAAGAGGTCCAGGAGGGGCCACGGCCACAAGCAACCGGACACCTTAGTGTTGCGGCTGCATAGCGCGTATTATATATCAATTTAAATTTTTTTTAAATTTAAAACAAAAAAAAAAAAAACATTTCCGTTTTAACTCCTCGACTATATAGATTAATATATGTTTCTGCACAAGCTACTTATAAGTCATAGCAATAATGTATGATCCATCGAAAGTTCTCAATCTGTATGTGTATTCTTTAAAACGGTATGCATCAGGTTTACTAACTCGTAACACATAAGGCGCCCAATGCCCTTGATTATAATCACATTTCTTTTTAAATAGTTTCGATAAGTTTAAAGTAGAAACAATGTTATAACGTTTGTGTAGATCGATTTCGCAAAAATTTAATTGATGCAAAAATTGATGTAATTTTTACAACAAGCACAAATGATATTCATGTTCAAACATATTAAATTAGGCAATTCAATATCTATTGCATTAAGGCAGTTTATGTTTTGAGAGAAGGATCCATCCATTGATGGAACTTCATGGCGGGTGTGGGACCAACTAATTAAAAATAATTTTTGTTTATCACCAAATTACACATTACGTTACCATAAGATGATTATGAAATGTATAAAATGTGTAAGTCTTGAACGTTCTATTTTTACTTATAAAGAAGATGACGATAACACGGATAATAACTTTGTCACTAAGTAAATCTTTTATGTTCTTAAAGTGGTATACACTAAACCGAATTTATACGCGTGAAACAATACACGAGTTTTTTTTTTTTTATTAAAAAAGCAATAAAGTAAGCGTTTTCAGTTTTGTAAAATATTACATAATATTAAAATATATAATATTTTTGTTTTCAAAAGTACATATAATAATTTATTTCTGTAAAAATTTTAAATACACGAATATTTCTTTTCCATTATAAATACATATTTTTATATAAAATGTGCGCCCCTAAAAAGAATTTGCCCCGGGCACTGATTTTTTTTTAATCCAGACCTGTAGGTAATTTTTATAAAACTGCATAGTTGTAATAGAATCGCTTTATACGTAATCCCACATAACGCACTCTTTTCTGGCCTCTTGTACCTTATAACAATTGAAAAAATCCTGTTTAATACGACGATAAAAATGGTGATTATCTAAATTTTTACCTAATATATTACTGTTATGGATTGATTGCGAACAGAAATATTGATATTATTATACTCTTCACCACTTGCCTTCACTCGCAAGTAATGTACAATCAATATCTTCATCGAAACAGGCACTTACTGAATCGGAAAACATGCTTCTATATTTAGGTATATTAAGGGAAACCTTATTATTGAATAATTATAAAAATAACTTATTGAAACAACCAACCATTACCACTTTTTAAAATACTTAAAAAAATTATGCAAGCAACAATTCTTTTTAAATGTATAAAAGTTCATATTAATGAAATGTATATTGACGTTTATATTTGATTTGTGCTATTATGTTATACATAATATGTGACACTTTAAAATCTTTTTCAAATTTAATGTGTCTAGTATTCCGTTTAAAACACTTCAAGAGCGTATTAGACAGGTAACAGATACAGGGATGGAAGTGGTCAATGGTTTGAAAATAAGTGAAATTTACAATTGACTAAAAAGTGACTTTCGTACAAAAATAACATTAACAAAAAATACACTTATTTAACACCAATAGTAATAGTTATAGGTAATAATTATAATAATATGATAGGTTAGGATTGGTATTATGATAGGTTAACAACTAGGCTTTATTATAGAATTTAGTGATAATTTAAAGATAAATAACAACTTTAATTATAACTAAAAATATAATTGTATAAAAATATGCCAGTCTTTGGTAGTATTAGGTTAAATTTATATACAATTTTAAATTTCTTTTTCATCGCATAACAAATTATAACAATATAAGATACCAATGTCTCGTAATAAATATCAATATAATTATTTTTCATAAAATTGTATGATAATACTTAAAAAGTGACCAACTTCCATCCTTGCAGGTATTATGTCATCCCGCATAATACGCGGATTTACAATTTTCTCTTTGAGCATCTTAACGAGGTTTTACTGTATGATAAATGAGCCAACGTAATATAATGCAGTTTCCAACAACGTTCTAAGGATTTTTGTATGTATTAACATTGATTTTTTTTTATAATTGAATTTCATGTACTAACATATGTAGAGAAAATGTAATTTTTATTTTTACCCTTAATTACTAAAAGAAAAACTATTTGTTTCGATATTTTCAAAATGACCGTTTTGTAAAAGAAATTATTCTTAAAATTGTAATGAACCATACATTCATATTCGATCAATAGTAATAACACTTCTAATTTCTAACACGGTAACTTTTACATGAAGAACTTAACAAAAAAATCACCACTTTGATATTAACACGAATATTATGCACCGAGTACATAATTGTACATAAAAACATGTGGTAATATTTGTAATGCCAACAAAATATAAATACTATAAACATTTTAATAGGAACCTTAATAGATAAATATATAAATGATTTATTTAACCAAATTATTTAAAAACTGTAATTTGAAAATAAAGCATAGATTAAATCATAGCTAATATCAAATAAAAGAACAACTTGTCATATAAACAAGATAGAAAACTGGTAATAATATTCACAATAATAAATAGTGAATAATCTAAAATTTATTTAAACTTAAATTTACAGAAACGCATAGAAAAAAAAACATATTGTTATTTACTATACATAACATTTTGTTGGGTGTCTGGTAAACCTACAATTGAATAAAACTGGGACCGCCTACAGTAATAAAGTTGGAAATCAAAGATATACTTTAGATATATGCTCAGTACATCTTTAATTTAAAATTGTAGAAAATTTTTTTTGAGTTTATCTATACTATTTATAAAATTTGGATTTTTACTAAAAAAAAAAAATCACCAGAATAACTTAAAAGGAATGACAAAGGTAAAAATCTGAATAAATTAGTATAGTTCTTATATTATTCTTAGTAAAGGCTATCAGTGTTTGAGGACCGAGGTTTTTTTATTTTGTCAAAGTTCTTGATCACAATGTCGTGCATTGTAGAATAACGATTGCGTATTTCATGCATGGTAAGGGCCATGGATAAATAAGTTCTTTCGTCCAATTCATCTACAGCTCGTCTATAATCTTCTACAGAAGGGTATTTCAAAATCTAAAACATGAATAATTTAAAAATTATAATCATTTTTTTTTTTTCAAAATACAATCGTTGACTAATATATAATAGAACTAAAATTAAATGGCTAGACATTCTTATTACAAAAATATCTAGCAGTATCATATGTTATTAAACCATTAAAGTTTTTAGATTTTTAACGTGGGGTAAAACACTTAGTTAGCACTCAATATTAATAAATATCATTCTATGTCAGTATGACCTTTACCAAAAATAGGTCTCCGATAGTTTTTACTTACATGATGAATTTCTGTCAGTAAACTAAAAACATAATTTCGGCTTCTAATTCCTACTCTCTTAATCTCCAAGTTCACAAATTAATTGCATTACATGCAAAGCTTATAGATGGCTGGGATTCATTAAAGGAATTAAGTGAATTTAATTTTGCCAAAAAAACATACATGATAAATAATCTCAGTATTTATACACATAGTATCATAATAAAACTATGATGCTATACTCGAAAATTAAAATTTAACATAATGTTATAATAAGCTATTTAGAAATATAGTCAATTAACAAATAAAGTCCCTATACAAACATATTATAAAGGTAAAAAAATTCACAATCAATTTTATAAATATTTTAATTATCTTATTTAAGTTTTATTTCATTGCATTTATTCAGAATATGAGTATTATAATATGTTTTAATAAATATATTAGAGACTATGATTTCCTACGGGTATTTAAAATACACGGGTACACGGATAGACTTGTATTAAACCGTGTAGTTATAAATACATGTGTATTTAAGTAGAAATAAATGATATAATAATAAATTTATTTCATTTACTATCATTTATTTCTACTAAGAAATAATTTATTTATATATTTATTAATGAGTATTAACCATTTAATAATTTTTGTTTTTATTTTTTTAATATTTAATTATTTAATAATGCTTGCGATTTTGACATTGACCGTTGCAAGATCACATCCAGTAACGTATTATTGTTTGTTTTGTAGTTGATATTTTTTCTATATCTTTAATTAATAAGTTATAATTTATAATGTTTTCCAAAACTGAAATGCTAGACTAATATCTTCCATTATTATTTATTGCTGTTACATTTGTTTTTTTTTTTTATACCTATCTTTAATTAATTATAATTTATTGTGTATCATGTAGTAGGTACCTATAATATGATAATACTATTGTATAATATTAACAAATAAATAACATAATTTTTGTTGACAATATATAAATGTATTACACGGTGTAACTTTAAATTAGAATATTAATATTCTAAGTCATTGGACGTGATCACGCAACGATCAATGTCAAAATCACAGGTATTATTAAATACTCATATAATAGTAAATACACGTGTAATTATGAAACACGTGCATTGATCCGTGTGTTTAAGTACACGTGAAATCATAAGCCCTAAAATATATATATTTAATTACAAATTTAAAATAATTATTATATTATTAATTTATAAATTATATGCATATATTATACAAATTTTAGATTCAAAGTTAAAAACAATACCAGGCACATATAACATTTTTGAAGTTTGTATTAAATTAATTTTTTCAATAATAAAATTCAAAATTTAATATTTAAAAATATCATTAATTAATAATTAATTGTTTAACACTATGATGTTTCAATATTTTAAATTTTATGTTTTCAACCAAAAGACTTTGTTCAATTGAAAACTAAAAATGCTTTTTTTCTTTTCTTTTATTGAATTTTGGGACCTAGTTAGTGAATAAGAAAGGAGTATTTTGATTTTCCATCCAGTTTTTATAATAATTGGGAAAAACCAAAAAGAAAACATAGGAAATAAGGGAAGATTTAAGGCACTAATGGTTTTGTTATTTTCAATTTGGTTAAAAATTATTGTAGAGAGCTAAAATGTACACAGATTACTTAAACAGGATGATTTATTTTTATTGTGCATCAACAATTTTTATGATTTTTATTTATCATTAGGGAATTGTTCAAACTTTATTTCAAAATAATTTTTAATGTTTTACCATTACTAAGAACTCCCTTTTTAAACACAGATTCAAATAGATAATATAATAATAAACATTTTCATATGTATAAAAATAATATCAGATTTGCAGTTTGTCAGTTATAACTGTTTAATGTTTAGACTGGAGGAGTAGAGAAGGATAATAAATTACATATCTATTTCTAAATGTTAAATTGGCAACTCTAAGAAATTTATTGGTTGATGATAAAAAATATCTTTCTGTATTAATTTTTTCTAGACATGGTCAAATTTTCAAAATATTTCGGTGGTTTTTTTATAATTGTTTTTAAGATTTAATTTTTACCAAAATCTTAACAATATGACAGGCTTCCAAATCATATACAAAAAACATCGCTCAGAATACATTTTTTTTCTGAATAATTAAATATATGGAAATGATTATTTGTATATGACGCACACATAGTATTAATAACTATTAAACCTTTATTATTGCTATTGAAACATTTAGATTAATACAAACCTTGGTGACTAGTTTTCCACGAGCTATATAATAGCGAGACACTTGTTCAAGATAATTGGTAGCTTCAACTTCGACCTGTTGTATTTCAGCAAGAGTATCTTCTTGAACAGATACCCCGAAATTGTTACCATCTTCAATTTTTGGAATTAATAAGGATACCCACATTTTTAGCTGAAAAAGATATTTATTATTAACAAAAAATTTGATTGAAAAGGGGTTTTCATTAAGAACGGCGGATTTAAATTGTCCATTAATTTTTGTTCCGCTCATTAGCTGACCTGTTTTTTTTTTTTTAATATCATGTTATCTCTTCGAAATGAGATACTATAAACATTTATGATTTATTTTGTTTATATAACCATTGTACGACTTATTATTGAAGAATGCATTTTAATTGTTAAGATTTTTTATTGTCACAATCAAAGTTATGTCGAAACAGTGTGTAAGCTTTGATGGATTATGGGTCAAAATGAGGCACCTAATGAGTCAACAAATTGCCAACTGATGACTAAATTTGAGGAAACTGACTCAGTGCAAGATGCATAAAAAAATTCCTACACGCCAACACAGTCGCAGATCACTTTTCAATCAAAAAATGGTTATTGAAGTTACAGGAGTTGGTGACACTGATGAGTTCATTGTATCAAATTATGAAAAGAGATTTTGATTTGCATCCCTATAAATTTCAATTGTCATAGTAACTCAAAGTTAGCGATCACGAGAAACTGGATATGTGTCAGCAAGCAATAGAAAATTTTTATGCCATAACTAAAGCCTGCCAGCGAAAGAGGGGCGTCTACATGCCAGATATTATATTCCATGCATAAATTGTAGTGTGTATACTACATATTCATATAATTATTTTTGTCCTTAATATTTGTTTTAAATAAAGTAATAACGGAATTAAATCTAACATTCTTAATGAAACACCCTGTATAATATAAATGTATTTCACTTACAGCATTAGTGTCTTCAACCAACTGTTTGATATTGGGTTTCAGAATTTTAAAAACTTCAGTAAGATTCTTATTAGATGGTATGAGTGGTTGTTCTGGAGTTGCATCGTACGAATTTGAATCTAAACGTGGCCTTTTGCCAGGATTTTTTCCATCACAACTGTAATAAATCAAATGTTTAAATATAATTTTAGTAATTAAAAATTAAAAAGAAATTTCAGAATGTACATTATTTTGTAAAATTTTTACAAAAATGTTTTTTGTCGTTTTATCACTATAGCTAGGTAGATATAGATATGAAACTGAAGTTTAATATCTTTATAGATTAATACTGAATACGTTATTGCCCATTTTTTTTTTTTTTTTTTTTTTTGATCAGTATTTCAAAACACAAAAACAGCATAAATAATATACCTATAACTTTGGAATATGCATCAGTAATTTATTATGGAATAGTGAATTTTTTTATTTTATTATATCAAAAGAATATAATATTCTATATAGGTACTAGGTACATGGACTGAGTGTAGTTTGTGCAACTTATATAAACAATAATTAATGAGTACCTTCTTCATACTCAATTTGTTTATGTTTATTAAAAATAGTTATACTTATATAATATACTGACATATCTTTTGAATATTGTAGGTACTCGACTATTATCAATAATCAATATTAATATGCTATACAGTAATGGGAAAATAGAATTTTTTATATGGAAATTTATTCATGATGTCCTTTGTGTGGTACACGATCAAAGCGAGTAGCTTTACTAATAAATTTTGCATCCTGTGAAAAAATGTGAAATGACACATCTGTTGCTGCTACCCTGTGATTTTATTTCAAATGACGCCAATTGGTACAGCCATTGTTATGGGTGAGAAGTTGAGAAGGTAAAATATTAAATGTTATCAAGAATTGTATAATCTTCCCTTCTATTCGACAAACACCAGCTGATTTACCTCCAATGCATACAAACCAACAGTGTGAAAAACCTCCACTAAGTACATGGTTATATCGGATAACATTTCACATACAATAAAATAATAAATTAAAACAGAATTATTAAAATGGTTAATACTCGTAAATAAATACATAAACAAAAAATTAATAAATGTTATTTTTAAAATCAGTTTGTACATTTAAAAGATTATTCAAATTATTTTTCTTTATTTAATTGTATATATATAATTTCTAAAACTGAATTAATGGAAATGTTATTTTGAGTATTTAATATCTCCAAGTCTGTATTCATATCAAAGCTTATAATATGGGTATTTTCTGAAACATGTTTAGCAATTTAATGTACAAACTGATTTTAAAAATAATATCTTATATCAATACATTTCAGATAATGAATAATAATCAAATAATTTATATTTATTAACACATCTGACTAATAATAATCTATTTTAAATAACTTCTCATATTAAAATAAATTATTTCTATATTCTATGTAAAATGACCAATTTGTATAATTTTTTTCTATAAATTCTTTATATTCAGTCGCGTTTGACATTTTGACTGTGATATGCTCAGTGATAAATGTTAAATTTGAAACCGGTTGTATCATACACATATCATGATAATCCAGGCAACACATTCATTCATTTACTTTACAGCTTACATAGGAGGTTCATTGCTTTGAAGAACAAAAATGTTTTTGCAACATCAAAACGTTTGAAACATTTATCACTAGATGGTATATTTTTTTCTGAATTCAGAAATATAAAAATAGCATTTTACGATTTTTTGCACGTAAGAGGTTTTTCACGCCAAACAATGTAATAACTGGTTTGATCTTCTTATCACTAAATACTTATTAACGTATAAAACCGGCAATACATTTTTGCTTTTGATACAATCAGTAATACAGTATGTACACTGAGCAGGTATCTAAACTTTAAATCAACTCACTTGTTTACACTATTTTCCAATTTGAACACTGTTGGGAGTTCTAAGCTGCATTTAAAATCAATTTCAGAGATACAAAACTCTGGCTTTTTTAGCAATTCATTTAAATAGACAATTCGTTCTGGAAATTTTTGCACAATACGATTCTCGGCCTATAAATAAAAATAAAATTATTTTAATGTTTATTAATACTAAAATAAATAAATGTTTAATAAAGCAAGTCCAACATCTTTGTTTCAATCAAAAATCATTTTTTAAGTTAAGCATGACACAATCCAGAAAACATTTTATTCTCATTACTTCAACAAGACTCATTAATGTGTATTTATGATCCCTGTCTGATAGCAAACTAATATAAAACAATATTTAATTTATTATACAAACATTTCTGTTTTAACAAAATTGATCAAATACAGAGAAAATTAAAATATCTAATTATTATAAATTATAGTTTACAAAAATATGTATTATTTAATAATAAATAAACTTTATCAAGAATGTTCTGTTAACAATAAGTTAAAATAGTCGGAAATATCATTGGTACTTGAAAAGTGAGATACTCAGGTTTGAATTCTGATCTAGTAGCCTGAATTTTAGAGCTTTTTTCAAATTTATAATAGTTCTTATATATTAACACAATACAAAAGACGCTAATTGCAGGCATAAGTACATAATATAATAGTAGCTGAAAGATTTAGTTTTGATTTTGAAATGCACAAGTAATTTATAATCACAAGTGACTTGAAAATTTATTGGTTACCAAATTAGAAAATAATAAATAAACATAAGCGAATTCTTCAACATTAATTATATTAGTTTATATTAATAATTGTATTAGATGTTTATTCCCAATATTTAATTATATAACAAAATACTTATATAAAACATACCTAGGTTGGGTTAGGTTAGTAAGCGAAAAGCATATAACTTAAGACACCATAAGATATTTTAATACAGTAGGTAATGTTTAATGTGATGTTGGTTAAAATTATAATCCATTCATTAAAATTACTTGATATGAATCCAATTTCAATGGTAAAGGTACTGTTAATAATTTGTATTATGTAAGTAATTGGGTATTTAATATCGACTGTTAGATGACTATTTGATAATGTGGTAAATTTAATGTGACATTATGATACACAGATAGAATGGACTCTGGTATCAATATCACAAATAAAATTTACCTTATTGATAGTTGGTAGTATGGTTTTTGTAAGCACCAAAAGTATTTAATATTGTAAATATTTGGATCATAAGTAACAAAAATTAGTATAAATGACAACTTTTTGTCTATAGGTTGACATTTATGGTTGCTTACGATCGTTTTACTAGAATCACGGACTTTTTATCCCCACCAATTTTTAAGATAGGACGTTTGTTTAGGTTATCAGTTTTTTTAAAAACTATTATTATATTTTTTAATTTATTCATAAGTTTATTATTTCACTAAAAATTAATGCATTCATTTTTAATAAACAATTTAATGTTTAAATGAAAATACTACAAATTCAAATATATATTCATACAATATAATTACAAACAATAAAGATTTAAATAAATCACAATTACCTATATTAAGTTAAAAAAAAAATTTAAAAAAATGATATACCATTTTTAGGTCAAATGACTTATGTTTTTAAACAGTACAAAATGTCATCATCATTATACCTATATAGGTATATTAGACATTAGTTAATTTTTAAAACAATTTTTTTTTCCAAATTAAATTATTCATTAAAAATAAATGTATTAATTTACTGTTAGTGAAATAATGAACTTTTGAAGAAATTAATAAATAATGATTTAAAAATATCTGAGAACCTAATGCTATATAATCAAAATATGCCGGGTACCAAACATCCTATGGCTAATAACTCCCTGAGACCAAACTCTACCTTATTCATTGTTGGGGATGAAATATCCGTTTACTGTTATACCATTTATTCAATTCCCTGTGTTTTTACATGACAATGCTAGTAGTGATTTTGACCAAGAAGGAGTTTTGATAATAATTCTATTATTATCAGGTTTTGTTTTTCTAAAATCAAAAACTTTAAAAAGTTATAAATGACCTTAAAAATTGACTGTTAGAAGGCTATTTGGTGTAAGTGACAAAATCACTTTTTACAAACATTAACTTATTAAGCAGTATCTACTGTACTAAAATTATAGTTGATTAATACATACTTCAACCTTCAATGTTTCATGGAATTCTTTAGCCTGAAAATATATTCATCAATTAATATAACTATTAGTTGTCATAATTTTTAATAAAAGTTACAATCAGTAAACACTAGGCGTTTTACCGTGTTTGTTATGGATAATAATTTAATATGTAAGTAATTAATCATTTCTAAAATAAAGACTCAATTTTTGTAAAAACTGTATAAATCTGAACGATATAACCTATTTGTTAGATTAAACAATTGAATACTAGAAAAAAAATTAAATGTGTTTAACTCTAAACAGAAAAACAAAATGAAATGCTGCTTCACATTTATCCACACACACCCAGCAAAATATAAACTTTATTAATATTCCTAAAACATATATTAAATATTTTATACGCCTACAACTTAATTGTGTTGTTTAAAATAATATAATGACTCTTGAATAATTGTAATGAAAATAAAATATTTTAACGAACAATCAAGTTATGATAATACTGCATATTTAGTTTTAAATGATACATATTATGATTAATCAAAGGAATTAAAAATGAATGGCCAACAGACTTTCCGAACAACAAAATTGAAATCGTTTGAGAATTAATCTAGATATATGCAGTACTAGATTAGAAAAAAAAACCAATAAATTTCCAACACCTGTTGAATTGTCAAACGAGTAAATATTTATCGATTACCTATGTTAGTAGTATTAACCATGTTTGATTTTACCTTCTTTGCAGCTTCATTCTGAGCCATTGTACTTAAAATGTTCAATTCGGCGACTGTTAAATAAATATAACACTCGATGAGAATACGTTTTATAATCTATCAACTAATAACTAATGGAAATCGAAATACGAGATTTTGAAACGAAATGAACACAATTACTCTCAATCAACTATATGCGAAATCAGAAAACAAAGCGACCGCAATGAGAAACAAATGCGGAATGCCGAATGAGTACCGAATGACTCGTATGATACATACGGGTTTGAATATTTTAAAATTATTTTCAGGTTATGTTTTTGCGGTTATGTTATACTTCCCAGTACAGATGGCGCACTCGCAGATATAAAACGCATATATATATATATTATGTCTGTAGGCACATTACTTACAGTTCTTAATTTCCGAGATAAAGAAATGATTATAAGTGGTCGTGTTCTAGTATCATAGATAAAGGTGGTTGCAACCACGATTTAAGATAGACTCAAATCATATATAGATAAATAAAATAACTACATAGCAAACTCTGTATACTGGTATGACAACAATTCGAAGTCGTTAACCATTTACAGGTTGGGACAAATACGATTGCAAAATATGATATAATCGACATCCATAGAAGTATTATCAAATTTTCTATCGATTCGATGTTTATCATTTCATAATAGACACAATGTAATAATAAGAACAACAACCGTTAAAATATCAACAATTCACTATCGTTTTTGCCCAACCCCTAAATGGCGTCTGACGTCAATCATAGATACGGGTTTGCTGTTTAGGTATTATATATATATCTATGACTGAAATATCATAAATCGTGTTGGAAACAGTGATCCTTCTTCGTCTTACTCACATTTTTGATTTTGTCACTCTAAAAGTCCTACAAAAAAAAAAAATTCCAAAAATAAAGGATTAGGTATCAATTAAAAAAAATAGAATTAATTTTCGAAGGAATTGAAATGAGAAATCAAAAGCGCGGGATAGTATAGACAAACGGCGACAAATTAAAATCTGCTTTCAGAATTATTATTATCGCTTCACTGGATCATTCGGTGCGTTGTTGGTAGTGACGCGTTCAAATTCTCACGTTCCACATGTATAAGACAAAGACAGAAAATAATCACCGCTTCCAATCCCCTTGGGTACCAAGTCCAATATCTGATCCAGCATCCAAGTTGTCAGTATACTCATAAACGGGCAATTGGTTACCGCGAAATAATACTGTGTGTGGACATATTGGCCGCCGTATCGTCATTTTTTTATGAACTAAAATCACGAAAGAATAATTATCTGAATATTTTTGGTTAAAATATCGTGTTGAAAATGGAAACTTTTTAGTAAGTAAACATAAGGAGACCGAGGGAAGTTTTATTTTCTTATGCATGGACACATTTTAGCTTGTGGTTTTACGATGTTTATTATTATTATTTTTTTTTTAATCTGTGAACAACTTTACTTTTCTATCTATATACCTGACATAACCTAACCTATCAGCAATTTTGTTTCGATTTACACTAATGGCACTTTTTCTGAAAACAAACAACGCGCTTGTTATTAACACGACACGGTAAACCACAGTAGGGGATCCAGAAGTCACCCGAGGGAGAGGGGAGAATTTTCAAAAATTAAATTACCTATTTTTCTATTTAACCTATATTGGTGGCTAACTTATTGTATTATTTCTATAAATTCATAAAAATAATGGTATACAAGTACAGGGTGATTCTCGGGAATAGGGCTAAAAATAGATGGGTTTTTCTCGACGTAGGCTGATCGTGAGAAAGTCGGAAAGGTCTCATTCGATCCGTTAGATAATGCCATTTAGTTTCCACAATGGAGTGTCGTTCACCGTGTGTTCGCCTATGACGCATTTGTCAAAAGCAATGAATCGGTAGTGAAAGTACAGCGTGCATTCAGAATTAATTTTAACATTGGCCGTCGTGGTGCGGTTCCCGATCGGAAAACAATTATGAGATGGGTCACTTCTTTTCGAACAACGGGAATAATTACAAAAAAAAAGCCACCTGGCCCTGTACGTACTGTAACAACTACCGAAAATAAAGAAAGGGTAAGAGCCGCTATTCTCCAAAGTCCACGACGCTCGGTGCGCAAACAAGCTCAGGATTTACAAATTAATCGTTCTTCTGTTCAACGTATCGTCAAGCGTGAGTTAAACTTCCACGACTGTATACAACTATACGAATGAAGGAGTCTACAATATATTACATCAATGACAAAGGTACGTATTACGTTACGTAAATATAAAATCATTGGTTTATCGAATAGAGATAAGATAATATGCGTTTTGTTGTTTCCCAACATACTCTGTCACCATTAGTAGTTAGCGATTGAACGATTTCCTGCGGTACGTAATTAGATAATCAGAATAAAAAAAATCAGATAAAAATTAAAAACAAGTCTGAAATTTAAAAAGGAACGTTAATAGGAACGATTTCCTTTTTTAAGAAACGGGAACGAGTTCATTTTTAAATAAGGAACAAGGGACGGGAACAAATTATTTTTTAAAAGGAACTTGAACAACACTGCGACCGACTCAAAGACGTGTACAGACCCTAATTGTAGGGGGGGGGTCCTATGATTCTGGAAATCTTACCAAGTCTAAGTAAGTTTAATATAAATATTATTACCAAGTTTCAAGTACCTACGTGTATTTATAACCGAATTACAGCAAAATTCTCAAAAATTAAAATTCCTTTAAAGCTCAAAAGTTTTGGCGATGATACCATAAGACAGTAAATCACAAAGGTATCTTATGGCTTTTCGATTAAATAATTTCTTCTGATTGAAAACGTCGTCCGTGTTTTTATAAATTAATGAAATCGTGAAATTGTACGTTTCCCTACGTTTTTTCCCACTTAAGTGATTTTATTTAAAAAATGGCGTCTAAAATCAAAAAATGGACTCTCTAAAATGCAGCCTAGACAACTTGACCTTTCAAAAAAATGCTACACGTAAAAATCGGAGCAAGTTTACTAGGAAAAAACGTGTCCACAGACTAGAAGAAGAAAAAAAATAAATAAATATCTGAGGAAAACTAATAGCTCTTTTGCTGCGCTCAGAATCTAGAATGACTAATTATTTATTTAGAAATTATGAGACAAAGAAAATTTTTCTATTTATCTAAAACATATTTTTATAGGTATTTTTCGATAAAATAAACAAACATAGTAAATAAATAAATAAATACAAATTTATGTATAAAAATAAAATAAATAAATGAATCAATGCTTCGCCTGGAATGTTATAAGTGTATGTATAGTACACTTATCGTATAGATCGGTTTCGAATTAAAAATTGATCACTGGGTATATCAGTCAAAATGTAAAACGCGACTGAATATAAAAAATTTAATGAAGAAATACATAGAAAAAAAAATCATACAAATTGGTCATTTGACATAGAATATAGAAATGATTAATTTTAATGGGACAGATTATTAAAAATTAGATATTATTAGACATATTAAGAAATATTAATTACTTGGTTTTTATTTATTATCTAAAATGTATTGATATAAGATATTATTTTTAAAATCGGTTTGAACATTTAAAATATTATTAAAATTTTTTATCTTTGTTTCATTGTGTATTGTGTAATTCTTCTAAAACTGAATTTATGTAAATGTTATTTTGGGTATTTAATATTTCTAAGTCTTTATTAATGTCAAAGTTTATATTATGGTTATTTTTTAAAACATATTTAGCAAAATTTGAATTAAGAGGAGTCTTTTTTTAAAGACTGCTCGTTCACAAATTACATTTCATTTCAGAAATGTGTTCATTAAATCTTATTTTAAAATTTCTAACCTGTTGTCTAACCTATATAAAATGATTACAGTTACGTTTAAGTTTATATATACCAGCATTTTCAAAAGAAGAGGGATTTTTTGTGACGTTTTTAGGTCTATTGTTTATATGTTTGATTAAATTATTATTTGTCTTAATAGCGATTTTTACATTATTTGTATTATTATTCAGAATTTCAGCGAATTCATTAGACATATTATTTTGATATTTCATATTACAATAGTTAACAACATTATTTGATAAATTGTGTATTATTTTTTTCTTTTATACGTTTATGAATTGTTTTGATAGTATTTAAATTGAAATTATTTCTATGGGCTATATTATAGATAATATTGAGCTCGTGTTGATAGTTATGTTTATTTAATGGAATACGTTCAAGCCTAGAGAATATTGAATTAAAAAATGATATTCATTGCGAATAAGGGTGATTAGAATTGTGTGGTATTATAGAATCAGTTTGTGTAGGTTTCCTGTAACTATTAAAATCAAATTTATCGTTCATTATGGAAACTGTGATATGTAAGAAATTTAATTTATTATTCTTTTGTATTTCGAGTGTAAATTGGATGCTTTTATTTATTTTGTTTAAGTAGTTAACTAAATTTTCCGCTTGTCTATTTGAACCCCTAAATAAAATGGACGTGTCATCAACATATCTATAATATGTTTTTATATATAGACTACATATTTCGTTGTTAATAATATTATTTATTTCATAATTTTGCATGTAAATTTCAGGTAAAAAAGCACTTACAGGACCACTAACCCATCTTTTTGCGAATATAATTTATTATATTTGTATTTATTAATATATTATATATTTATATAACTGTAATTTAATTTTATCTTGTTTATGATTAGTAGTTTATATTTGTTTATTTTATTATTAGTTTTTTTTATTAATGGCAGAAAATCGTAAAAATCTAAGCACGTAGTTTCTGTTAATTTTAAGTAATCTCCAAAGAAAATCAAAAATAATGAAGAAGAATCACTTTCTAATCCATAGAATACATACCACTACAAGATTTGTAGTAAGTACTTATTAGTTATTTTATTAAATGTTTTGTTACTATAAAATAAAAAATAGTGGACTACTGTATGTTTTAACCATTGACCTATAAACTTAGTTTATAGGTTTAACCGTAGGCCTTATACTTGTGGAAAGAACATCTAGGCCTGGTGCGTAGGGTGGTACAGTCATAAGAAGTATAAGTGATGATGCCCATTCTTTGGAACAAACTTATTTATTTCTTTTATTTCCACACAATAATTATTGTGATAATGTTGGTGCGTGAAGAATGGCAGCTAAATAGTTTTTTTTTAACATGTATTACGTACTTGTGATTATAAATTATGATCCACACCCCACAGTAGGTATTTGAAATATTTTAATTTTTAATAAAAACAGTTAAAAAAATTATAAGTAATAACAATAATGCGCATACAATATTATTGTACCACGTATTTAGTAGAATAAATACTCTTAATATGTTACAATTTTACAATTTTATTCTGCATATTAAATATTAATAATTGCTTTCCCCTTATATTTTCTCATATGTTTACTTTGTGTTTTTTTATGCCTGATATTTTTCATTTATTCATTTTTTATATTCTCTAATATTTAAGTATCTCTACCATTAAGTCTGCAAATTAGTTCACTAATTTTAAGAAAGAAAAAAAAAATGGAAAAAAATTGTAAGATTAGTCCTCGCCCCCCCCCCCACACGACCATACTCAGTGGAACCCATTATTCTTGAAATAAACGCTTAATAATATTCCCATTGCTTAGTAGTCAGCACGGTTTAAAATATACAAATCACAAATAAATCGTGGTAGTAAAAGGCATCATGAATCACATAATTTAATGGACTGACCATAAATAATAATTGTCTATGGAACTGGCGACCATAGATTATATTATATTGTCTCATAGACCGGTTCTCTTCGCGTTTCCTCTGTGCCATGACAGGTAGCGCTTTTCGGTTATTGAGTTCCTTCAATACTGTACAAAAACTATTCTACAACATTTCTATAATGTTTTATCTTGGGGTGACATAATTAAAGATAATTTAAGTATTACCACTTTGATATAAGCCACGATTTAAGATTTTAAATCGTGATATAAACCTAGTACCAAGGTTTATAGATTATATCTATAAAATAATAAAAAAGTGATAAGGATAACTGTATGTTTGTATCGCACATACGCCGCATCCAGATATATCTTTGTTCGTGGCCGCATCTATTTTGCACCATATTGTAATAAGAATATTATCTAAGCTTAATATCACGGACCACGATATACTTAGATATCTTAGTCCGTGCTCAATACAGAAAAACACCATTTAAATCGCAGAATATATGAAATTGCATCTATTCTGTGATTACTATCACATACTACCTACAACAGTGGATTAAGGTTTACGTTTCTAAATTTTAAACATACTTATCCGGGCAACACTGCTAGGTGAGTATTCTAATGGCGGACTTAGACGCCGTTTTATCGGTCTTGTTTACACACGGTTCTGTTATCTCAAAGTTCCGCAGCGTCGTATGAAATGGTTTAATTTGTTGAATTCCTTTAAGTTTGAATATCGCGTATCTTGATAAAGAATACAAACAACCGATTTATCTCGTATCGGTTCAAAACGTTGGAACACTCGATAAACCAGAGACCTGCAATTACGGTCGTCTTGGAGATTCCGTTAGATTGGAAAGGAAAATTGTTTACAATAACAATTGTTGAGCGTGGCTGACAGTAAGTACTACACTAGGCACCTTGAAAATGATGTTTTTGCGTTTATTTTCCGCACTGCCAAGTCAACCAAATATTATATTATAACCCGACAAACACGCATATACAATACGTAATACATATATTAATTTATGTGTAAAGATGGCTTCATCAAATTGTCTGGTTTTGAAATAATTTTGGGGGTTTTTACCCTCGACCTCGTCCTACCTAAATATGGCCTTACACTTTTTTTTCTTATGTATTTTTTAGGCATATATTGTAACGAATATAATATATTATTCTCCGTTATGATACAATTAATTCTTTCGAAAATAATTGTACCAAAATTTTAACGCTAATGTAAAAATTTTGGGGCACAACGCTGTACTAACTGTAGTAAAATTACTGTTATCTGTTTCCTATACGTAAACAAATCAATTTATAGGATATTTTATCAGAACAAAATCTAAGTCGTCAATTAATTATTTATTGAACATACCTATTTATTTTTAAATAATTTTTTTTATATTTACATTTTGATATTTAACCATAGATAATATGAGATCTAATGTAATATTTTGTATTATATATGTGTTTAACTGTAAATAATCAATTAAATAGATTATTAATATTATTCTATAGTGATCACATATTATGTTATGTTATATTTTATTTTATTTATTTTCAGGAATTAATTTATCGTAAAGATGTTGGACGCTCGTCCAAACCATACCATCTACATTAATAATTTAAATGAGAAGATAAAAAAGGATGGTAAGGTCTCTCGTGATTCTAAATTATTTTATTTTAATTGGTTTTATATTTATAGACTTAAAGAAATCTCTTTATGCAATATTTTCACAATTTGGACAAATTCTCGACATTGTAGCGATGAAAGGAATAAAAATGAATGGTCAAGCTTTTGTTATATTTAAAGATATAACCAGCTCTACAAATGCATTACGTGCAATGCAAGGTTTCCCATTTTATGATAAGCCAATGGTAAGATAAAAAATAATATAATGTATGAGTGATCCTCGTAACCTAATCTCGTTATTTAGGATTATTCATTAATTTTTTTTTAAGTTTTTGATTAATATGTTATGTTAAAACATTAATTTTTTTTATCTTTTATTAATATTTTCATAATCTATCAGTGTTAAATTATCAATATTAATTACTAATACACTGTTACCTTTTCATAATTTAAACCTTTGATAACTTGAAGTAAATGTTTGGTTCCTTGAACATTTTACGATAATCAGAATGAAATCAATACATTTAGATACATTTAATAATTCAAAGTAAAATTTTGCTTAAACAGCTCCCAAAGTAAATCTCCTATTAGTTTGTTGCGATTGACGCTACAGAATAAAGACAGCATTGTCAATGTGTGTAGAGGTGCACGCGATTCTTACTATCGCAGTCGTGTTCCGCACTTGGGAGAAATTCAATTTATAAACATTGGTTAAACCAGCAGTTCCCAAACTTTTATTTCGACAGTGCTTTGTTCAATCTAAATTTAGCCATGGTGACCTGTTGTGAATACCATGCAGAATATACATACAAAATCAACACTAATTTCCATTGATAATTAGTTTTTATAATTTTAATATCTGATATTATACTGATTATATTGATATTATGAATTAGATTTTTTTCATATGATGCAATTTAAAATTAATACAAATTTAAAAATCTTTCTATGTCTAAATATTATAAATAATTTTTTAAGAGTCACGGTGCCTCCAAAAGTGCTCGCAGTGCACAGTTAGAGAGTCGCGGGTTAAATAAATGTGAAAACTAGCCTTTTACAAGTTTTGTTGAGTCTTACTAGGGCAGAACTTATGGCATGCTATTCAAATATTTATTTTTTAAAAACAATTTTGTACATGTAATAATAAAATAAATCCTTTATAAATTCATAGATAATCTTTTTCACGATTTTGATAATAAGGATACAATATTATTGAACGTATTAAGTTAATTGTCAATAAGTAAAAATACTATTAATAAGAAAATACTATGTATGAACTCTGATATGCTTAAGTGGGTGAATGGAGTGACTAGAGAAAATGGGATAAGGGATGAGTACATAAGAGGTAGAATAGGTGTAGCTTAGATAGTAGACAAAATGAGAGAAAATAGACCAAAATAATTTGGGAATAGAGGAATTTGAAGCAGTATTCCACAGAGTCTTTAAGTAACTGAGTACTTTTGAATGACTAACAATTTTGCAAATATATATATATTTTTTTTTTTTAACACTTAGGCTTAACTTAACTTTAGGCTATGAAAATAAATGTAGGAGGAAAGAGAGGAACAGGACAACGGGAAAAGTTAAAGTGATTGTATGTGATTGAGAATGATATGAAAACAGTTGTGTATGAAAGGTGGGATATTGGGTCAAATGGATGTTTAGAAAGAGGGTTGCTGACCAAAAATAAATAGCATGAAGGAAAAGAAGATTTTCTTATTGTATTCTGAATTATCATAAGCCAATTGTAAATTTTATTTTTGTTTTGTTTTGATGTAGTACAATTTATATTTTTCATAACTTTCAGTTATTCAAATTAATTTTTGCTCTCTTAATAATACTAAACCATTTAACATTTTAAACATTCAGTAATTCAAAGTTTTTTATAGGACCCTTCAACTTCAAATTATTGCAAGTTGACTGTATTGTTTTTTAATTCAAACAAAAATTATATCTTCTATCAAACAATAGGTTTCATACTTTTTAGACCTGTATGAGTAAAGTAATATGGTAAAAAGTGTAACTCTGTTGAAGATAATATTATATTTACTCCTTTGTATTTCTTCTTTAAAAACTTAAAAAGATATTTACTATCCAAGTTATTATCTGATATATTTCTCGGTAAACTTATATCTACTCGTTTACTCGTATCATAGTTTTCAAAAAAAAAATGGTCTGTATGTATACAAATTTATAATGTGAACATTGATTTTAATGATTTCTATAATAAAAGTAGAGATACCTTTTTCAATGTAATGAGAAAAACTTCTAAATTTGAGTATACTCTAATCTAAAACTTTCAAAAAGAAATTACTTGTTAAACCACATTTTAAAACGACTAATAAATCCCATTTAAAGTTGATGTTCTTAAAAATTGTAGATGATATTTTTATATTATTTCCAAGAATATAAATGAAGAAAGAAGTTAATGTATAATTATTTGTAATTTAATTATAGCGTATACAGTTTGCTAAATCAGAATCGGATTTGATTGCAAAAATGAAGGGTACTTTTGTGGAACGCCAAAAGAAACCTAAAAAGCCAAGGGACGATGAAGAAGCGAAAAAGAGACGTAAAGCTGCTAAAGAACAAGCTCGTGCTTTGGCACAACAAAACAACCCTGGAGGCGCGGTTGGTGGTAGTAAGTACCAATTATAATATCTTTTATTGATTAGGGTAAATGGTATTAATATATATTTTGTTATCCAACAGATGTACCTGAACAACCGCCTAACCAGATTCTTTTCTTGACCAACCTTCCTGATGAAACAACTGAAATGATGTTATCTATGCTTTTTAACCAGTAAGTTTTGTTGTATTTTATACCACCATTGTCCATGGTTTTCAATAAAAATGTTTTAGGTTCCCTGGATTCAAAGAAGTGAGACTTGTACCAAATAGACATGACATTGCTTTTGTGGAATTTGAAAATGAACACCAGTCAAACACTGCCAAACTGTCATTGAATGGTTTCAAGATTACACCAACTCATGCGATGAAAATTACATTTGCCAAAAAGTAAAAGTATTCCTAGAGAGAAATAAAAATGTCAATATGTTGTAAATTAAAAAAACATAACACATAACTTATAATATTAATTTTACATAAGTTTTACTAATATTTAGGATTACAATAAAAAAAACAAATAAATAATATTACAACTAATTTTTAGTTTGAGACTTTAAAGTTTTAGCAGAAACCGGGGGTGTTATTAAATAAGGTGTGGGCTTATTTATGCTTGCCCAAAATAATATTGTATCACTGAGACGATGATGTATGAAAAACAAAAATGGCTTGTTTACGTTGAACGTGGGGTTACCTCCTCTGGTTATGGTGACAACGGTGGCCGCTGATGCAACAGTGCCTATTTCATCAATGACAATTTCTACTTTGTGTAGTATATCACTGACGTAAAAATCGGAACCCAAACCCATTTTGGACAGGTTGGCTTTTGATGAATCGAAAACACTGTCGATTTCCATTTTCTGCAGAAAAAGAAATTAACTGATAAACACTGACCAATAGCCACATAATAAAGATAACTGTGTGATGTTTACTACAGCATGTAGCTTATATTAACATATTAAACTTTTGTTTTTGTTGTGAAACTTACTTTGAGTAATAATTGTATATAATTTATTTATTTCATAATATAATATTTTAATGGTCTAAAAAAAAATGATTTTCCTATTTTAGATACAGTTTGAGAAATTCTTCACAAGTTATACATCTATTAAATTTTGGTTGTCATTGACTGATTGTTTAGTTAATATTTTTACTACTCATTTCATAATATTGAAAATATTAATAATATTGAAACAAATTCTAAAAATATCTGTTCATATTCTAATATAAATCACAATTTTAATATGAGCACACAACTGATCTTTAGGAAAATATAACAACAATAGACAAGTTCTATATAGTGTGATCTTTTACCAAAATTAAATAATATTGTCTACCTGCAACACCGGTTTGAGATTGGTAAATGATTTCAATGTCATTTTTGGCACCAAATATGTAATATCTGTGAGCGTCGTTGATTCTGTTATGGTTTTTAGCGTTCTCTCGTTTATGGTGGACATAAGACCCCTTAGACTGATGTTCCCGTTAGGGAGTACAAAGTATGCAGTATATTCGTTTCCCTTGTATGGCAAACCAATTGCTTTGAACTTTAACTCGTCATTTTTGTAGTAAAACACTTCGCTGTTGCCAATCATCATGTTAACGTATATTGGATTCTTATTTGTACTCGTATTGCTGTTTGATTCGTAGTAAAACGGTTTTCTATAATACGTGAAAATTGCTATATTTTATGATTATTATTGTTATTGTTATTAATTAGTAGTGCTTGAACTACCAAAAATATATGTATTTATGCATGCATCATGACGTGCTAAACAAATAAAAAATATACATTTGTCTTTTTATATTGTTGACATTTATTCTGCATACTTTAATAGAGATATCTTGGTACCTTAGCAATGAATGTAATAAATAATATAAAACATGTAAATGCAATAAAGTTCAAGCCCTATTAATTAGTAAATGTGGTTATTGTGACTCACGGTTTAGTGTAGTTTGCGAAAAATGGGGTTTCCCATTCGCCAGTGAAATACAATGCGCTCACGACCACCGCTTTGGTGTCTGGTGGCGGAGTGTTTTGCATGATGTCGTTGATTTTCCCGCGCGTATGAACAGACACCCAACTGTTCTAAAAACAACCAACATTGTAAAAATATTTTTTATGATACATTAAAATCTAAATGCGAAGGACCATTATTTCTTATTTAACAATTTCTTGTTTTTCTCCGATGGCTTATTCCCATAAAATCTATGAAGTTCTTAAAGTGAATGTCAGACGCGATGGCGCATACTGGATGTCAACTGACCCCTCAGAAAATTGGTGGGTGCCTGGTGCTGGGTGAGTTTAAATATTATTTTTATGTATATTTATTTGATATTAATAATATTAATTTGTAATTGTGTTTTATTTGAGATTAAATATCACAAATATTTATCGAATAATCATAAAATTTGTCATGAGTTTTTTCATAATTTGATGTGTTTTCTATTTAATTAAATAATATAACAGTATTAAGCAATTATATGGGATGGAATTAAAAATAATGTGCTATTTATATTTTTTGGGTAAACATTAAACAATATTACTATTAAAAGTGGACTTCAGAATCAATATTTCTGTGAAATTTAATCAAGTGGTACAAAAAAAAAAATATACAAGTAGCAGTAAGATATATTGAAGATACTTAGTGAACTATGTCGAATGTTATTTGAAGAGAGAAAGGTAGTGTTAATTACAGAGTACTCTAAAATAGTGTAAATATCTAAATTAGAACCCTGACATGGATTGAGCAATTGGCCATTATTTCGGTTAATCAGGTTCTGGAAGTAAAAGGCCCCAGGACTTTTTTTATTTTTCACAGGCTCTCTAAAATCAAAATCATCGTCATCGTTTTCTACTTAAGTACCTATCTAAATTATAGTTTAAGAACCATTTGGGGCTAACTATGAGCCACTGTGGAGAGGCAGTTCTCATAAGAGATGTGAGCTCGTTAAATTTTTCGGGTAAATGTTACAAAAACGCATAATTTTTTTCTACATAAACATCGTCTTTAGCGTACACTATTTTTTTTTTTTGTAACTGATACTGTCACAAATTTTTCAATCACATTTATTATTTATTATTCAAGGTTTAGAACATTACAGCAACAAAACAAATAAAATGTTATTTTTTGTATACTCTAACTTATAATTTATACTTGTTTTATTCGAATTGTTTATCATTAAAATTGTAGATAGGTATCTATAACCTATGGGTGTCTACAACACCCATAGGTATGTCTACGGACGTGGGCTGCCCCTGAAATTTTCAAAATGCGTTAACCAAATTTTATGTCTAGTAGCTTGTAACTTTTATTCAAAAAAAAAAAAAATTCTTACGTACTGTTTATAACAAAACATTATTCTCTATCACTCTATCATTTTTGTTATTCTAGATACCAAGACATATTTTGTTAATTACTTAACTATATGGCGGTGTAATCTGTAGTTAAATTAAAAGGTACTGAAAATATTGTACATTATTAATTATAAATAGATAATACAGAATTTTTTAAAACTATATGCATATTTAACTTTCCGCCCTATTTAAAGAAGATTTTTTTGGTTCATTAAGTAGCGTTGTTCATTAGCCAGGCTACCGCTGCGGATGAAGTCTAGTCTAGTCACGCCTGTGTATCTACCTAATAATTAATAACAATATTATAAGTAATAACTGCATAATAAAATGCTAAATACCTAATGCTTGATAACAAAAATATTTCATGCTATTCATAAGGTTACGAGACCGTGTATAACACTGTAGTCCATGTTCTAATAAATACCTAAGTGTAACTAGGAACATAATACAAATTTTGTACTTCGTATTAACTTTGGAGTAGTATTTTACTCACCTGTATTAATACGGGTATTATTTAAATGTTTTATTTTATTTCTAATCAAAACATTTACCGAATTTTACTGGTAAATTTCACATCTCTAGTTGTTTTCGTTGATCCCTAAAAATTGTTTTTCTTTCTTTTTTTTTAGTTTTTTTATTAATAAAGTCATTATAACGTTTTATAATTGAATTTGGTCATGAATTACTAATGATTCTATAAATCACACCCGGAAATGATTATATTTTTAAACATCATCTAAAACGATTGTTGTACACTTTTTTGTGTTTTTACCGCACTATAATGTGGTTAAAATAAACTAAATAATTAGTAGACATTTTGGCGCCATACCGGATGCGGCCAAACGCATAGCGTGACAGTGTCCTACACTTAACGTAACGGGTCCGAAAACGGAAACTAATTTCCAAAAATTGTATTTGGAAAAGAATAAAAGAACTAAAACTAAATTTAAAAAAAAAAAATGGGCTCTACCGATCTCATGTATTTCACGCTAAATTCAAATCTGCTTTTTGGATTCTTATAACAATATATCGCTCCGTTATATCGATCTGCCAGAGGGTGGTCGTTACGCAGATCTTCGGGGCCGCACAACATCGATCCAAGGTATCCCGAGGACCTCCCGGATCTAAAGGTAAAACGGAACGTTACCGGCCCACACATTCCTACCAGTCCATTTCTGGATATCAAAGATCAGTCGCTTCTGTCCAGGCGCTCCCGACAAATCCTCTCTCCAAACTGTCGACTCGGGGACGGCTCGTCAGCTGAAGTTCTCGCTCGGATCCTGGTTCTCTCGAGGGCTTCGAGATCACCCGGGGGCGTCCCGGCGAGGATCAGGGATGCCTCAGCGGAGACGGTACGGTGCGCCCTTGTTCCCCTTAGGGCGGCACACCGCTACACCCGCACAATTGCACGCTTTATTGAAAGGCAATTCCTTAGAGATTTTAACGAAATTAGAGAATGTCATTAATAAGTACTTATATCTTATTTAAATGTTATAATTAGGTACTTTGGTATTTAAGATATCAATTTTATTATCTAAAAGATTAAATTATGTTTATAAAAAGTCAACATTTTACTGCAATGTGCTAACGCTAGTTATTTGAAAACAACAATTGCATTGATCTCTAACATAACCCTAAATAAAATTTCGAATTTCGCTTCCTAATCATTTTTTCGATTGCAATGATTTATCGTTGCGGGCGAACGTAAATCAAACAACTTTATGTATCCCGCCTTACCGACTTGCCACCTATACAACGGTTTCCGCACCCGTTCCCAGAATCGACTTTTTTTCTTTTCTTTTCGGTTCCTTCCTACATTCGCATTTTGGAAATTGCTATTTGGAAAACGCTACTGAAAATCCTCCCTGCTAATCATAGCCTGGATTAAGATGATTTTGGGACTGGGGCCAAACAATTTTAGGGGCCCATAAACATAATAAAAATATCGATGACTCTCAAATAAATATATTTCAGTGGTCGATCGACAGTATTCCCATTTCCTATTACCGTGATCAATGATCATTGATCATCCCGCTAAAAATAGACAATATTACGATAACACGAATAATAATAATAATAATAATTACTATAAACGTACTATGCTCACCAAGGTCAGGGGCCCACGATATAACCCCCCCCCCCCCCCCTCCCTCTTAATCCGGGTCTGCTGCTAATATTATATGACGACGGTCGGGTCGTAAACCGCAAAGTGCTACGCGTTACGTTTCGCTTCGGCCGAACTCTACGCGGCTCGCATTAGGCTACGGTTACCATTATAACGGATGCGTGTACTGACGAATTCATCCGGACTAACAAACGCGTGTTTTCCAATACGAGAGTGTTTACACTGCCGGCCGCGACGAACGCGTCAGAACACGCACGACGTCGTCAGAAACAGTTCGGCGTCCAAACGGGTTTGATTTTTTCCGAACGCAGTCGTCGGAACAGATTTATCGTCCGGACTCGCGTCCGTAGTAACCGTAGCCGTATGCGCGGTAGTTGTACACCGCGCGCCGTACGGACGGTTGGATGAAAATGGCGTACCGGTTGATGGTCTCCGGCCCGTTCATCGCGAAGTCGACGTTTATCAATTCGCCGTTGAGATAATCTTTTACCGCCGTCCTGTACTGCAATGACAGCTGCGGGTGGCCGCGCGGCAGGAACACCGCCTTGGCCAGGCTCGCGTGCGCGCCGCCCGGCGCGTCTCCGTCGTCTCGGTAGCCGTTCAACAGCGTTCCCAGTTTCTTGAAGTTTTGGCTGTCGTCGCTGAAAACACGCGAGTTCTTAAACGGCAGCGTCCAGATTCGGACTGTACGATATGGAAGGGTACGGGAAAAGACCGGAAAAGTCAACTGATAACCGGACAATTTAACCAGGACTTTCTAACATTGTATAAAGAAAAAAAAAAAGTCGTCACGTTTTGAAATTGAAAACGAGTTTTTCTCAGATCGGAAAAAAAAAATGACTTTTCTGGTTTTCTCCTTGTATCCTTTAATTTATACATAGACCACCGGTGGCAGTGGCGTGCCGTCGGGACAGCTAGGTAGGCGGTATATGTCCGGCCAAAAAGGAAGAAAACGTTTAAAATGTATTATTATGTTAAATTACAACGCGATATATTAAAATTAGCACTATTTGTTCATTGTCTTTATCGAATATATAAAATCAATTTTTTAATTCTACTTAAAACAAGAAATTAAATTTATTTTTTTTTATAGGCAATTTTTTTGCAGATACGCTCGTATTTTAGATTGCCCGGCTCGATATTATTGCGAACAGTGGCTGCACCCATCTCCATTATCCTAGGACAGTTTTTTTTAATTATTAATATATTTATGAAACAAAAAAGACAAAAGGAATTTACCTATAAATAAATTTTAAATTGCAATTTCCACCAATGAAATACTTTATTTTTTTTTTAAAAAAGATTTAGTTTGAAGTTATATACTTTAGCGCTTGCCCAATATAAAATATCACGACATACCAATGGCCACCGACGATAAAAATAAACCGGGCAAATCTGCGGGTACGATGAGGTCGAGGGGGATAAGTGAACGTAATGGCCCGAGTAAATGACTGATCGAGTCTAACAAACCCTTGGATAAACTGATATTCAGTTGTTCTGTTAACCTGTGAAATAGCCTATAAGAGACTGGTCTGAATTCAGGACCGGATCATAGTCATAGTTTGAGAGTTGCTATAAACTCTGTTCCACGTGTTTTTTTTTTAAAAAATTCGGATAGGTAATTTCTTTTTTTTTTGTCTGTGAGCAACTTTTCTACCGGAAATCTTGCTCTGATGTATCGAGTGTAACATTTTTTCCGAAACGGAATTTTATCTAGTTGGTGCACTGAGGTGGTTATTTTTCGATGCCCCCAGCAGTGTTCATAATAATTGGGTAAAATACGAAAAACAAAAACCGATAAATTAACGGCATTGCGATTTCATTATTTCAAATTTTTACTATTTCCTTTTTCTACCAGAAATATTGAAATATTGCTCCAATAGAAAAACAAACAACAAGGGACCTTTTTTGTTGAATTTTCAATCTACTTGGTGACCAAAAAAGTCGTTTTTTGATTTTCTATATAGTTTTCTATGTAGTTCAGTTAAACATATTCGTTAAGACTTGGAATTTTGACAGACAATGTTTATTTGATTTTCTAAAAGTGATCAAATTTTCTAAACATTTGAGCTATTTTATAGATATATTAATTGTGTGAATTTTTATTTAGTATGTATTCTGTGAATAAAATTGTTGGACTAATCAGAAAAAATGCTTGACAATTTAACAGGAAGTTCATTATAAGTCGTATATTATTGTGCTGAAAAAAAAAATGAGTAATATAGAATTTTTTTTTATAAGAACTTTAGTGTTAAATTTTAGCGAAAACAGTAAATATTACGGCCTTTCAAAATATGTAGTATAACCGAACTTCAATCTGAATCGTTTTTCGTTAACAATGGTTTATCATTACTCATACAGATATAAATTAAATAACTTAATGTGACCTACCTTCCTAACTATTTAATATTGAAGGCAGTCATCATATTTTAGTAAATTCATTAAAGAAAAAAAAAAAAAGAAGAACCTAAGGTGTGAATTACTAAACATTTTGATGAGCGTTTCAAATAACGTTCCATCGGGCAAACAATCCGTATCTTTTAAGATATGGGATAAAAAATATCGTGTAAAACGAACAGCTTCTTTACCACACTCAGAATTCGGTACAAATCGAAAAAGAATAAAAAGATGAAAAATTGTGGCGCCCTTTGATACGCGGCCCGGGGTTACAGCTCCGCACTCCCGTAGCTCCACCCTTAATCCAGCCCGGCCGGTGATAAGTAAGCAGGGGTTTTTGTACGTTATCAAGTGGCCTTTAATGAGCCGTCGGGGACCGCATTAGGCTATTTAGGGGTTTATTATTTATCCCGGAGGCTGCAGTAAGACGTATCGGTATAGTCGGTGAAGACTGTTACACGGGAAAGTATATTGGCGATATAAAATGTTACGTTGAAACGGGACCGCTTCGTATCTTTCAGGATCGGTAAAGTAATTATTCCCGGGTCATCTTTATACGGTAGGCCTGCGACCCTGGGCCGTAGTATCTTATCCATAAGCTTGATCGTCGAAATCAAACTTTACACGAAAATCGAACGGTCCAAATATTTTCGGAGAGAGCTTAAGCCCCCGTTGAACGGATTGTGTATGGGCATCTTAAGCATATACTTGACGAGGACTTTATTTTGAAAGGCTCGGCTGAGTTTACGGACGGTCGAAATCCTCCACAGCTATCCCGCTTGTTTGTGGCAACGCACGAAATTGAAAGGACGTCAGGGTGTAATATTAAAAAAAAAAAAAAAATCAAATTTAGCGTGTTTTTTTAAAAAATATCCCGGTGGAAAATCTCGTTGGTGAGGCGCCTGCCTCTCCTGTCTCTCCTGTCTCTCCCTCGCGCACGCTTCCGGGCCCGTCCCATTACGCTTTATAATGTGTTGTTATCTATGAGCGGATTTCGGTACTGTTACAATAGTGTTGTTATTAATACTCACGCGTCAGTGGAATTGGACAACGTGTGCTCGTCGATCCCGAACAGTTTGCCCAACTCTACCTTGGTCTGGCCGCCCGCCCCCACGAGCATCAGCGACACCGCTGCCGCTATGCTCGCCGGCGACACGATGACGTTCCGGTCGGACTCGTGGTCGACCGCGTTCAAGTTCGTCAGCGACCTGTCCACGCCGAGCGTCGCGTTGTACAGACCCAACACCGCCGTCTGAAATGCCAATTGTTTTACGTCAAACGCCAACAACTAGAGCGCCTAGATCGGGAGGCGCCGCGTCGTGCCGCGAGGCGCTCGAACGCCAACATCGGCGACGACGCGATCTATGTACCTGCAGGAACACGTCGGACTGGGACAACCACGGCGGCGACGGTTCGATGTGTTCAGGTAGTGAATCTTCGAAAACGACGTTGGTTTCTCCGTATGCGGCGGCGGCCGCCACCGCGAGAACGGAAAGTACCAGACCACCCGTCAACGACATTACGTCGATCCGTATATTATATATGCGGAAAAACAATAAAACGTCTGGCTGTCGCGTTCGCTCGGCGGTCAACGGACAAGACGAAAACGCACGGCCGTGGATAGTATAGTGGAGCCGTGTACTGCTGACACACGGCGGACCTGTGGTCTGAAAACGGGCCCGGAAAATAAAAATTATAATAATATTATGTACCCGACCTTCGCTTTGTTTCTGTTCTGTTGTCCGCGAGTCGGCACCGGCCAGAGAGAGTTCGCGAGCTTACGAATACGACTGCCCGGACTCGGTATAAATAAACCGATACGCGGTAGGTAACGGTCAGGCGCCGCCGTCAAGGTTAAGTTGTAGCCGCCAAACCTGTCGATTATCGTGGTGGGGCTAGTCTAGCCGCCTGCCCTCCCCCCGATATCAGTGCATTACAATATTAAATTATTATTCCGCGGTAAACGGATTATCAAGTACGGATTCCACTGGTCGCGACGACGGTCCGATCGGCGCGTCCAGTCCGATTCATGACTCAATATTAATAGGCGTGTTTTGGCGATGCAGTTTTCGGTAAACAGTTTGCTGTGTTGTTTATCATTCGGTTACAATCGTTGGCGTAATCCCCGAGCCCGGATCAAGGCATTCAGAGGCGCTAGACTCAGAATTTGATGTACATAACCCTACATAGGGCGTTGACAGATATCAAAAATCTCAATACAAAAATAGGCAAAATTTATTATACCTAAAACGCCATATATATTTATGGAATTTTTAATGAAGGTTGCTAATTAAAAATCGGAAATGGATAGTGGTTTCACCCCCGAAAATAAGAATAACAAAAATAACGGCAATGACATATTTATTAAAGCAATTTGTTTTACAAGTTGTTCGAAAAATTAAATATTTTCCGAGATAATGAGTGTCATATTGAGAATTCATTACACTGAAAATATATAAATGAAAAAAAATAAATATTTTCCTTTCATCTGCAAAACCCTATAGATCGTCTATAAGAAAATAGCAGATGGCAGATGCACATTATAATTTTAGATTCTAAGTGGGACGAGGAATGCATTGGTTTTACAATGATGTTTATTTATTTTTTCCTGTAGACAACTTTTCTACCAGCAATTTTGCTCCGATTTACAATGATGGCACTTTTTCTAAAAGGCAATCTGATTCGAGAGATACTCTAAGGAGGTTATTTTTGGATTTTTCCAGGAATTTTCCCAATAAATAGGAAAAACCAGGACAAAACGTAGGAAAACCGATAAAATAGATACAATATTAAACAAATATTATTGAAGAAAATATATAATGCATATATGTAAGTATTTTAACATAATGTGACATATATATTGTTGACAAAGCAACACTATTAACGGAACTCTGCTCAGATTCGTTTTTGATTAGCAATAGTAAATAGTTGCGTATAGGTATATATTACATTTTTCCATTACCTTTCCAACTTCTCACCTACAACAGTGGCCCACCCACGTGCTAAGTATGTCTGTCTTTTTTGTAGTGTAAATTTGGGATTTCGTATTGTACACAAAAATAGCCACTAGGCCAAACTTTTCTAGAGGTCATAAGAAAGAGGGATACAATGATTGACCAAAAGAAAACAATAAATAAAATAAAGAGGATTTAGATCTCACAAACAAAAAGCCACAAATATTATTGTATAAAGTAATAAAATATCAAGAAATAAAAAAATAATTATTAAATGCATAGATAAAGAACATACTGTAGCAAATGTAAAAATGAGGTCTTTGAAGTGTTACAGCAATGTAGTCCAAGGGCCCTGCCCTTCCTGGCTTCCACCTCAACCCTTAATTGATATAAGTATTATACAGTCACTAAACAGTAAATATTAGCTGTGGTAAAAATTAAAAATATTGTTATTTTCGGAATCAATCAATCTTTTGTTAATCGAATAAATAAACAATAATAGGTACCGTTATATCGCAATATAATGATGATTGTCAGATTAGGGTAAATTGGCAATTTTTCTATAATTTTTGTTCGTTTCTGCGTTACCTTGATTGTCCTTTTTGCAGGATAGTGTTGGTAAGTAGGCTTTTAGGCGCAAATGCTTTGAGAGGACTCAAGTCCCCATAATATTGTTGATTGTGTACACTCATAATATATATTTACTTGTTTAGGACTTGAAAAACCAAAAAAAAAAACAAATTACTCCGATAAAATCGACGGTCAATGATAACTAGACCACTTTGTGTAACGATATTATTTTTTTCGTATATTGATTGTCAAAACATCATTTTTCTATTTTGTTAAAAACCATAGACATCACAATTATTATGTCTATGTTAAAAACTTACTGTTGTTCTACAATCATCGGCGAACAATAATGTTATCTACTATACCTACCTAAAATAATAAGTTACCGGTTTTCGCGATATCTGTTTCTATAGAGACGCGGGATGTTGTTTGACATTTCCAGTAAATAGATCTAAATTAGTTAACTGTTATAATATGTTTGTGATTCGAACCTATTTGTGCGCTCGTAGACATTATCACATTTTCAAGGTAGGTCTACATTTACTCATCTCATGCGGTTTCATCACAAAAGAACATGACGTATTTTAGACGTCTAGTAAATTCCGTGCGTTCGGCTCTTCAGAGTAGGTAAGTGCAATTTCTCGAAAGTATGTCGGTACATGGCGCAATATGTTTTTCACAGTGTATAAACTTTGTCCCAAATGCCGGAGATTACCATCAACTTTTGTGTAGGTACATTGCAGTGGTGGAGGTTGTCGGTCAAAATATATCCGTTCCAATGAGAGAGAGCATGATGAATAAACAAAAAAAAAATGATATTTATATCATACATTATTAAAATATCATACATTTTGAATTCAAAAATTTCAGCTGACTAGGTTAATTTTTACGTCTCTTTAATCACATGCCTGCAGTTACCTAAACATAACTTAAAAATAGAGCTGATCCTGGGTATGAGAGCGGCCACTGTTGTGAGAAGTTGGTAAAGTAGGATACATAAGGTTATTTTATTTATATCTATAAGCAACGATAAACCATTCTTTAACAAAAGACGATTCCGAGCGCAGTTCGGTAATACATAAATTTGGCGATTTTCGTTTAAATTTGATTTAAAATGCTTATAAAAAAATCCAATGATTTTGGAAATTTAATCACGTCTAGATAAGTCCAATATAAGTTATTACCTAGTTGCAAGTCTCTACGTGTATTTATAATCGAATTACAGCAAAAAACTCCCAAAAATTAAAATACCTTAAAAGCTCAAAAGTTTTGGCGATGATACCGTAAGAAAGTAAATCCAAAAGGCAACAAAAAAGGTATCTTGTGATTTTTCGATTAAATAATTTTTTCTGGTTGAAAATTTCGTCCGTGTTTTTATAAAATAATGAAATCGTGAAATTATACGTTTTCCTACGTTTTTTCTCACTGAAGTGCTTTTATTTAAAAAATGGCGCCTGAAATCAAAAAATGACCTTTTTAAAATGCAGTCTAGACAACTTAAGCTTCCAAAAAAAAGCTACACGTAAAAATCGGAGCAAGTTTTCTAGGGAAAAACGTGTCCACAGACTAGAAGAAGAAGAAAAAAAGAAAAAAAAGAAATAAACATCTTAGTAAAACCAATAGCTACGTACGGAATCTAAAATAATTAATTTTCCATAATCCTATATGACAATAGAAAAATATTTTATATTTTTTTTTAAGAATATACTTTCAATTATTTCCAACAAATTATAATATAATATGTATACAATGTACTTTTCAAAAACTTTAAAAATTTAGACGTTAACAAATTTAATTGGCCTTTATAGTTTTACATCACCAAACACCACCTAGTTTGCATTGTTAAAATATTTGTTGTAAAACAATAAATAACTGAATAGGTACTATAAAATAATACATTTATTCGGCAATAATAAAGTTAGGTAGACCCTGTTTTGAATCTTCTTTTCCTATTGCGTTTATCGTTTTTGTGGATTATTCTATAATATAGATCAGTGGTATCGTACACGTTAAAAAACAGAGTGGCGGTCATCACGGGTGGCACTCGAGGCATCGGTCTAGCTGTTGCCAAAGAATTGATAACCGAGGGTGCATCGCAAGTGATCATTACCGGTCGCGATCAAAATGTAGGTGTAAAATCGCTCAAACTGTTAGATGCGATTTGCGGCGACAAGCAAATAGTCAAGTACTGTCAGATGGACGTCACTTTGAGGAACGACGTCAGAAGTAAACAAAAAAAACGTGTCTCGATGCGTATTTTCGTACTGTAATATGTTCGAGCTTTTAGAGGTTCGATAAATACGGTAAAAATAGAATGCTTAGGCCAGTGGTTACCAACTCAACATTAGGCACTAGCCACTATTGTACATTTTCCACCACCGTAGATCACATATATTTCCATTTCCCCACCACTTATTTCTCTATAATTTATAATCTATACGTACATAATAAAATCAGCTATACAATAAACTAACTATTTAAGATGAGTTCACGGGCCACTTGAGATAAGTCCAGGGACTACCGGTGGTCTGTGGATCACTAGTTGGGAACCATGGGCTTAAATGGACGAATGGAGTCACTATATATGTGGATAGTATAGAATAAGAAATATGTCAGTAAGGGCAGACACGTATACAGGGGTACGAACTTCGGAATTTAAAAAAAAATGTTATACCTCTAAAATATCATAAAATAGTTTTATAGTTCAAAAAAATGTTTAATTTTGTTTTACACATGGACCAATGTTAGAGGGGATTGTATGCAATATTTTTATCGAATAATTAAAAACCGTGTTTTTTTAACAATATATTGTCAATGGCTGCTGCAGGATTATTCGAGGAGACGGATAACGAGTACAGGGGTCTGGACATTTTGGTGAACGCGGGGGGCGTGCTGAATGAATCGAAAGATGGCTGGAGAAACATGATCAATACTAACGTGGTAATTATTATTGTAATATTTATTTATTTATTTTATTAAAAATACGGGCAGAAGCCCTTAGTTATAATAATACATATAAGATAACAATCAGATTACAATAACAGGTAATAAGTATAATAAATACCTCTCTGTTACCGCATAACTACCGCATGTTATCCTCCCTGAAAAAAGCCATATCTAATAAGTTTATACCCTTATCCGCTTTTTATACAATTTCCAAAAATGTTCATCCCCTTCCAAGACCTAGCCCAAAGTCCGCCACTGTATGCGCTTTGCATACAGTGAAAAAAGAAAAAAAAGAGCGAAAAAAAACAAAACGTTTATTAGAATTATTTACTGGCGTCGATTATTATTATTATTTTTTGTTTTCCAGAAAGGAATGATCGATTGCACGAATGTAGGGATGGAGCTGATGAATCGCCGTCACAGACCCGGAGTGATCATCAACTTCTCGTCAATTTTTGCTATTAGACCAATACCGCAGTTACCCCTATTTAGCGGCACCCACGCCGCCGTTTTGGGAGCCTTGTTGGGGTTCAACGTGAGTATATTATGTTCAGTGGTACACCCAGGGGAATGTGGGGGGCAACCCTTCTTAAAATTTTAGATTTTTTTACGAATTCTACGTAATAATTTATATTACTTAGATCAAATATCAGTATTTTTAAAAACTAGAAATAAGTACTAGGTTCGTTTATGTGTTTTAGCGAAGAAACTCTTATTTTTAGAAAGAGTTTTTTTTTGGAAAATAACGTTTTTACAAGTGTGAAGGGGTATGGTAGGAAACTTCACGTAGTATCCCTAGTAACGGGGGTAATTACAATTGTCGAACGATACCATTAACAAAATCGTTAAATTTGTATGTCTACAATCATTCCCCCTAATCAACAATTGCTAGCGCCGGCCCTTGTCTTGATACCTATTTCCGAGATAAAAATGAATGAAACCGAAAAATAGTTTTAACGGCATTAGTGAGATATTATCCATTGCGTGGACGATAATAACTTATTAATCGTGTTTCGGTTGTAGAAAATGGAAAACAACGACGTGCGATTGTTAACAGTATGTATGGGTCCCACAGACACAACGATGTTGTACAACTTATCCGAAACTGATGTTGGCGAATGGGCAAAAGACAATCTCCTCAACCTGACGGACGCTCTGAAAATAAGACTAAAGTAATAAGATAAAGACGTCGGTTTAGTTTGGAGGGAGATAAGAGCAATTGAATCATTATACCAACGTTTTAACAAAAACAGATATTGATATAAACATAAACATCGTAAACGATTAGGTATTATGGTTGTGGCAGTTAGATTACTAGATAGTTGCTTGGATAAGAAACTAGTTCGGAAGGAGTAGCAGTAGCGTTGTTGGTTAATGTTTAGGTAGTTGATAGTATGAGAGGGCGATAGAGAATGTTAATAAATCTAACTTAAGGGTGGCCTATACAATTTCAAGTATTTTGAACTTCTGATACTATCTTCAGATTTTAGATATACACTCCTGGTTTTTAACTAAAGGACTTGTTAAATACTTCATATGATCATTTTTGTAGAATTTTGGATATAGTTGGTACTAATGAGGTGATTTTTGAAACTCTTTGTAATCTTCTCAGTAACTGAAAATTATGGACTAGGAGATCAGAAGCCATCATTAGTCGTTTAATTACAATTAGATGGCCTTTTGGTCATGGGAGTCCGTTAATTTTGAATATTTTCGTAGTAAATCTCGTTCATATCAAATTTAAGTTAATACCTGTCCGCGTATTCACTCTGCAAATAAATAAATACTAATATAATTTAATAGGTAGTATATAAACTTATTTATTCATTAAAATGGGACCACGCACAATAATATTCTACAGAATTAAGAATATTCGACTAAATTGGTTTTAGAATCTGACGTACGATATTTTTACTTATAAGGTATGAATTTTGTATTTTTGAGCCATTGAAAGTACTTATATCATGTATAAACTGTTCAAAAATAATAATGAAATTAAAAACATAATAAAAATGAAATATAGGTATTAGAAATAATTTTGATAATCTTATATACTGTTTATTCACTTAATAATAGTTTGATCTAAAGATCGTAACAAACGATTTGGTTATTTTTTGTAATTAAGTGAAATCTTTCTCACTATTTGTAAATTAAGCAAAAACATGTACCATTCGAATACATTTAGGAAAACATTTCTCAGTTTAAGTGGTGGGCCGTTTCAACCTTCAAATTATAACTCGAGACTATTTTACTATTAAATACGGAACTGCTGAGTTAAAACATTGAATATTGTTTTTTTTTTTTGTTTTTTTGCATGAACGCGTATTAGCGTTGAAGTAGCGGCGAAATATATAACTAAAATAATGAAATTCGCAACCCACGGATCTATGCACGTGGTGACAAAGAGCACACAGAAGGAGAAAAGAAAACCCAAAATCGAATTCACGAAGACGAAAATTATCGAGTTAGAACATGATCCATTAACAGGTTGATTCGAGGTTGACATCATTGTTTTTTAACTTATGCATCGCTGACTTTTATTGTTTGTTATGACGCCGTTGTACACGTGTCATATTCACTAATCACTCAGTTCTCAGTCCCGTTTCCTCTTTGCGCTCTTGATGTATGAAATACGGAATTTACATTTTTAATTTATTTATTTATTCTGAATTTTTGCAGTTATTTTTTCGGTATGATCTTGTATTTTCATTAATACGAATGATTCAAAAAGTTGTATACTACAAATGTGGTGTGAAATACTGTGAAAACAAAAATTCGGTAACTTCAACTAATTTAATTTATTATTTCACGTTACCATCAATTATTAACGATTTTTCCTTAAACACATCATTTGTTTTAATAAAAAAGGATTAAAAATTGCAATAATGAATAAGCACAAGAAAATATTTTAAAAATGTGTCAAGGAGTCAATTGTTATTGAAGTGAAAATATTATATACATTTCACATATTAAGCATACAATCACAGATTAGATAAAATCGAATTATGTAGTCTGCGATAGAATTAAAAATATAAATGTAATTAGATTAAAGATAAGCAGAAAGATTACCACCGACTAACCAGTACAATTAACTTACTCAAATTTTGACACATATTTTGGAATTAAATTTATTTGTTTTGACACACTGATTTGAGAAGGGGTCGAGTTATCAGTAAATTCCAAAGTGCACCAACGGATTTAATCTAATCTGTGATAATACTGTAAATGATTCTATTATCGTTTGTTAATTTACGATGTTTATGATTTTGTTATCAAGATGATTTTCGTACAAATAACTACCTAGTACCCACGGATAGTACCTACCAAATAATAATGAAAATGCAATTAACAATCAGCTACAATATTATACTTTAACGAGTCCATGATTAACTAATTAGGTATGTCAGCAACTTTATCCGTTCTAGTATTATTTCGCGTAGCCATGAAAGAAACAGTAATTATCTAATTATACTATGAAAATGTGACGTTAGTAGCCAAAGATTTTATTCAATATAATCAAAGATTATATGACTATGTGCTATATAATGTTTAAATATATTTTGGTGTTAACATTTTTGTCTTGCGTCAACCCGTTGACGAGACATTCAACTTATAAGTTAAGGTAGGGGAGATTACAGGATTATCATTTATTGATTTATTGATTGGCGGTATTTGAATAGTGTTTTACTATATTTCCCTACCCAAACTTAAAAACTTGACATAAAAAAAAAAAATGTTAACACTAAAATGTATTTAAATAAGTACTCCGTATATTTATGGAATTTCTAATATATGTAGCACAGTTTGAAATTAAAATATAGGTAGACGGTTTACCCCCAAACATAAGGGTGACAAAAAATAATGGTTATGTAATATATAGGGTTAATTGTATACTTGTATACTTTCAAAGATATGACAATAATGGTTTGAATTATTAAGTTAAAACGCATACGTTTACGTGTTTTGAAATATCTTAATGATAAATGGTTAATACAAGTATATTCAGTAATCAGACACCTACATTATATGTATGTAATATAATGTATACTTTAAATAAACCGCGATTGTTACATCATAGCCAATTTTCTATAGATTTAACCAAACACAGAACTGACTGCAAACAAGGTGTGATTAAAAATGTTGATTATAGGTCGGTTTTGTGATATGTGGTTAGCAGCTGTTGTAGTCATGTAGATCAGTTGCGGTCTCGGCATCCAAATAATATGTTAATTACCAATCGTGAACATGTATTGAACTTATTTTTTTACTTTGAAGATCTTGATGGGTAGTATTTTAATATTATATTGTATACTATATTCTATTCGTATTTTGTGTTTTGAAATTGTCCCGTAGTACAAATCAAAAATACACTACTACTAAACATGTTTCTGTTATATATATATATATTTCTGCTCGCCAAAAAATAAAAAATATAGTTTTACATTAGAACTAATATCTTCAGTTGACAATTTAACGTATGTCGGCGACACAGTACGCGTGCATATTTAATGCACTATGTGTATAACAAGGCGATTTTTTTATTCAATTATTATTATTATGATGATTTTATTACCCTTCATTACTCCTTTGGTAAAAATTTTAAACTATTATAACAACTTATAAGTGATTCATAAACGATAAATTCATTATCAGTGTAATGTATAGTATCAACATTTTTAGAAAAATATGTTTTTACGAATCTGCGCTGAAAAGAGGGGGTTATCTACCATTTGAAATTCAAAAATAGGTACTTATTTAATGTTTAAATCGAATCCTAAGATTAGGGCTAAACAATTTAAAGAAGTAAAATAATTTTGAAATTAAAATAAAGTTTAAATAATTATTACATAATTATTATTGAAAAAGAAAAAAAAAATAGTACCTAATCAATTTACTCAAAATCCTTTGAGAAAATCGATGGATAATAAAAGTATCACTCTATAATAATAATAATAATAATTTATGTACGTATGATCGAACAGACGAATTTGACCACACAATTTTTGCTGCCAATGACCTGGCGTCATTTTAGATTCATTTTAGATTCCGAGCGTAGCAAGGGAGCTATTGGTTTTACTTAGATGTTTATTTTTTTTTTCTTCTAGTCTGTGGACACGTTTTTTTCTAGTAAACTTGCTCCGATTTTTACGTATAGCATTTTTTGGGAAGCTCAAGTTGTTTAGATTGTACTTTAGAGAGGTAATTTTTTGATTTTAGACGCCATTTTTTAAATAAAAGCATTAAAGTGGGAAAAAACGTAGGAAAACGTATAATTTCACGATTTCATTATTTTATAAAAACACGGACGACGTTTTCTACCAGAAAAAATGATTTAATTAAAAAAATCACAACATACGTTTTTGATTTACTTTCTTACGGTATCATTGCCAAAACTTTTGAGCTTTTAAGAAATTTTAATTTTTGGGAGTTTTTTTTGCTGTAATTCGGTTATAAATACACGTAAAGACTTGAAACTTGGTAATAATACTTATATTGGACTTATCTAGACGTGATAACATTTTTAATAACATTTTCTTCAGACAAAATTTTTTAATAAGCGTTTTGAAATTAAATTTAAACGAAAATCGCAAAAAAAAATTACAATACTCCAAATTATGTATTAGTGAACTGCGCTCGGAATCGTCTTTCGTCAAGTAGTAGTTTATCGTCGCTTACAGATATAAATGAAATAACCTTATGTTTCCTACCTTTCCAACTTCTTACCTATAACGGTGGCCGCTTCTATCCCTAGTATCACCTTTTTTATTTTATTTTGAATCCACTCGATAATCGTTTGAATGTTTGTGCGTATACAAAACGTGCAAAGGATAATACTATTAGTAAATTGTGTCAACAATGCCAACTATCTTTGTACCAACTATGAAATTATCAAACTACTTAAACTATTATAATAAGTCTATAAACTGGTTTCATTAATTATTATGTACGCTCAACAGGGAAAATGTGAGCTGGTTTTTCTAAAATCGACGGGTTATTAATTTATTGTGTTTCAAATGTGCGCATACATAGCCGGTGGGTATGTATAAACGAGGTTATTTTTTTAACATAATATTATTGTTGATAACGCGACGTATACTGTTTCAACATAAATTTTTTTACGATGCCCGAAACAATTGTCATTATTTGCAATAATAATATTATCAATCGTTTTATCATTTTATGCGGTTTCCATTTTTTAGTTTTAACTCCACGCTAAACGCTGTACGCTAAATTTACAAATTGGACGCGTGATTTATGTGAACATTTTCGTAAAATTCTGGTAAAACAAATTTAAATTTAATCTCTCTAAATTAAATGATTAAAATACCGGTAAATAATAGACGTAAATAGAGTTTGAACATAAGGCGTAGGTTTTAAAGTAAGACTAAACCAATTTAAATATCATAAATAGGGCTTGAAATGGCTCCGGGAGAACTAATCCATCCTAAGCACCACTATTTACGTTTCTATACCTATATGTTGCACTAAAATGTATTTTTTTTTCACGATGCTTTTTTTATCATGTGTTATATTGGCTGAAATACCTTATATTTACACAAAGTTTTGATACAAAGGATGTTATTATTTTTGTGATTTATAGCGAAGGTAACCACGAGTCTAACGAAACAAATTATAGAACAAACAACTTTAGGAAACATTCGTTTTAGTAATACTACTATCGATAATTTTATCATATTTTATGGTACGCATATTCTTGGCGACGAAATGTATTTTATGGTTTTTGTCCTTTTTTGAAAACACGTCTCTCAACATCCGGATAATATTGAGCACGTTTCAAAATACCTGCAGCTCTATCATGTTCATTCATTTTTACAGTTCACAAAATATCCCAGTAGGTACTATAACTTTTAATTTGATTAAAAAAATAAATACAAAATTGCAAGTTCTAATGTGTATACAAACCGATGAATAAATTACAAAATAAAATATTAAAGCTTAAAAAAACTTCTCGTCGACGGTTTAATTGGCGGAATACGACTTGTTTGATATTATATTCTGCAACGCAATACATAATATTATTATTCATATACAGTTGACGGATGTTGGTCGAGGGTAACCTTGTGTGGTTCGGGTTTTTATTTTTTATTTTGACATATTTACCAACACAGGTCTTGACTCTTGGAAAATATTCACCGCCACAGTTCAATGTCGTTGAAGTCCAACGAATATAAAACTAATTGGCGTGAAAAAAAATAAAGACGCAGCCGGAGACGTAATTGGATAACTATCGTGATTTTCGTATATTAAAATTGACTCTTGGGTATTATAGTTGGTACACGTTCGAAAATTTAAGTAAAATATATATCTATCATTTAATTTTGGAACAACAATAGTAGAATTAATATTTTCCTGTCCGTTTTTATTGAAATTAATAAGACTAGAATATATCGTTTAAGTGTATTAATAAAATAAATTAAGTTTTACTGGCTTACTAGCTTACTATACAGACTCGTTGAATAATAAATTATATTGTTCGCACCTCTGCGGACGCAATGCAGCACACACCATCCCATTAAAATTTCGCCATTTCTATAAGTAAAAAGGAAAAAACATGTTTTTCATCGTTTTAATACATGTTCGTTTTGAAATTTTGAACATATTGATTTTAATATATGATGTCTGCTTAGTGTCTTTTTCTCTGCCTGTAAACAACTTCTACCAACTTTTCTTTGTTCCGATCATCAACTTCAGGGGTGGTTGTCTAGCTAGTACATTGGGGAGGTCATTATGTGATATTCCTTGTAGTTTTTCTAATAATTTATAAAAGAAAAAAAGCCACCAATAAACAGCAAATGTACACAATAACGTTTTCTGTTTTTTTTTAAATTTTTTTTTTTTATGAGTGTTTTTGTATTGTTTTTCGGCGGACAAGACTTTTTAACTCTATAAAAAAAACTCAAGAATTTGAGACGAAATAAAACACGGACAATATTGTAGTTTATTTTGCATTAAAAAATTAGTACGGTGATAAAGCTTGTCGAATATTGTTAAGAAGAAAAATAAATTCTATATGCGAACGTACCTATATTTAGTAGCTATTGTTTAGTTTTTTTAGATACTTATTATTATATACATAAATATATATATTTAAGCGGCGTTGATATGATTTACGACCGATAAACTAGAGGAAATATTATTTTTACACCGACAATTTTATCGTTTTGTCACACGATTTGTGTTTACGTACCAAAAATATAATTTTCTGGCCGTGAACTTGATTTTTGAGATATATTTCGTATTTTGTCGGAATTTTGAGACTTAATTTCAATACACTGCTGTAATAATATACCTATGAACTGCTCACATATAATATTATGTATCCGTGTGCATGACTTCGATGTACAATATGGATATTATACGTGTATTACTTTTTGTTTTCTTAACGTTATTGTAAATAAATGTACTTATAAACATTTAATCAGTGGTGTTCCTATCAATTTTTTTTTTTTTTTTGTGAGTATTCTATAATAACCTGTATCCTACATGGTGTATTTTATATCTTTCTTTTGATTTATAAGAAAATAATATATAATAATTGTACATAAATCAAATAAAAATAATTACCAAAATAAAACGCTCAAAATTAAATGGAAAAAAAAGTTTTATAAATCGTAAAAAAATTGTTAATTTTTTAGTTAAAATAGCTGAGATAAATTTAGGTATAATTTTAGATTCTGAGCTGAGTGAGAAATGTATTGGTTTTACAATGGTGTTTATTTATTTTTTTTCTTCTGTGAACAATTTCTCTACCAGCAATTTGCCCTATATTATAGGATATTAATATTTTATTTTATCGTATACTTACATTATTAATAAAAGTATACTATGGAAATACAATATTTTGTATTATTAATTTATTAAATTACTAAATATGTTTATATGTTCACGGAGCGAAACCAGAAATATTATATTATATATTATTTGGTACACTCACAGGGTATATTTTCCCGACATTAATAACTATTATATACGGATAGCAATCATATGCGATTATATTAAATTATAATATAATATGTTTTTGTTATATTAAAAGTAAAATATATAATATTGTAGTATCGATATTATGTAAGTATTTTAAATTTGAAAATTAATACATTTCATTACAGGTATTGTTATTATTGTTTTTACTAATTTATTATTATTATTATTTTACGACGTAATAATATTTTATTTATTTGTTATCGTAATCTCGTTAATAGTTATTATATATAGTACAAATTTTATTTTTTTAAATTTTTAGAAAAAAAAAACCCCCCCGAACAATGACCGGTTTTTTTGTACTGCCTTAAAAAAATTATTTTTTTCGGCTGCTGGGGCCGTTCAACAATGACCTAAATCGTTTTTACGCGTTTCAAACTTATCTGCGATAAAAAAAAAAAAAAACAAAAAAAAAACAAAAGTTCTGTTAAATTATAGTCAATAGAACTAGAACATCGATCGAATGTAAAATATTAAATTAAAAGAAATTTATAAATAAAAAAAGGACGTACATATTTCGTACTTGAGTGCAGCCGTTGTTGTTGGTGGGAAGTAGGGAAGGTAGGATACAGACGGAAATTGAATGTATATCTGTAAGCAACGATAAACCATTTCTAATGAAAAACGATTCTGAGCTGAGTTCATTTGATAGTGCTGTACTGTTGCTTTGTTAGCAATATATATGTCATATTATGGTAAAATAGTTACAAAAATGTGCGTTTTCATGACAACAATGATTGTTTGAAAAATAATAATATAATAAAACTTTAATTATAACAAAAAATAAATAAAAACGGTTGTCCTTGACAACCTTATTTATAATCTTTCAATTTTTTTTAATTTAAAGAACCCGATTTTTCTCATTGTCTTGAATATTAATGATAATTTAAAAAAAATTAGACCCCTCTAAAGTACCACCCAGAGAACAATTCCTTTCAGAAAAGGTACTACACTTGATAATCGGAGTAAACTTTTTAGTAGAAAAATTGTTCACATAAAAAAATAAAATAAAAATGAACATCTTTGTAATACATTCGTTGCTTCGCAGAATCTAAAAAGTTTTAAAAATCGTAAGAAAATGATTAATTTTTAGTTAAAATTACTGAAATATATTTAGGTACGATTTTAGATTCTGAGAATATATTGTTTTTATAATGATGTTTATTTTTTTTTTTTTGTGACAACTTTTGTTCCAACAATTTGTCTTTGTTTTTAATAAAATAACTTTTTCTGAAAAGACTGAGGTGGTTCTTATTTAAAAGGGTCATTTTTTGATTTTCCCTAATAAATGGTAAAAATATGAGAAAACCGGGAAAAACGGAAAAATAAGTACAATACTAAACAAATATTATCAAAGAAAATGTTTCTGTGTATGACATTATTGACAAAACAACACTATCAACCGAACTCTATCCAGAATCGTTTTTTTGTTGTTGTTAATGGTTAATGGTTGCTTACAGCTACATTAAATACATTAAATTTCTGTCTATATCCTACCTACCCAACTCTCCACCAACAACAGTGGCTGCATCCGTCCCCATTATTCTAAGAAAACTTTTTTTTTTTCCGTGAATAACTTTTCTACCATGAATTTTATTCCGATTTTCAAGTTAAGCTCTTTTTTTAGAAAGGTCATCTGACTGGGGTAGTACTTTAAGGAGGTCGTTTTTTGATTTTCTTAGATGTTTTCATAACAAATGAAAAAAATTTATGAAACGTATTGTTTTATATTTTTTTGTTTTGATTCAGTGAAAAATATTTTTAGAGACTTGAAGTTTGGACAGAAAACTTACATTTGCTTTTTCTAGACATGGTAAAATGTTCAATACACTGTAGCTATTTTTGAGCTATGTGTAGACATTTTAATTTTATGGGGTGTTTTACTTAATTTTTGTTCGGTAAGTACGCTGTGGATAAAATTATTAGATCAAACAGAAATGCTAGAAAATTTAACAAGGGGTTCATTTTAAGTCGTATTTGTGGTGAAAAAAATTGAGTGACTTTTGTAAAAAGTCTTCTTTTTTAAGAATTTTAGTATCAAAGTTTGAAAGCATCACCATTAACCCCACTCCACTCAGAATTGTTTTTCGTTGGCAATGGTTACAATGCGTTGGCAACGCATGCAGATAAACATTAAATTTCCTCTCTACCTTCCCAATTTATCATCTATAACAGTGGCCCACCCATCGTGTAAAGTATGTCTGTCCTATTATTTCTATTACGGTTTTAATGGCATTAGTGGTATGAACGGATATTATTAATTATAATATATCGTAGCGATATTTTTATAAATATTTCATATTTTAAAATATAACGCAGTATACCCGTGATTTTTCACTGAATACAATGAATGTTTCGAAGGTTTTTATTTCTCATGCAGTTTAATTTTCCACGTCCTTTTGAGATAGAAACAAATTAACGAAATTCGATAATTCAACAAACTCGTCAAGTGAAAAAATTCGCAATTGTTTGTAACAACTTATAACCTATACGAGAGACCGAAAAAAAATACCTAATTGAAAGAAGTACATTATTAACTTCCGTTCTCAAAAAAACAAAATTATACACATATTATCCATTTCGATTTTCCGAGACTCGTGAAAGACTCCAAAAATAAAATTTCACTAGACTGGGTTCCTATAAAATATTGCAATTGCATTTCAACGAAAAATTAAAATTGTTGTTGTTCTGGGACAATGACTTCCAAAGAAATAGTGGCCCAAAGTATTTTTATTTGTTCACAGGATTAAAAAAGGTCATAATATTTTTTTACTATATCCACATTTCGTACATTTTTCCGTTTTTCCTCCGTTTTTTCCGCTTTCCCATTTTTGGGAAAACTTCTGGGAAAATCAAATAAAGGATTTTTTGAAAATGATGTAAGATTTACAGATTTTTACTGAAAATGCATAATCTTCCTGCTATAGAGCACAGTGGAAATTAATACCTCTTATTAATAATAAAGGATTTTTTTTATAAGGAGTTGAATATAGGCAAGAAACAATGTCGTGCGTGTTTGCGTATTAGTAAACTACCAGTATCGGTTGCATTCATCGTTAGACGATAAAAAATATTCAACACTTTTATATTATAGGAAAAACGGAAAAAAGGATACGAGATATACGCGTGACGTTATAGAATTATTATTAATTTTATATATATAAGAAAAAAAAAAAAAAACAAATCCACTTATGCATAGTCAAGTGACGAAGGAAAAAACCAGAAAAAAAAAAACCGATACCGCGGACGCGTGTTTCACTGTTATTGGTGGGAAGTTAAGAACGTAGAAGAAAATATTATAAAGTAATTTAATTCACGTTTGTACGCAACGACAAATCGTTGACAACGAAAAACGATTCTGATTTACGATTTTCATTGAAATTAGAACTTTTAAACGCTTATAAAAAACTATTATAATATACTGAACTTTTTCTTTTTCTTTTTACCGCTGAGTACAACTTACGATGAACTTCGAGTTCAACTGTCGAGTATTGTTGTTTTTTTGTTGCAATAGGTACATTCTAACTGCAATGAGTCAAAAAATTAAATCGGTGACTGAAAAAAAAAAAAAAAGCACACTTCGATTCGTCACTGCATCGCAGTTAAACCGATGCACTCCTCGTTAAGTTCAATAAAAAAAAAAAAATTTACCAACGATATTTCAATTGGGATCGTTTGCGAGGGGGGAAGGGGGGCCACTGATCACACAAAACGACATAATAACGCGCGCAACGGAACGCGTTCCGCGTACGTCCTGTCGAGTCCCTTTCTCGCTATCCCGAGAGACCATCAACACTTTAATCAAACGAGGAGAGTTTATATAATATACACGGGGTCCCTTGTGTATTTATTATAATGGTATCAATCAAATTCCGCACGTATATAATAATTTTGATATTATTGTTCACGCACACCCGCCCCTCAACCCCCCCCCCCCTCCCCTCCCCGTCATTTGTATAATGCCGGGCCCTGTAGAGTCTGTTGTTCCGTCGTTCGCGCGCTCTGAATCGCGTGTACAATTGGGCAGCAATAATACGAGCGACGACTGTTATTACAATATTTATGTTATTACGTCTTGACTAGCGTGTGGGCATCATAAACGAATTACAAAAAAAAAAAAAAAAAAAAAAAAACCCTTCCGCGAAACATCGCCACTTGAAATACGCTCGGGTCCGGCACGGTCACTCCGAAGAATAACAATTAGAATACAACGGCCGCGATGAATGGGTACCTAATGACCGGGTACCTCTATACGTATATTAAATTGCGTACACGACGACAAATCACGACGACGCGTATACGTACACGCGCGTCGCGAACGTTTGTGTCGTCGTCCCGTCGTCGTGCTGTCGTCGGACAATCAAACTGTTTACCGTCAAATTAAGTTCAATTTTCACATGCGGCGCAAACAGGACGTCGCACACCATTGTGCGCGGATAAACGGGCGGCGGTGACGAGTCCTTGGGACAATTTGCGGTCGGGACGCGGGTGTCGTTTATTGCGCCGGAGGTCATAATCATAACGGCCGGCAGTCTATAAAAGAACGGGGGCGCACGGCACCCGTCGTCAGTCGATAAGAAGCCGCCGTCAACCGCCGTCAAGAACCGCGAGGAGAAAACTGCTAACGAACAAAATTCAATCGCCCCCCGAATACGCAGTGACTCGCTCGTCGTCCGCCGACACCCGTCCCACAGAGCAGCAGAAGCGTCCGTCATGAAATTAATCGCAGTTTCCTTGGCAGCCGTTCTGGTCGCTCTGGCAGTCGCCGTCCAGGTATGTACCACAGGCAGGATTTTTCCGAACGTATGCGTAATACGTTACGGCTAATGCTGGCCATTGGATAACGTCGGTGACTTTTCGCCCGATAAAAACGATTTCGCGCTATTAGTTAGTTTCAATAACATTATACACAACGGATCGGCCTGTTATCGAACTTAAAAACAAGAACGACGAATTGCTGTGTTTGCATGTTGGTTTTTTCCCGATATTTTAATTTTTTTTTTTTTTTTTAATAAAATACGAGTACGTGAAGCATTTTACAGTTTAAACAACTACGTATCTCGTTTGAAAATTCAAATATCTGAAGAAAGAAACCAACACGCAAACACAAACTATGTGCTCGCCTATTTAAGATGGATTCCCTTTAATATTAAAACCAACATCATGAAAAGTGGACATTGTCCAATTATCAACATTAGTCGTAACATATTACATATAAATACTACGGCACATCCCTCATACACTAGATAACTGCAGTAACGCGAATTTACCGTGAAACAAGACATTTTCGAAAAAAAAAAAAAAAACAAACCTAGTCAAAAATCCGGATTTACCGAAATTCGATAATCCGGACTTTGGATTGTGAAACTTTGGTTTTAGATTATTTTATAGTATTTAGCTAATTTTTCGTACAATGTAGGAACTAATCATGACTAAACATTTATTTAATGTGAAAAATTAAAAACCAAACAGTTATTTACGATAAAAAAAAAAAAACTTGAATTTTCAAATCCAAAATTGGAATTGTCCGAATTTTAAGTTCGGAATCCGTATTTTCTGTTAATCCGGATTTAAGTCAACATCACTAGTAAGATATCCATATACCTCTTTGCTGGCCTACCGCAGTGAACCCGTAATATTGCTAACTTAATCTAACGCCGTTTTCGTACTTGTTACCACTCTTATTTACAACAGTTTAACGGCGGTAGTCCTTTGAAGTCGTAAGTTTGCACGGAAACCACGGTTTTATTTTTTATTTGTACCCGCTTTCGGGAGCACGGTGAGGTCAGGTAATTGGAAATTCGCAAAAAAACCGCTCGGACAATATTGTTATTCTTCGGCTACGTAGATAAAATCCCACAATATTATCCGGCAGCTTTTTCCACGTCATTATTATTATATTGTTCGCGTTGTCTTGACTAGAATCCCGAAGAAAAAGAACACGGAAAAAAAATCCAAATGATATTTATTTCGGAGTAAAAGCCCGATCTAATAACATTTACAAACGTGAATAATATTATCCGGAGATCCGAGACTTATATTGCGGGTCTATACGGGTCGCGACGTCATGACTTCCGTATTGTTTGAGGACGATATCACGACATGTTATTCTAACGATATCATTATCGAAATTTTTTATGGGGGAAAAAAAACCGATTTTTCTTTATTAATTATTTACCCCGGTAATAGCGGGTGTTCTTGAGAATACACGCTACACCCGCACTTGCAGTTCCCGTCTTCTACAAACGTGCGGCGTAGCACATTTGCGTTCAATAGTTTACGCTGCTGGTTTTGATAACAATATATTGGAACGAATAACATAATTGACCTATTGAGAAATTCAAAGACGAGAACATTATCGCCGTGCAACGTCGGCGCAATTTTTTCGAGATTTTAATTGTTTAAAGAGAATTGGAACGATGACAATTTTATGATGATAATGTTTTTGTCTCGCTTTGAAAATAAAATATCGAAAAAATAACGCCAACGTTGCACACAGATAATAATGTTCTCGTCTTTCAATTCCATCAATTCGCTCTAATATCGAAAACGAACAGCGTTCTCGCCATAAAAAAAAAACAAATATTCAAACTGACTTTTTCCCCCGGAAAATATTTAATTCGGACTTTTTGTCCGTGTCCTTCCCCCCCCCCTCGGTCCCCCGTCATTATTGTTATTGTTATATTATTATTATATTATCATCGTCGTCGTTGTTACCCGTTAAATCAGAGCTCAGACCCTTGTAATATATCCACTTGTTACAAGAGCGCCGAGGTCCCGATCACCACGGTCACGCCAACGCGTCTGCCTGTGTCGTCCACGCCGACCGTCCAGACGACGTACGCCAAGGATCATGGACATCATTCGCCGACCGCCGGTTCTTCCACCACCGCCGCCGCCGCCGCCGCCGCCGCCACCACCGCATCCAGCAACGCTACTACCGCCGCTACCGCCACTCACCGTGTCCACAGCAGCACCAGCACGGAGCCGACTACCGCCAAGACATCATTCGCCGCCGCCACCAACGCCACGACGCCGAAATCAACGGTAACCTATAAGAACGAGAGAAAAAAAAAATATATTACAAACGACACAATAATAACGATACCTATACTTTTTTCAACAAAAAACAAATGGACATACTTTACACGATGGGCGGGCCACTGTTGTAGGTGAGAAGTTGGGATGGTAGAGGGGAAATTTAATGTATATCCGTACGCAACGATTAATCATTGCTAACGAAAAACGATTCTGAACGGAGTTCGGTTATACATGTATCTAATGATCGTATAATATTTACGATTTGAAAATAATACATTTCGTAAGTTTTTCCGTTGTTCCCCATTTATTAACTACTGGGAAAATTAAAAAAAAAAATGATTTCCTTTTAATATCGTTGTAAAATTACTTCTCAGAAAAACACTATTTTAAAATTATATTTAAAAAAATATGCTTATTTCGTTGATCATTCAATAACAAAAATACACCCTTGAGCAGCAAAGCTCTGTAATTCGATTAGAATTGAATATTCCTCCACCAATATCTTGTATCATAGAAATATTTTTCGTTAAACAATAAATAATCAAATACTATACTTTACTATACTGTTTCAACAAAAAATAATAATAATAATAAAAACATCCAAAATTTGATCACTAAAATAGTGGGGGGAGCGGCGGAGTTTTAAAAGTTAAACCCTCACCCAAGACTAACATATTAACTTAATATTAACATCGTGCATATTCAATATTTCATCCTTCTACCTAAGGGATTTTTAGGCATGTTTAAATCTAAAAACTACCTTCCATATTGAAATTCAACTAGACTTTTATCATTTCAAAACGCCTATAAAACAATTTATTCCCGAGTTTGAGCGCATTTGGTTCAGAGAGAACCTCAGTGTACAATTGTACAAAATTATCGGGAAAATTATCTACTTAAATACCTATATACGTACAACGGACACAGTAGCCTTTATTTTCAGATACGATCAACTAAAAATAAATATAATTCGATGAAAACCTAATTGGTTCACTTTAAAAAACATGCGTTAATTCTTTTTGTAAATTGAAAATATATTATTGTTGAAGATAGGTTTGGCTAAGTGTCTACGGATGTCTCTCTAGCGACACCGAGGAAGTTTTAAGGCTTTTAGAAAGAAACTAATGGGCAATGAAAAGTACTTATTAAGAAATATATCTAGTTTGGATTTTACACGGGACTGAGGTATACTGTATTAAGACTATATTAAGAAGCAGGACACAGTAGATTAATAGAATGCCTACGTAAGGTTATATTTCTGTCTCCCATCATGGAGATCTGTACATGCCTATGATGCGATGTTCATCGTTTGTGTGTTCTAGGTGGATAGGGGACATTGCAATTTGGTCTAATTTAAACGAAATTCAAAAAAAATTAAAGTTTACCAACTTACGTGTAATAAATTTACAAGTAGTCCAATGACATTTTTGACATCACCATACCTACTATGTGTTTATTGCATAATAATTACTGATGATATGGAACAAAATTAAAAAATAAAACGTTTTTTATAATCTCTATGTATGTGTGTGTAGATAACCGGGCACATTGCTTTGAAACAAAAATTGAACACGATCGCAGTCAAGTGCAAGATTGAGTTGCACGCCCCCCAGGAAATCATGGCGTTGGTCAGCAACACGGTTGTGCCCCAGAACGAACAGCAGAGATGCTATTTGGAGTGCGTGTACAAAAATCTAAACCTGGTGAAAAACAACAAGTTCAGCGTGGCGGACGGTAAAACGTTGGCACAGATACGGTTCGCCGATCAACCGGAAGAACACAAAAAAGCTGTGACCATAATTGAGACATGCGAAAAAGAAGGTGAGTTGCATCCAAACGGATACCTACTTATTGTCAGTCTCATAATCAATAATCATTACGAATATACCTGTGTATATATATGTATATATTTTGTATTTAAAACGAACTGTTTTTCTGTTTTTATACACAGCAATTATTGATACAAAAACCACAGAGAAGTGTGCGGCCGGACGTGTGATCAGAAACTGTTTTGTCAAGAATGGAGAAAAGGCAAGTGTTCACATGTTCAACATACAAGTACATTCATTTTAATTCTTTTATTTTTTGATTTTAGATAAATTTCTTCCCAAAAGCATAAGTCTTGTATCATGAACAAGAAACAAAAAGTACTATAGTTTGAATATATCAGCCTTTGCGGATGTATTACAAATAACAAATGTAATAATAAATTATTTAAGTTATGATTTTTACGAATAAAAAAAAAGAAAACCATCAAATGAGTTGTCATTTTAATTTCCTTTTAATACTTGACTAAGTGTATTTCTGTACAATGAAAATCAGTACCATTTGCAGTAATATTAAGTTAGCATTGCGTACACAGGTCTTCTTGGCAAGAAAGAAAAGGTTTTTGAATCAAACCTTCCACAAAATGTCCAAATATTTTTGGAGATGCTTAAATCCCCATTATATTGATTATGTATATTTTATTATCATATCAAAATTTTCCCAAGGCCCTTTCCCTGTTTGCAAAAATTTCCACAGTTAAGGATACATCGGTAGGATTTAATATAAAAAAAAAAAAAACAAATGTTTATTTAACATGTTTTTTTTTAAATATTGAGGCAGAAAATCTTGCAGGAGAGGCAGTCACTTCTTCTGTCTTCCCTGCGCACGCTTATGTAAGTAAGCTTTGTTAGAAATAGGGTTACTTTTGCTTCATTGTATAATTTTGTTAGTAACTTGTATATGAGAGAGATTATGCTTTTCGCTAAAGGGAAAGCAGGATTTAAAATAAATATTTAATATATTTTTTTAATAATTGATGACAGAAGTGAGAATGTATTGTGAAAACAGATCCCCAAATGCTGTTGGTTCAAACACGAGAAAAATAACAATAAAAAGGTTAGTACCATTACTAGGGAAACATTTAAGAGAGCAATTATAATTTGCATCATTACTTACTATTTATTAAAATGATATAATACACCAGATTAACCAATAAAACACTTTTGGAATGAGAGAGTTCAAGACATGTGCCCCCAGGTTACATTAGTGGTGCAGGTACATAAAAAAAAAAAGTATATTACGCCATAAACAATAATATATTAGTGAACACTGTAAAATACATCCTACATAATAAAAATCACAGTTAATGTGTATTATTCAAATTAATTTTATACAATGCAAAATAAAAATTGATTTTACAAGTACTAAAAAAAATAATGACAATATACATATTATATATATATAATATATATAGAGCACCAAATAGGTATTTACTCTAACATATTATTAATTATTAAATATTATTTTCTACACGCTATTAATTAAAAAATTGATGACGATTACATTTCCTGAGGTACGCAATTTAATTTCAATAAGTTTTAATATTAAGAACAGGCAGTAAAAATACAAATATTGAGTCATTAATAATTTAAACATTAATTTTTTAGTTCAGACATAGTTTATAGATTAAAATTGGAAGATGAAATCATTAATTAAAATTTTACATATAAAAAAAAAATATATATCAATTTACAAAATAAGTAGTCTAATTAGATTTGTGTAATGGGAATAGTAGTTTGTATATACAAATCCAAAAATATAGGATAAAACAATAATATTCATAACATTACAATCATTTATTTTTTTGCTCTAGGTATTTCTGTGTATATTTTTATCCAGTCATGTTGTAATAGATCTTGTAGAGATAGACGTGCTGCTGGATTTACTTTTAATAACTAAAACATAATAAATATCAGTAAGTAATTGGTTTTAATAATTCTATGTTAAAACACTTACACGTGATATTAGATCACGAGCGAGCGGAGCTACATGCTGGGGAAAAATAAACTGGGCATTTAATATCCTTCTATAGGTTTCCTCGTAAGTTGGAGCTTCAAAAGGGGGTTTCCCAACTAAAAACTCATATAACAACACGCCCACACTCCATATGTCGACTGTTTTATCATGAGAGTTTCCACTAACCATTTCTGGCGGTAAATAGTCTAAGGTGCCACATAATGTCATACGCCTGCAAAACAACAATACGTTTGTAAAATAATATATGACTTATTAGTATGTATTCCTAGTGAACCAGTTTTGCAATATTAAATTACTTGGATTCCAGTGTATGTACAGACCACCCAAAATCAGCAATTTTCAAGTCTCCACTTTTTGTTAACAAGAGATTCTCAGGTTTTATATCACGATGTATAATATTTTTATTGTGACAGTAAATTAATGCTTCTGTCAATTGTTTGATATACATGGCTGCTCTATTTAAAACAAAAATACTGTATGTAAATTTACTAATAAAATTAAATATTATATTTAGTTATGCAAAAACAGATACATAAGTTATATTCTTGTAAATTATTAATAAAACAAAACTTTTATAAAGTGTGATAGTAAATCTAATCATTTAATTTGGAGGTACATAATAGTTAAAAAATAAATATTTACTTTTCTTCAGAGAAACGTTTATTTTCTTGATCTTGTAATTCTTTATAAAGTTGTTTTGGTGCATATTCTAATATCATGTACACTCTTACATCATCATGAAAATAACCAAACATGCGTACAATATGAGGATGCCTGAATAACATAAAAACAAATTTAATATAAAAATATAGTCTTATAGAGATATGATAATTACCTTAAGTGAGTTTGAATTTCGATTTCTCTTTTTAACTGATGCTCAACATTTGCTTTTAAAATTTGTGTTTTGAATAAAACTTTAAGAGCCACAATGTATCCAGAACTTTTTTCTCTAGCTAGATATACATTTCCAAATTTTCCTTTTCCCAATGCTTTGCCAATATCAAAATTTTCCAAGCGCCATTTCATTCTAATATGATTATTTAGACACAGTATTGTTAAAGTTATTTGTTTATGTTATTTTGTACAACAAACTCACTCATCTTTTGAATTTGAAAGGCCCATATTTGTGTTATTTTCAGCTGCATTGGTTTTATTATCTATATTTATAGTTGTTTTTGGTTTTGTTGTTATGTTGACAACTGTTGGTACTTTGAAAACTCCTTCATTAGGTTGCTCTCTAAAAAAAAAAATCCAAAAATAAGTAGGTAGATATTATTTAATGTTTTTACCAACATATTATAAATATGATTGACACTTAATTTTTTCTTTGAAAATGTAGTGTTTTAATCAGACAAGAGTATGCAATAATAAATCATCACATTTAAAAAAACTAACATACTTTGCACGTGGGTGGACCACTATTATAAATGAGAAGTTGAGAAGTAAGAAGGGAAATTTAGTGTATATCTGTAAGCAACAATTAACCATTGCTAACGAAAAAACAATTCTAAGGAAAGTTCAGTTAATAGTGTTGCTTTGTCATGTTATAGTAAAATAATTACATATGCATTATGTATTTCTCTTCAGAACTTTTGTTTAATATTGTACCTATTCTTCAATTTTTTTCAATTTATTGGAAAAACTTCCGGACTGGAAAAAAAAATGACGTCCTCATTTTGATTTGTTTTCAGAAAAAGTGCTATCATTGTAAATAGGAGGAAAATTGCTTTTAGAAGATATCAACAGAGAAAAAATAAATAAATAAACATCATTGAAAAACCAATACATTCTTCGCTTCAATCAGAATTAAAAATAAAAAAAAAACATCTGTAAAACCAATACATTTTTCACTACACATAGAATCTATGAAGTAGTTCTGAGTCTAACTAACTTCATTTAGGATACAAGTTATAAAATGTGTTAGTATAAATTAGATTGTTAAAATGTAAATGGATGAAAAAAAAATTAATTCAATAATGTTTGAATACATTTTTAATTATTCAATTACTTGATTAACAAAATGTAAATAAAAATTGTTAATTTATCTATTTTAAAATAATAAGGAGGTACTTAGTCATGCAATATATTAATAGGTACAAATATTGAACTTTGAATATCTATATAGGTAGATATCAAAACTTAAAATGTAAAACTAAATTCAAGACTACGTATGTTAAAATTTAATTTCATTAATTAAGAAGTTTAAACAAGTAAGTAACCTAATCACGGCTGATTAATTCGCATTAAAGTATCTATTTAAATATCTAAAAAAATAACTGATAGTGTCATATTATTGTACCTACTTATAGGGATAAATTGGAAAATTAAAATACCATTATTTCAAAATCTTAAACACAAATACTGTAATTAATTATTTAAGAATTGCGTACTTTGGTTTTTCAACCATGGTTGGCTGTGGTTTCTGAATAGTTTTAGAAGGCTGAGAAGGCTTTTGAACCGTTTTAGCCGGCTGTATAGGTTTTTGAACCATTTTAGAAGGCAGATTTTTTGTTATGTCCGGTTTGCGGTTGACCAATTGTTGCCCGCCAAACTTCGGTGGCTGCAACAAGTCGGGAGTCTTATTATTCGACGACGACATCGGTACGCTGCGACGCAATTGTGATACCACTTTTGGGTTCGTACTCGTCGCGCATGTGGTTGTGGTAATTGTACGACGGGGAACGGAGGACACCGAGTTGATGACTTTTGTGATTGACGGCTTTTGCGGTCGGTTCTCCTTGGACTTTGGCACAAAACTGCTCATACTGAAAATATAACAATGTTGTTGAAAACAGAATATAAAATTATGGATAGATATTACTTATAAATAGTATACGACGTGAGAAATTATAAACAGTACCTGGAAGTACGCAAAAGATCAGTTTAATGGCAAGAGATAAATATGAATATTTTATTGCAATAGCAAAAATATATACAAAAAAACTATAACAAAAAAAAATGGGAAAACACAAAATTAACTATAGGAGAACAGGTATTTGGGTCGGTATATAAATACAAAAATAATTATATTTGAAGTCAGAGGACCGACGGTTATTTTGAAAAGAGAAACAAATAAGAACAAGAGGAAACAGGTGATCGTTCATACACCGTTGCGCAAGTGCACAAACATGACTGCTTATCTATAATTATTCACTATATTGCTGATATGGGAACACTGTATTATAACGTATTTTTTGTGGCTTCGCGAAATTTGATTAATTTTCGAATACCTAAAATCGAATTGTTCAAAATTCCGACTAAATACCTAGCTTGCCTTATGTTTTTTTAGTTAATGTTGAATTGATTTTACCTACAAATTATCCTGGAGTTTTCCGAGATTGACAATCATGGACAGAGATCTAATGGTACCAATGACGCCACCGAATCATTTTGTCAAGGAACTTCGTTCAGTGTTAGATCAACAAAACATAATGTCGGCTAAAACAAAACAAAAAGGTAAACTACAATGCCTTATTATTATTCATGAAAATATTATAGAAATGTGGTAGGTACGTTTTATTATATTGTATAATTTTGTTGCGCAGTACTTCAGGATTTAGACCGACATATATGTGACGATGACGAAAAACGAATCGCAAAGCTGAGGACTAGAGCCATACAAGAAATATGTGTATCAGAAACAAATTATATCCATCAGTTGGATAAATTAATTACTGTTAGTAACTGATTAAAGCTATATTTTTTTAAATATTTAATAATTTTTATTTAATCAATAAAAATCTAAAAACCTGATTATAGTATTTCAAACGTCCTATGGAAGAACAAAAAATTGCTTCTAATCAAGTCATTTGTAAATTGTTTGGCAACATTGAGACCATAATAAATGTAAATAAAGAACTTTTAGTCCAATTACATCCATCCAAAGAAAATATCGGAGAAGTTTTTTTGAATACTGCACCATTCCTCAAACTTTATTCAGTTTATGCATTCAACTACAAGAATGTATTGGATACTCTTCAAGTATAAAATATTTTTTGTTTTTTTTTAGGAAATTGTTAACTAATTTAATGCTGTTTTAGGACCTGCCAAAATCTTATCCCAAAATTTATCGCTTTATTTGTTCACAAGAGTCCAGACCAGAAGTATCCGCTAAATTGAACTCACTTTTAATAACTCCAATACAAAGAATTCCTCGTTATCTATTACTTTTACGTGAACTTCTAAACTACACTCCTACCGGTCATAAAAGTCATAAAGAAATTAAAGGTATGCATTTTTAAATTTATATATATATTCTATAGCAAATTATTTCTAAATTGTAAATTGTAATCAATAGAAATTATTACAATAATAAGTAATAGTTTATTAAAATTTTGATATTGAATGTGTAATCTTAATGCTACACGGTGCAAAATACATCGCAAACATTGGTCCTTTTAGTATTTGAGTATTAGGTACATTGAAACATACAATTAGTTTAAATTGACACAACTATTTAAAATAAAAATGTAACATTTTAGTCTTCCTGCTTTTTATATAATGAAAATTATAAAATGTGTTAAATATACATATTTTACAAAATCAGATAGTAACATGCATAATTAAATGTTTTTTTTGAGTCATAATAAGGTAAAAATTAAGTATTTTGAGGATAGATTTCAAAAATATGTAAATGTTATAAAACCCCAAATTATGATAAATACGCAATTTTTTTACATAAACACATTGTTACTTTATATTTTTGATTATAGATCGTAATGCAATAAAATTAATAAATATTTTTTTTACAGCTGCTGTGGAACAAATAAGTATGGTTGCAGATCATATTAACAATTTAGTTCAAGAACAAGAGAATATGTCCAGATTAGTGAGCATTCAACGGAGTTTATCTGGTTGCGGCAAAGTAAATATTGTACTACCAGGGCGTAAGTTGATTAAGGAAGGACCTCTTATGAAAATATCACCAGAGGGTAATACGCCTATACCCCGGTACTTGATATTATTAAGCGATATGATATTGTACTGTAAAGAGTGGGCAGACCCTGAGAAATTGGTTTGTCTTAGAGTATTACCACTTAATAAGTGTGAGGCCAAATCTGTTATGTACAAAAGAGGATTATTTTCAATAAGTTGCCAGTCTGTGGAATTTGTATTTTATACTATGGACGCACCTCACTCAACATGTTCTTGGGTAGAAATGTTGCAGCAAACTATTGACACAGTAAGTTATTATTTTTATTTATTTTGTGTATTTAACAATTATTTAACTAAATTTAATTATAGTGCAAAGCCAACTCTTTGATGCCTGTAAAGAGATGTGGTCCTTTGAAATTTGTCAAAAGAAAAAAAGAATACGAATCTAACAAAAATGATGATAATTGTTATTCCAGTCCAACTAAAAAAATTAAATCATTAAATGCTATAAAGGTATTATAATTTTGATTTTGAATTCTTAATAATGCATATAAAAAATAATTATAATGCTCTATAGAAATAGAATTAAATTAAACATTGAAATTGTTGAGACACTTTACAATGTGCTTATTTTGTGATTGATGAATTTTGAATTAGAAAGTACTTAATTTCATTTGTCATTGCTACCATACAAATATTATAATCATTTAAAAACCTTTATTCTCACTTGGCTAAATTTTAAATATTCTAATTGATTACAATTGGTGAGATGATACAATACTTACAGTGATTTATCTAAACACCATAATTTGTGCCATTAGTAGCACTTCCTAATAAGTATTAAATATTTCTGCCCAGTCTTCCTTAAAATATAACAATTGTTTGTATTCCTTTGTTTTTTTTTTTTTTTTTTATTATTTACTCAACAATGTAAAAATTTAATAATTTCACTAATTTCTTTATTTTATTTAACTAAAATTTAATTTTGTTTATACACAAAGTCTTGTTGATTTTAGAATAATTTTTTTTTTTATAAAATTCAAAAATCCATTGAAACAAAACAAAAGTGTAGAATACTCCCTAATGTGTTAAGTAATCAATGCATGATTTTATAAATCAGATACATGTTTTATATTCAATGTTTTAAAAAAGTTCTACCAATTAATGTGTTTGGTATGTTCATTATAATATATATACAGCTTTAATCATAAAAATGTCCATAAGTATATTTAAATGTGGTAAAACAATAATAAAGATATTTTTGCATAAAAAAAGTCTATTTGCCTTTGTTTTCTAATTTATTGTGTAATACATAATGCAATAATATTAGATTTTAATAAAATATCCAATAGTTTAGTGAATACATTGAGTCTTCAATTTAACAATATGGACATGTATGGCTAGTTTGTGGTCTCTGTCCTCTTGTAAAACATTTTTTTTTTCTATTTTATTATTTATTAAAACATGTATTTATTTTTATTTATAGGATACTACAACAGCAGTCGCAAACCATAGTACATCATATATGACTACAGCAAAAAATCTCGTTTTTAGTTTTGGATCAACGTTGAAAAAATTAGTAGGAAGAAATTCAGTTTAATAGCAACAGTAAATAATCATATTTTAAATTATCTTTTGTCGTACTATTACCGTCGGAGATCTCAGACCTCATTCATGTCAATTTTTTATTATTTTTTTTTTAAAAGTTCAGTGTATAACAAATGACAAAATATCAATTTGTATGTAGTTAATAACACTTTCCTAAAAAAACATCTCAATGTATTAATACTGTAAATACTAAGTTGTGTGTGTGTGTGATTCAATTTTTATTTTATTTTGTACATTACAATTGTTTTTTTTTTTTTTTATAATTTTTTATTGAATATAATATAATATTATATATTATTATCAAGTAAAATGCAATATTAAAAGGGTACTCTATTTTGAAAGTCGATTACACAGGTTGTAAAAAATAATGTAAATTCCATCAGATGAAAATTATTTTTAGGTAATTTGCTCTCATGTTCACATAGATTTTACATGTTCCATAAATTTCAAAATTGCAGTCTCATCAAGTTCGTTTTGCCACCTGCGATAAAAGTTTGTTTTAATATATATAACAGACTAATTTGAAGTATCTTAAATTTCTTTGTATAAAATCAAAAATATAAAGACAAAAATACACTGTAGGGATATTATGCAAATTGTTCAATAACAACTGTGGCATACGAATATTTAGATGTGTTCATTTTACATACCAATAGATATAGTGAACATTCTGAATATCAATTTGAATTTTACTAAAGTCAACTTTCGTACTTTTATTTTTAACTTTCCCAAATATAAAAATATGTAAATTTTTTAACATATTTAATTTTTGTAGAATTACAAGGGATAAAATCATTTTAAGAATTTGAATTGCTTCACATAAGAGTAGAACAATCTGATGGACCGGCAACAGCCATTGACCTGGCTAAATAGCCTTTACGCATTAAAAAAAAACTTTCAAGTACCGGTAAATAATCGTTTACGGTAATAAATTACGTACATTCCATTTTTCTTAAAGTGCGATCCGACGATGAATCCATCAGCACCCTCGTACCTATAAACATTGTCTGCGGTCACGCCAGACCCCACGAGTACCGGGATGCTAACAGTTCTCTTCATATCTAAAATAAAATTATTTCATTTAACAATATAATATTATTTTGATTATTTTTTAACGTTAATGATTATCCGTGTACATTTTGAGTAAATAAGATAACTTTTTCAAATATTAGGCGGTTACGTCTATTTATCAATCTTATTTTCAAAATTGAAATTGGCAGTAAATTATCTAAAATCCTTATAAAAAAAAAAAAAGAATAACATAAGTACCAGTTACGTGATCGGGTTCGGCGGGCTGTCCGGTGGCGGTGCCGGTTATCACAATCCCATCGGCCATAAAGAATTCCGCCGCCTTGGCCGTTTCCGCCAGGCTCACATCTTGGGTGATGGCGTGTGAACTGTCACGACGGAACACGGCCGTGTATTATTATCATGGAGCGCGTGTAAAAAAAAAAAAAAAAACCACGTCCGGGCGGTGGACAGCCGTTGAGCCGTGTAATGGATTACCACCTACCTGTGTTTTTTTTTCACGTCGGCGAACACGCAAACTTCCCGTGCTCCAATCGACTCTCGGTATCTGAGTAATCTGCCTGCGCACGCGTCCGTGTAGCCCTCGTCGGCCACGTGCCCGAACACGAAACCTTCGGCCCTGACAAACTGAAAACCGGAGGCTTGCGCCACGGCAATCGCCTCCGAATTGGCCGCGGCCAGTATCTATAATATAAGAAACATGAATGAGCACGGCGCCTGCAAGTTGGTACTCAATACAACAATACACCGTAATCTGCTTGTGAATCTCATTTTGCTGGGTAAATTGAAATATTATATTATTTGTATACAAATATAGGTAGTTCGGTACTGCAATGGTGCGGAAATTGTAACTTTTGGTAGGTACCTGTACACAATGGCGTATATTTGATGGGGAACGATGAGGGCGATCGCCTAACCACATCAATTTATTCGTGTAGGTATTTATATATATATATATACTCAAAAATGTAATATTGCTAGAAGTGTCATAAGACACAAAAATTAAAATAATAACACTCCGTGGTAAGATAAATTGTGTAAAAATATAAACTCGTGTAAAATAATTTTAGTGTCATCCTCCCTCCCCCCCATAAAACGAATTCAAATACGTCACTGCATATGTAATTAAGTACACCTAAAAACCCTTCTATCTATATAGCTGCGTACTATACATTCTACGTTAGCCTTGTAAAAACTGCATCAATTCCAGTCTCGTTCCAGAAATACATTTCTCCACGTTGATCGTTATTTTTTAAAATGCAAACGGGACGTGAAATTTCGGCAAAATGAAAATCGGCGCATACTGGTACCACAGCTGGAACATACCTGAACACCGCACGGAACGCAATCGGAGACCGTTCGCCTGACGGCCGAACAGATCGCGGTCATGGTGGCCACGGTTTCGGGCGTAATGTGTCTGGCCGGCACGTACGGAACATCGTGCATATTCTCCACGATAAGTCCGTCCTGCGGAAAATAAAATTAATTCGATTATAATGGTGCGTTAAATACAAAATCACTGTCGTTCTTTAGGGATTTGAACGCACCATATAGGTACAAAGACAAAAAAAGTGCGATTAGAAACGAACGCAAATTTAAATTGGAAAAATAATGTACGTAACAACGTAAAATTGATCAACAATTCAAAATTTGTAATTATGTACGGTCTGCTGGAACTGTGAATTTACGGCGAAAAATTATATCGAGCATAATATTCCCGCGCGTCAAACTCCGTGGATTTCAGTTCCGCGATTTAAACAGAGTTAAAGCGTTTTTAACAGAACTTTCATTTTGAATAGCCCTTTATTACAGTGAAATGCTTTGTTCCCGCAACTCTACACGACAACAAACGATTTACGAAAATGCAGAGCCAGGATTTTTTTTAAAGGGGGTGTTTTTATTTCGTGTTTAGATGTAATTTGGTAACTTTATTGTGCACGTGTGATACACATAACATATACTCAATGATTATCTTTATTCTATACGTTACACAACACATTTTGTGGAAATCTAATGCATAATTGCATATAGTAAAAATTATAATTTTTGTCATAAATAAAGTCGAAGGGGGGGAGGGGAGGGTTTGAACACCGAAACACCACAGCAAAAAAGTAAACATTTCAAAAAAAAGGCCATTCAGTATCATGGGGATTCAAAAATCCGGAAACCCTAAGATTGGGTAGTCTGAGCGCAGCAGTTTTACAATGATTTTTTTTTTGTCTATTAACAATTTATCTACGAGAAATCTCGCTTCAACCAAAAAATGACTATAGCTTTATTGTAACATTTCGAATTACGAGAACAATTTGCTGTTTAGCTACAGAGCGATTGTTTTCTTTTTTAAAACCTGGGAAAATCAACGGATTAAAAATGATGGCGCAAACGAAAATTGGGGCCGACTATTAGTTTTGAAGTTTATCGTTTTTATGCATATTATGTGAGTTATATTAAATACTCAATAAAGCTAACATTTGATGTTAGTTGTCGTAGTAGAGTGGTAAACGCGTACTTATTATCTTTCCAGAACTCCCGAAATCAAATCCGTATCTCGACTACTTTTTCTTTCACTATTTTAGGTGTTTTAAAATTGGTAACCCATACAATAATAACCACATATATATAAAAATACAAGATAGCCGACTGCGTAAAACGCGTCTATACATATAAAATGTCTCCAGCAAAATGGCCGCCAATCGTTATCTAAGAGGTGACCGTTTACAGATTAAACTGATATGATAAGTGATAAGATACTATTTTGGAGGGCTATATTTTCAACGTACAATGTACGTCATAATATTTAAATATTGTAACATCGTTCCTTATCAACACTATGAAACGTAAACGTTCACCTCTTAGATAAGGATGGCGGCCATTTTATTGGCCACTATAGCCAAAGCTATCTAGACGTTGTTTTATATATCTGTGATGATAACATTTTTGTAATGTTTTAACAAGTTTATTACTCTTTTAATAGAATTAAAAACCCTAGATTCGTTATCTAAAACCACGTCGGCTAAGTAACAAGGAAGAGTCAAAAATCATAAATAGGTGTCCCTAGAGTTCCGACGTGGTTACTCGTTCGCTGCGCTCACTCGGATTGTTTTATTTGATTTTTAAGTTTTTATTATTTTAATCATTTTTAAACAATCATTGTTGTCATGGAAACGCATATTGTTGTAGATTTGTAATCATTTTACCATAATATGACATATATATATATTTATATTGTTGACAAAGTAACACTATCAATTGAATTTCGGTTTATCTTTGATTACAGATAAACAATAAATTCCTGTTTGTATCCTACCTTCCTAACTTCCCATTTATCACAGTGGCTGCACCCACGCGCAAAGTATGTCAGTCCTTTTTTTTTATATATATTATCTACATAATTTACTCACCACTCCGCACTTCAGATACGTTTCGGCTTCCTTGCAGGCAGCGTATACGATCCGTTTCACGCCATTCCCGTCATACAACGGGGTACCTAAAAACGGCGCATAATAACTCAAAGTGTCAAACGTTTGAAGAGTTCATAATTTCAAATGCGACGGAAACGTTTTATCACGCGCAGCCGTTCCTTACCCGGTAACGGTCTGACGTGAATCATTCCGAAAACGTTGTTCGCCTTGTCCTTGAAAATGTTTTTCAAAACGTTCATCGTCAATTTAAACGTATTACGCCGAATAAACAGAGTCGTAGTCGCCGGACAAGATATGGCGCGTATGTCAGCTAACTAACTCAGTCGTCTGTACGACTAGAGTAGAGTACGAGTAGAGTGTTTGCCTCTTCTCATTGGTCGAATAGGTATACCAATAGGTTACACACAGGGGAACTATACTGCGGACGCGTTGCGACAGACCGGACGAGAAAAACGTACCGACGTGATCATGCCTACCCATTTTATTAATATTTTGTCGTGTACACGAAAAATAAAACCAGTCGATAACGGCGACAGTCCGAAGGTCGTCCGTCAATATAATAATCATTATCAATCTCCAAGCGTATGGCATTTGACCTCTCGTCGGCGGTGCACGTTGTCCGAACGCTTTCCGAGCGACCATTCACAATCACAATATAATATCATTCCGCCGGTTCGAAAAAATTATTTCTCACCCGATTATGACCGAAATACACCGTTGAAGAGAGGGGGGGGGGAAACGTTTACGGGCCGTTTGTGTTTTTACACACGGCGATCGTACACGAAACAAGGAAAACACGGTGTAGGATCGAAATTTGGGTTCGAAAACGGTTTTTGTTTTAATGAAACCAAGATAAATACACTTTTTTTTTTTTTTTTAAATACATTTAATTGACTCGATAATATTACACGCCCGTATTTAATATACAGGTAGGTATATATAATACAATACGCATATACCTAAGAAAAATGAAGAAATAGTACAAAGACTAGAGGTTGGGTTTTCGAGGCGTTTAAAAACGAAGTTAAAAAAAAAAAAAAAAAATGTAATTCCTTTGGATTTCGCAATAATTAATATAGGTACATATATATATGTATATATTATACATAATTAACTATCGTAGATTACCTTAAAATGTAAATAGGTAGGTATATTATAAGACTAACAATGAGTAGAGATTGCTTTTAATATATATAGTATATTTTTTTCAATAATAAAATTGTCTAAATATTTTTAATTTTAATCCACAGCCTATATGTACACACCGATATAATATTATATACAATCATAAAGTTATAGTTATCATATAGATTCTTTTGTTGGGACAACATTTCGTCTGTTTATAATAATATTTAATATATAGGTATATTGACATAAGACGCTAAAATTGAGGTTTTCGACATTATTAACAAAAAAATTATAATAACTGTTTAATATTCTTGATTCAATTTACAATTAATAGGTATTTAACGTTGTTGATGATTTTAAATGATACCAATTCGATGTTTTAGGAGAAAAAAAACAAACATACATTATGCGAACGCACTTATTAAAACCAATGATCGTAAATAAGAATAATTAACGTACCTAGGTACGAAAAACTGAAAGTATCATGCTAACAAATTAACGTAGAAAAAATATTTAAAAAACCAAATGGAGTTTTTCATTTAAGACCAAAATCGTAGTACTTGTTAACAATTCAAAAATATTTGCGAGTAGCGTTTAAAGCGCTTTGAACATTTGAGCCAAACTATATTTTGTTTTTATTTTTATACATCAGTACAATAAATATTAATTTCTAGTGCTATTTAATACTATACATATTATAATTTATCAAATACTTAAATATAACCTTAACTAATTTAAAAAAAATTAAATAAATAATTAATTAGAAGCTTTAGAAGAAAACATATTTTTATGGACAGGGTTTGGTCGGGAGACACACTATGTATAGAATAAAAATTAAGAACAATATGATTTATAATACTAAATAAGAACAATAAATTGGAACGCTTCTTTCGAGAGCGTTGTACACAACACTTAAAAAAAAAAAAAAACTCATGCAATTTAAACAACAAAATTTTGGTTGTACTCTCACTAGGTCGGCAACACGTAGGTACAAAGATAAAAATAGATTAAAAATATGTTCACATGAATATACAATATAAATTTATGTTACACTCTAGGATAATGAGGTGCTGAGTCTACAGGAGAATCAGCACATACATTTTTCTTCATTTCTCATTTTATACATTTCAAAAAGAATAATAAACAAAATAATTTACGTGTAGATAAAAAATATGTGTACACTAAATCTTAACATGACCCTCAAAATTGAATCGCGCATCTTAACTGAAAATTTTACTGGTACGTATTCAATTTATTTTTACTAATTATATATTATCATACAAATTTGTATGTTTTAAGACGCATTGTGTTAGATTTAAGTAAAATACATGTCATCACAATACAATTATCAATATTTGATAAAAAAAAAAAAAAAAACAAAATTTATCACTGGCCATTTCCCTATAGAATAATTATGAAAATACTAGATGTCTGCTTCAAATCATATACAGGCAAGTCGATTAGTTAGATTGAAATTTAAGCAATTTCAGTATAATATTCTACAATTATCCTCCATGGGAACCCAATAAATACATAGCTTTATTGCAGTTGCGACTATTGTGTAAGTTAATATTTACACATTTATATTTATACAATTTTAAAAATACAACATACATTTGTTTGTTTTAATTTGAATGTTTAGAAAAAGATTATAATATAAATTATTATTCGCAAAAAAAAAAAAAAAAAACTAATAACTAGGTAATTTAGTTTAAAAAATGTTTTATCTAAATAATTGATTTGATATTATTTTCAAATTAAAAATATTAATTTAAGATACTGGAATATCCTAGTAAAATAATAATTCTATTAACTTGCATTGTAAGTAATGGTAAAATTGCATAAACTCCAAATAGGATGTTTATAAAACATTTCATTAGGTACATTGATTATGTCTAAATTCTGATTGTTATTAATTTACATACAAGAACAATGTGACCCACAGAAATTTCTTAAAATACTATAAAAGAAATAACAAAATACAAGAAGCACATAATATTGATAGCGTTTTTACATGCCACACTGGAGACTATATACAATGATATTAAGTATTTTTAAACCTTTAAATGATAAATAATAATTTAAATGTACATACATTTTGGCAAGAAATTTATTTCTCAATACCAGAGATGATGAGTTGTTTTTGAAATGCCCAAAACTTATGGTATATAATACTCTGGATGGTCAGAATCTTTTTCGAACCTTTTTGCTTCTTCCTGCATACTTTCTTTAATTTTCAATATTGCCGCAGATTCATTTTGATCGTTGTCCACGGGTCCACCATATCCTCCAAGATTATAGTCACCCATACCACTACCACTATCATCTCTTGGCGTACTTGGTCCATCAGGTGGTGATCGTTTTATACCTTCAATTCCATCACCATTCATTACAGGGCCCATTGAATTTGGTCCCATTGGACCCAATGGTCCTGCGGAATCAGGGTTTCCCATTGAAAATTCCCCAGGCATATTGCCACCGGGCACAGATTTCATCATTGTGTACATATTTTCACCACCAGAGTTTGAATCTTGTGGACTCGCCATTAATGGTGTTCCAGGACCAGGGGGGCCTGGAGGGTAATTATTGGGTGATGAAGACGAATAACCCATTGGATGATTAGGATTACCTGGTGTCCATTGAGGCCGACCAACTGGACCACCCATGCCCATACCAGGATGCATACCCGGACCAGGTCCAGGACCCATAACATTACCGGGAGGCATTGGAGGCCCTCGCATTGGAGGACCGTAACCACCCCGTGACATACTCATTCTTGGATTCATTACCGGAGGCCCTGGGCGCATAATATCCATATTGTTCATCATAGGTTGATTAGGGCTATTAAAATCATTGGGCATATGAGGTGGCATTCGTACACCGGGTCTTGGCCCACTAGGATATCTAGGGCCCATAAACGGTTGATTCATCATTTGATTGTGAGGTGCATTGGGTGGTGGATGAGGGCTTGATTGTGATACAGGATGGGTATTTGATGGTCTCATATTGGAATTGTTGAAAAAGTTTGGCGGCATTCCGGGTCCGGGCGCAATCACTTCGTTTGGTGGCATAGGGCCCATCGGTCCAGGAGAAGGGCCAGTGTTGTGTCCAATACCGTTGACGCCACCGGGGTTGTAATTGGTTGGGTTCACGAACCCATAGTCGTGGAATGTCTTAGCTTCGCTGGAATGTTCACAGTTATCACGACGTTCAGGCGCCGCACAGTACAGGTCCCAGAAAACGCACCACCACGAACTGAGAAATCCAGGGGGTTCGCCTAGCGTAATGTTTTTGTCCCAGCGTATCTCGCTAAGAAATGTCTGCGCCGCTTTGGAGGCGCCAGTGTGTAATAGGTACTCATATACGTAAAGTGCTAACCTTTCTCTGGCCTGTGCGTCCGACGGCACCGACGACCCCTTGCCTTTCGAATACATGGCGCGTACCGTTGGCCGAACAGGTAAAACAACGGTCTATACAAGCGCACACCGAACCTATGTCAGAGTCAAACTGATCTTGAATCGCATTAAATACATTTTAGCTTTTAACATCAATAAAAACGTAAACACTACAAAACAACAAAACCATGATGGATTCTTCTTGATTTGATAACACTGTGAGCATTGAGCTTCGGAACAGTCATGGAGTAGAAAATCTGACAAAAATAACAAAGATATTATAAAGAACCACCAACGCCACTACCCCGCCAGCCAAAGTGCCAACCGGCGCTTGTGACTTCCGACCACCACCGCCCAACTAGGAACTATTATAGCAGCTGCTTGTCCATTACAGTATTACACTTTCACACGCGCGCGCTTTACTTCGACACGGACCAATTGTCTCTAATCGCTATTCGCTATTAATATTTTCTTCGGCCATTGGCGGTACCTTCTTTGATTGTTTTTTGTTATTATCGTGTTTGGTTTATTAATGATTACTAAGGTTTCACCATTTTTCTTGATTCCAAAATCTAATGCAGTGTAATGTTTTTCCGTTGTGTTAATATTTCGTTATTTTGTTATACATTTTATACAATATTTAACCCGATGGACTCCTGTGTACTGAGTTTACTGCGTTTTCGTTGTAGTGAACGCCGCCACTGAAGCAGTAGCAAATCCGAACATGCCGTCATCGCGGACGAAAGATTAAAAAACAATAATTGTTGTTAGACTCGCAATTGTTTTCAAAGTAAGCTTTATATTAACGTCCAAATTACATGCTGTAAAGTATAATAAAAATAATAAGTACCAGTATAAATAAAATTTTAAGCACGTGCGTGAATAACACGATGATGTTTCGAGGTTTATTTCCGTTTGGGGAATCCAAACACGAATAAATTATTTAGCTTTATAGGTATTTGAATTTATAATTGTGGTAGACATTTATACAAATAATACGCGTGAGTAAATAATAATTATACATTTATTTTATTTTTGATAAAAAACATTACAAAATTACTATTTATAAAACTATGCAAAAAATAATACTAATGGCATAGATAAATAAAATAAATAATTAGGGTAATTTAAAAATTATCTGGTGGTAGGTAAATTTTTGTTTTTTTTTACGTTTTATATTTTAAATTGTGTAATGGCATATACATACTTGCTAATATAGTTTCCTGTTGGTAATTTATGAGTTTTAATCTTTTAAATATCTAAGTGCATTTGTGATATTTTAAAAATTAGTTCGGAAAAGCATTTTATTTAATAGTTAGGTAGTTATGTTGTTTTAGTTTTAAACATACTGATTAGTGATTTGGCTGTAATTATTGTATACACATTAATATGTCATGATTGTACATGTTTTAAACATGTTGAAAACAATTATAAAATAAAAATCCAATTTATAACAAATTTAATATTTTACAAATCTGGTTTTATATTACAGCATAATCTTGATTATACAAACCTATTATCCAAACATCAATACTAGTTAGTTGATATATCTGAACGCTCTGTTATCTGAATGTTATTATAACCGGTAAACCAATTTTATTATTAAAATATAATCTACTTAAATTAAATTCATGTACACTATATATTATATTATTTAATAATGTAATATATAATAATGAATATAATACATATTTTAAAAAATGTTCAGTATTCAAATTGTACTTATTTAAACTAGGTGCGGTCTCAATTTGTTCAGGTAATCCAAGTAACACCTTACTTACATTTTATTTATAATCAAAAAGGTATCTATTCTTCCCATAGAATGGTATAAATAAATTATACCATTTAAAACGTAGTTTGTCTCCTCAGGGGGGTATATGATGCTACGGGTTTAGCAAATTTGGGGCCCCTGAGCTCCTACTGGTAGACATCCCTAATGGGTGATTCCAGTAGGCATATGGTTATTTTTTCTGTAGGTTGGAGGAATCCACTTTCTAGTTGACCATACTATTCTCCCTGTGGGGGGGATTAAAATACCCCATGATACCCCTACCTGTTATAAGAGATTACAAATGAGTTTGCATCAGATTGACAGCTGGTGTAAAATTTAATCTAATTGTATGATGAGTTCTAAACAAAACTTTGGGGGATTTGTTCATCTCAGTTGTACGTGGAATTTTAGGTGAGTGAAGTACGATAAGTGTATGTTGTTTGTAGATGATAAAGTTTTAATAAAAGAAAGTCCGAAATAAGTTAACAATAGGTTTAAAGATGAAGAGTAAAGCTTAAAGGGAAGGGACTAAGGATAAGAAGTAAAACACTATGAATTTATAGAGTAATAGGACAAGACAACTAACAACTATAAGCGGTGATATAATAGGTGAGATTGAGTTTTAAGTACCTACCTACCTAAGATTTTTTATAAAAAAACAAAGTGTTTTCCATATAAAATGGAAATACCTACCTTAAATGTAGGTTTAAGTGTGGTTGAATAAAACGGAAAAGTGTCTGGTATTTTATTTACAAGAGAATTCCAACGAGACTTAAAGTTAAGTTCTACAAAAGTGTGGTAAGACCGACTATGTTAAGTGGTTCAGGTTTTGAATGGTAGATAGAAAAATAATACAAATAATAAGTGTAACAGAAATGAGTGGTAAGGATTGTAATGAAAATGTACGCACGGTAAAAGAGATAGAAAGGAGACTAAAGCAGAGGTTGTTCTATTGGATTGAAAAAGATATGAGGACAACTGGTGTATGCAAAGTGGGAGATTGAGTCAAGAGGAAGTTTAGAATAAAGGTGGCCGACCTCCAAATAGTTAGGATGATGTGAAGGAGAAGGAGACCGAGACCTAAAATGTGAATTGTGGCATTTAGCTTGAAATATTTTTTGTTGTCTCTAAAAACCCCCATTTTAATATGTTTGTGCCTAACTAATTTTTTGAAAATTTTATTTTAAAATTTCCAAAAATGATGTGATGTATCAAAGTAGTGGTTTAAGGAACAATCAATTTCAAAAGAGATTAAATAAGATAACTGCTGTAAATATCAAGACTGTGTAGGTCAGCTAGTTTATAATATATACTTAACGAAATATACCATAATGAATGATATTTTATAATGATAAAAGATATTCATATGTTTGACATAATTTAAGTTCGTGAATTCCTTTGATTACTTATTTCTAAGTTATAAAGTGCAAATACACATTTAACACTGATAATTTTAATCAGTAACTACATTGGTGTACAAAATATTAATTATATACCAAAAATAATCAAAATGTGGCTTTTAATTTATTATACAATGTTAAAACACTCGTTTTTATTATTTTGAGGAAAACTATTTTTCATAAACTTTACTTACATATTGACATAAATGTTCTAATATAGATAATTATTAATTTCATTTACAGAAACATGGAAAGTTCCCAAGAAACTGTTGTTCAGTGTGATGTACCTGGTGTGCAAGAAGTACCACAACAGTTATTATCTCTTGAGAACCATTGTCAATTAGCAGAAAATCCATTGCCTACTAATTCCCCGAATGATACTATAGATTCTCAAAATATTTCAGATCAAAATAGTAATAGTGGCAATCCAACATCTGTTGAAACAACTGATGTTATTTCTCAAGATGTAAATGATGCAACTGAAACTAGTTCGGCCGTTTCTACTGATAACTCTATGCCACCCCTTCCTCCGCCATCTAAAGATAATAAAGGACAACCCACAGGACAGTACTCAGCTGATTATAATATGCAAAATTATGCTAACTATAATTACATGTATAACTATAACAACTATTATGGTTATCCATATCCACAATATCAATGGGATTACAATAGCCAACAGTATTATCAGCCGTATCAAAATTATTATAATTATAATTATAATGCAAATCAAGCACAAACAGCATCAAGTAAACCTCCTCCTCCACCACCAGATGCTGTACAGTTACCGGTTGAAGAAAAACCAACTAATAAAACCAATTTGTCTGCTGTTGATGATTCTAATAGGTAACATTTTGTAATCATTTTTAAACATAACATACAAAATTAATACTTGCTTATTAAAATTGTAAAATTACAGATATTCTCCAACGGCAGAAACTGATGACGACGATACTATGAAAGGCTGGTCAGAAAATAATAAATCTGATGGTCTTATTGAACAAACAATATCGGTTACTACAACACTTGCAAATTCTGTTTTGTCACAAACTGTGTCATCAGAACAAATTGAAATTGACAAACAAAAAATGACAAAAAATATTGAAAATAAATTACTCCAACCAACATTACTGACAGTTACACAAATGCAACCACAGCTTGTTCCTGTTGTTCCTCAGACACAACCATATACCATTCCAATTCAACAACCCAATTATTTGATTAATCCACAAGTGGTTCAACAAATGCTACCCTCAGAATCGAACGAGTTAATAAATCAGCATCAAAATGTACCTGCACAAAATGGTAAAGAAGACTCTACTGACAAATTGTCAAAAGTGTCATCAGTGTTAGGCAAAAATCAAGCCAAAAAACGATTGATGGCATTTTCAATGATGAAACAAAAGTTACAAGAACAAAACAATTCAACCAACGACTATCAAAATTTAGATGTTGGCGAAGGAAACGACGTAGAATTTGTTCCAGAACTAAATGTATTTCAAACAGTTGCAAAGAAAAAAGTTGTTACTAATAAAAAAGGTAATGTTTTTAAGAATTTGTAAACATTATTAATATTTATTTTATATTTTTATTTACATATTTAAGATAATTATTTGTCTATATTTTGTTTCTTTATGTTATAGAAAAATACATAATAAATTAAATTATTGATTTACTATTTATATAGGTTTATTGTGATTGATTTTTGCATTAACATTCATCTACTCAGATAATATAAATAGTAATTGTCAAATTTTAATTTATTGATTTGTGTCTTTGAAATTATATTTTTAAATTAATTTATTCAATTGGATTTTTTTTAGTGGCTAAAGTTATCAAGGCTCAACAAACCATTGAACAAATAGAAGAAATGAAAAAAGACGAACTGTTACAAGGAAATAATGCTGCATTATACCAACAACTTTTACGAAATGGTGGTAAATATAGTTTTTTTTTATTTAATATTTTAAATATAATAATATATTTTATTATTATAATAATATTATTATTATACAGAGGTGGCCAAAAGTCGCGCAAAGCTTACTGTTTTGTATGGAACGTGCGTTACAAATTTGTTGTGCGACTTTTGGCCACCTGTGTATATTACTTTATTCAAATTAAAAATGTATGTAACTATATATATTTTGATTAATTGGTCAATTTTTTAATGGTTACTCCATTAAAACCTATTTACCTATGTACCTATTTTGATTAAGAAAACTTAATATTTTATAGAAATTAATGTTCGGTTTTAATTTTTATTTCTAAATAGTAATATAATAAATATTTTTTCTTTTTTTTATTTGATGAAATATTAACATAAAGTATTATATCTCGACAATCATTCTTATAAATTCCACAAATATTTAAATTTTCAAACTAGCTTAAAGAACAAAACTGATTAATTGTTTGATTAATACTTCATTACTAGAGGAAAGAGAATAAGATAATAAATATTTATTAACATCAATAATAAAACATGATAATTAAAAACTATTTACCATACAAAGCTTATGTATCTAGCTTATTTTTTTATTGTGATCTTTAATAAATTTAGTTTTCTATACTTTATATTTCTGATTTCTGAAACTTTGTACAATAATACATTGACATCATGTCTAAAAGTTTCAAGTTATTTTAGATTCTGAGTGTAGTGAGGAATATATTAGTTTTACCATGATTTGTGCTTTAATTTTAGCCATAATTTATTAATAGAAAGGGGTTTATGGGTTGTAACCTTAAACTTTTCTATAGCTAAAAAAAAAAAAAGTAATGCTGAGGTTAAAACACTCCTGATTATGCTACTGATAATAAACTATGATTAATTGTCTTACTAAGTTTGTAGTCCTGGGAAATTTTCACCCACATTACTTATGTCTATTTTATAATTATAATAATTCAATTAAAACCAAGATGGACATACTTCACACGCTGGGTGGGGGGGGGTCACTGTTATAGGTGGGAAGTTGGGAAGGTAGGATATAGAGGGATTTAATGTTAATCTGTACTCAACGACTAATCTTTGGTAACAAAAATTGATTTTGATCAGAGTTTGATTATACATGTTTAAAAGGTAGTATATTTACGATTTTCATCAAAGTTTGATATTTAAATTCTTATAGTAAGAAAAAAATATTATTAATAATATTAAATTCAACTTTTTCTTGTGGACCACTAAGTACAACTTATAATGAACGTTCTGTTAAATTATCAAGCATATTTTTGCTTGATCTTACAATTATATGTATTATGTATTTTTACCTACTGAATAAATATTAAGTAAAAATGTGTAAAATTAAAATGTCTTAAAAATCGCTCAAATGTTTGAACATTTTATAAATGACATGTATAAGGTTTCTGTAAACATTTCAAGTCTCTACAAATATTTTTCACTGAATTACAACAACAAAAAAAAAAAAAAAAACTGAATATAATAAAAACATTATTTTTATACATTTTCCTATTTTTTCCCTATAAAAAAAAAATTACTTCCCTTAAGTATCACCCCAGGAAAATTCTCTTTCAGGAAAAATGTTACACTTGAAAATTGGAGCGAAATTTCTGGTAGAAAAGTTGTTTACAAAAAAAAAAAGCTGTAATATTTACAATTTTCAAATGATAAATTTCGTACATTTACCCATTTTTCCAATTTATAAATTCCCTAAAGTACCACCCCAGGAAAATTCCCTTTCAGAATAACTGCTATACTTGATATTTCGGAGCAAGATTTCTGGTAGAATTTTTGTACACAATATAAAAAAATAAACATCATTGTAAAATTAATACGTTCCTTCGCTCAAAATCTAAAATAGTTAGTAGGTCGACAATTAATGAATTATTTAAATTTAAATTTTTATATTTTTTTCACATTGGACTTTGATAATGAAAAACTTATTATTGAATCAGTTTTATAAAATGTGTTATTAATTAACGATTAAATATTAAATTAAATAAATATAAATTAATAAATCCTTTCATAACTCAGACTCCAAGCACATTACAATGGTCATCAAATTGAATTGTTATTAATTTATATAAAAATATTGTTAGGTTAGGTTGACCACATAGAGTGACTAAGTTATCATAATATTCTATGGTTGACTAAAACGATTTATCAAATCATATATATTATGTAAAAGCGTGTGTTTGAATTTTTAGTGAATGTCCTCAACCCAGTTAAAATGCGAATAAAAAAATAATAAATTTAGTAATAAATTAATAAGAATTTGGTCATATCAACCATTAATGACAACCATGACATACGAATCATGTAATGTGTGCGAATCTATTGAAAAAAACATTTAATCATAAAGTTTAAACATCAACCATTCCAACTACTGTAAAAATTGAACATGTCCGATCACTTGTGGAATTTTTTGTGTGTATACCCATTTAAATTTCTGTTAAACTTTGATGTGATTAATATGCTTAATGTGTACTTATGTTATTTAGACTCTATTAGCCATTTAAAATTTACTCCAATTATTCGCTTACCCCATTTGACCTTACCAGATTTGTCTGGTAACTTATTGGGAGATTTTTTGGTGTCCTAGTTTCACCCAGAGTCGTGGTCATTTTGGAAAACTATTGGGTTTTAGACACATTTTAGAGCAACTGACGTATGAATATGTGATACTGTTCAAAAACTGTTTATTTACTTTTTCTTCCTATAAAATGTAGACTTACTGATAGCTGATCGCAATTCACGATCAGTAAAATAAGTATATAAGTACCCAACTTTCTATATGTATAATTTTCAATAGCTCAAACAATTTTAAACATACATAAACAAAAATTAATAATTATTTTTATATATAAGTAAATATCATAAAACGAGATAAAATTTAAAGAGTTATTTGATTTATGTGTAAATAATAACAATGGGTGTGAATTATTGAATTCATTTTTCTTGTAACTTATTTTTTTTGTTTTGTTTTCAAAAATTAAAGCTAGAATTAGAGCTGACTGAGTGACTATAGGCTGTTTTGTGGATTTATCAGATTTATTTACTAACCACTTAAAATCCATTTTAAAATAAGTACAATGCGTCTTAAATATGGAATGTGTTGCTTATTAACTTCTCTTATGTTATGTGCGTTCTAATACTAAGAACGAGTAACGTATAACTATAAGTTAGTTGATGATGGAAACTCAGACTCGGTAGATAAACCTTTCTCGGATATTTGGATTATCAGCAGTTGGTTAAATATTGTCTATTGATGTATAATTTTATTTTACATATGTGAGCGATGGGTTAACATCAAAGATTTCAAAATATAATATTGTAATATTAGTTAATAAAAACGTATTTTACGTTTTTCAAATTCTGAGTTACTTACTATGTTTTGTGTTTTTTCTTTTTGTGGGTTAATCATTTTTTTGTTAGAATCTTCCTTCGACCAAAAACCTGACAAGATATCTTTTTTGTTGTATTTTGGACCTTGTTGGTGTTTTTGGTAATTTTTTGATTTTGTTAAAAAATCAAAATTATTGAGTAAATGTATAGGTAAAATTAATAAATTTATGGTGATGACCATTTCATTATTTTAAATTAGTTTGATTTTAGTTTCTACCTGTAATCTTGTACTAAAGTTCATGTTCTTATAGCATTTTTTCTTAAAGAAGATTTTGTTTTGCTAGTTTTTAAGTAAGTTGTTTTTGATTTTCTGTGTAGTTTTCTTCATAATTAGAAAAAACATAGGAAAACTGGGAAATTTTAAAACTGTTTTGTTATTTTCTATTTGTTTTTCTCTTTTTTGTTGTAATTTGGTTAAAAACATTCATAAATATCTGAAATTTGTATTGAATATTTGTATTAGTTTTTCTTAGATGTTGCCAAATTTTCTATACATTTTAGAGTTGTTTATTTGTAATTTTGATTAATTACATTTTATTCTATCAATATTTATACAAAATTAATGAAAGAAAAAGAAAATGATAATTTAAAATGTGGAGAAATTATCTAAAATACTTTTCACATGCTATTTGAATTATTTGTATACAATTTGAATAAATTATTAGGGAATTCAGTTTGTTTCTTGTTTATAGTTTGTGGTGTCATTTTGTAAAAATGTGTCACAATTATATTTATAAAGAATTAAGATATCAGAGTATTAAAGTTTCAACATTAATTTTGTATTCCTTGAATGTTAGGTGTTTAACACATTGAACATTATACATTTCACAATATGAAGAAGAAGATAAATACATATTTTGTGATATGTTACACAAATATTTCAAGTAGAGATTATTTTGTTTGTGCTTTCGATTTCCAAACATACTCCATTGGTAGTTTGTAGATGTCTGTTTTATGGAAATCTTACAGTCCTCAGTAGTAAATTAAATTAACTGTTATGTGTTATTTATCATTTATTTGATATTTTTTTTAAATTATTATTTTAGGTAATGAAGCTCCTATTCTCCAGAAACTTGGTATTGAATCATTAGCAGAAAAATATTCAGCGAAGATACGAGAACAGGACAAGAGATTGCAGAGGCATCACCATCACAGACGTCGAGATAATGCTAGAAGAGGACACAAATATCGCCGTCATTCTCATTCGAAATCCAGGTTATTATTTGCCCAATTTTCTCTCCTAAGCACTAAGCACTAAGACTTTACTAAATCCGATGATAAATATTTAGCGCAAAAGTTATCCACAGAAAACAAAGTCCCGGGGCGTCAGCATTGCTGCAATATTACTCTATAAACTTTAGTGAAGGAAGCGCTGAGCACTTTTTGTACCTATTTGATATTTACATTATCATTTAAATAGAGGTATATTAATTACCCGAAATTATTGCAACTTAAAATTCACGTTGTCGTGGCTTTTTTTTTTCTTTTAGGTCTAGGTCCAAGTCAGCAGAGAAGCCTAAAATGCGAGCATTGGAAGTAAAGAATTGGAAAGATTTCATTAATGGTGGATTTCAGTTTGGCAAGTTTCGCAGATTCAAAATTGATGAAACTGAAGAAATGAAAGGAAAAGAGCGAAAAAAATCAAGAACAAAGAAAAGACATGGCGTTTCTCGATCAGATGGAAAGAACCAAAACACTGAATCTCTCATGTGAGTTTCCATATTATTTTTATCTCATGACAGTATATTTTTTATTTTTCTCTCAAATTTTCAATATAAGTAAAATAGAATTTGAGTTATAAATATATAATTTGGCATATTTACAATCCATAATTTGTAGCATGGAGAAGGGATTTTAATATATCTGTGGTATCGAAAATTAAGTGGGTGGGTGTAGTTTGATAAGAAGAACCTTTACAGTAATTAATATCAATACATGGATTATCACTATTTAGCATAGACCTTATACTAATAGACGAGCTTTTTGTATATTGCAGCCAAACATAAGACTAAGATGCAATAAAACTTGAAATTAGAATTACTATTTGAAGAAAGTAATATAATAGTATGTTATCAAGAATTTTGTTAACAACAAAATAGTTAACTATTATTATTGGTTTTTGTATAATTATTGTGGTTTAGTTAATTAGTTAATTATTTAGTTTACCCCAGTTAAAAAACTTGTGTTTTTAAACAAAGATATTCCGGGTACCCATCAAATACTTAATGGCTAGATACTCTATAAGTTTCAATTACTGAAACAACTTTTTTTATAACACAGTTGTTACCCATTTTTTTAAATCTGGCATTTTTATAACTAAAAATAATTTAAGATATTGTTAATAATAATTAAAAATAATATGTACTTATATGATGTAGGATAATTTATTATACGCTCTATTAAATTATGTGATAAGAACACCTTAATTTTATAGTTAAAGGGATCTGTGCAATAATGAGATAATTCCATTTTTATAGCTTTTCAGGAGAAAATTTGTATTTATAAAAAATTAATTTTAAAGTCTATTTAGATACATTAGACCATGATAAAAAAGATTTTGTAGTATTTGATTTGATTTTCATAATTACTTTGAGATGAGATTTAATATTAACCTACATTTTATGGAGTTTTCTGGTTTGTTGCCTGGTAATTAATAATGCATATTTTAATACTAAAAAACATTATTATTGATTAAAATTTCATGAAATTTATTTTATTTATTGATGTATAATATTATGAATCATTTTTCAGAAAAAAAAAAACAATTATACTTAAAATATTTAACTTTATATACAAAATACCTATTACCTACATATTTTACATTATCATTTATTATTATTGTGTAATAGGTATTTGATAAGAGTAAAACTGATTAATTATTGACTGTACATAAAACACATAATAATATTGTACCATTTTCAGTGTTGAAAACATTTCCGAGCATAAACCAGATAACTAACAGACAACTTCTTTTTCATTATCTTCTATACAGGTGGTGTGATTTACTTCGTTCTTATACAAATATATTCGTAATTTTAATCCGCTAAAACCCCATTTTTGAAAAAAATAGAGTTGTCTCGTAATTATACGACGCCCTTAAATTGTGCATTAGATACTTAGTCATTAAGAACCGTTTTCTATTCTATTTAGTCAACTATCAAGTATTGTGTAAATAAATGTGTATATCATTTTTCATGAGAAAACCATGGATATCAATATTATTAATCATTTAACATATTTTAATAGAATCAATTTTTTCAAATATCAAATTTTAGCAACACAATTGGTTATATATTGTGTATCGTTGTCAATAAATGTTTGTCATGCCAGTTTGTTACCTAAACAATCTGTATTGACTTAATCATAAGTGCATTTATGGTTATATTAATAAGATTGGGTGTTGCTAGAGTATCGTCAAGTGAAAATGATTTTATTATTGAGATTCTTACTATGTTTTTAGGTTTGAAATAAATATTATTAAAATCGAATAAAAACAAATAACATTAAATTGTTCAAATTGTAATATTTTTATATCAGGGTTGGAACGGAACACAGTATAAATATTGTATAAAACATATATTATACGCATGTTATGTATAAATCACAAAGTCTAAAACTACTTTGTTTTCTATGTTTTATACCGTGTACATTTGTATTATGGCTGTACTGAACAGCAGCTATCAAATATAATTTATTATATTAATTGTTAATACATTTATTTTCACATTAGTATTTTAAAAATTTAAACAATGACAAAAATAAACATTTGTTATATTTTAATTTTACATTAAAATGAATTCACAAAGATAGATTTGATTTGTATTAATTATTTAATTAATTTATGTTTTGGCTTTGATGTGTAACTGAGACAGTATTATTTTTAAAGTGTGTTTATTTACTCCTTTTTTATTTAGGTTTTGATACTTATACAATATTATGTATAGGTATATATTACAATACATAAAAAAGTTATCCAAAATGTTGATTGATATTGGTTAAAGAGATGCAAATTTTTCATTCGGTAGTACTAAAACTTAATTTGAAAATAATTCGTAAATTCCTAACAGTTTCTATGAAATAAAAATAAAAATTTCGAAATATTGTTTATATTTTTGTTGATTTATAGATTACCTTGAATATAGAGCAAAAAAAAAAAAACTAGAAGTGTTTTTTTCACTTGAAATGATTTATTGTTGCATACTATATAATTTAAAGTAAATTACTTTTATCCTATTTTCCTGAATTACCCTATCTGTTACAGTGGCTTCTCCATGGGCATTATTAATTTTTTATTTTAAGTTTTTGATTATTTTGATATTCATTGATATTGGAATTAATTAAGAATTCTATGCAAAATTAATATCATTAACTATTTCAACTGAAATTCTATACATATCAAAATACTCTTACTGATCATACGCTCAGCTGTGCTTGAAATTTCAAATACAAATGTTTAATTACTAATTAGTATTTTGAATTATGTGCATTCCAATTAATATCTGCAGGGTTGAAGCCTTATATTTTATTTGTTTTTAATACTTCACCAGGTGTAAAACCAAATTAAATATATTCATAAAATAAATATTGTATGTATCTCTGTAGATATATTTTAATTTAAAAATTAAAAGAAGTAAACTTTTTGTACAGAACATAGGTATTAAATTATTATTCATTTTTAAATTTATGGTTTTTTTTTAACACATTGTCATTGACTAACATGCAATATAAGATTTAATACTCACTAAATACTGGGGTCTAGTTTCTAATTAACAGTTTTAAGTTTGTATTTTATTTAAAAATTTACATTGCACGGAGAATAGTGCTAAAATGTATAAAAAAAAGTAAAAATATAAAAAAAACCACCCAAGTTTCATTGGAAAATTAGAGTATCCTATAAAATGTTTAATATATTTATTCTGAATTAAAAAAAAACCAGTTAGTGTTAATTAAATAGGTACTAGTTTATTAGATATTTTAAAGATTGAAATATTTATTTTTATTTTTTTTTACTTTTGTAGATCAACCGAAACAGAAAAAGAAAATTCTGATCAGAAATCTTGTTTCAACATATTAGAACGCAAAAAAGAAATCCTGAAGAGTTTTGAGGTGATATCACTAGATGGAGAATGTACTAAGGATTTTCCAAATTCTATCATTCGGCATACTAAAACAAAACCATTTTTAAAGTATAGTGAAAATCCTTCTAAAGCTACATGTCATCTACAAAATAGACAACAAATGTTAGCCACACTTCTGCCAGAAATTGAAACAATTGTTATTAATTTTTTATCATCAATTAAACCAAAAAAGTAAGAATTTTAAATATAACACAAATAATTGGTAATACATTTAAAAATATAGCTAATATATTATTGATAATGATAGAAAATATAAATATATTTTGAAATTATTAGGTAGTTTGTCATAAATAATTATTTATTTAACTTCTAAATATGTATTAAAATAAGTAAATAACAAATGAATAATTCATAGGTATTAATTATTTTTACCTATTTTTTGTTCTAGGATAAAAGAAAATTTTATTGAAGATGATGTTAATAGTATTGATGATAAACTCCTAGCTATGATGAAAGATACAAATATTTATCCATTTAAAGGATGGTGGCCAAAAACATGTTTTATTGTTACTCAAGTAAAAGAAGACCCAAATGTTGAAGTAGATAAAGACGCATTAATTATTACTACAAGTAAACGAACTAAAAAATCTAGATTTAATAATGATGATGATACATCTTTGGTTGATTTGAGACCTACTGTTCCATCAAAATGGGATAGTGATTATGATGGCAGTCCAGTTGCTGATAAAGTAGTAGAAGTTACTGAAGTTCCTCAAAATTTAGAAATTATTAATGATAACGTAAGTATGGTTATTACAGAAGAGGACAATCTTCCAGTTGTCATTCATCAAGAAGAAGCAATGGACACCACATTTGATATTGGTAAGGATGAATTGAAAATTGACGTTGGTGTTAATCAAGTTATACCTATATTATCTCACCAATCACAAGATGTTTCTAAATTAAATAATGAATATGTAGAGTTTTTGAAAATTGTTGGTGTTGACAAAATAGATGAAAATATTAAAAATGACATGTCTAATACTAGTGCTAGCACTGTAGTTGAAATGGAGAATGAAAACAATTTATCAATAAAATCAAATTTGTTGCAAGATGAATCTGCGCATGACGAGTCTGTACAGGGTGATTCTGTTCAAGACGAATCTGTACAAGATGAGTCTGAAGAGGATACATCAAATAAAACTTCAGATGAATCTGTTTCATTGCATAATGTGTCTCAAAGAACAATTGATATACCATTTGCTGAACATTTATCTTCTGATAAAAAACTTAAAAAAAAAAAAAAATCTCTTCATAAAAAATCAAAAAAAATGAAGAAAAAAGGAAACAAAAAAAAGAGACGTAGTAAATCTAGTTCCAGTGAAAGCTCGCAAGATTCTGAATCAGAAAGTGACAGTAGCTCAGAAAATAGTATGTCTGATACATCTAATTCAAGTTCTATTGTAGAAAAAAAGAAGAAGAAAAAGAAGTCTAAAGATAAAAAAAAAAGGAAAGATAAAACTAATTACAAGAAAAAACACAAGAGTGATAAAAATAAGAAATTCGAAAATGAAAAAGATAGTAATAGCACTATTATAAATTTACTTGAAAAAGCATTAAATGTTGAGATAAAGAAAAGACCACTTTCAGATAGTGAGGGATCTAGACAAAAGAAAAAGAAGCGAAAACACAACAAAAAGGATGATAAATCAAATGAAAATAATGAAGATAATTTAGACATAGTTAAAGAATGTTTGAAAGAAACATTTACAAAGTTAGTAAAAAATGATAACGATCAGCCATGTAACGAAACCACAGTTAATAAAGTTTTAAAATATTTCAACATGGATAAAGAAAAAGAAAAGAAAAATAAGAAATCAAAGAAAAGTTCAAAACGAAAATACGATTCAGATATATCTGAACACAATAAAATATCTAAAAAATCTAAATTAGATAATAGTTTGAAATTTGAAAACATTGAAAAGAAAAAGAAAAGTAGTAAAAAGAAAAAAATGTCAGAGAAAAAATCTTTGAGTAATAATAGTGTATCAAAAAAAAAGACAAAAAAGAAGTTAAAGCTGACTACTGATACTTCTGAGACTGAAGATGGAGAAGAATCAAAACATAAGAAACCACAAAGTGAAGAAATTGAGAATTTTTTTGGACAGCGACCCAATGAGTGGAACGTGAATAATAGTTCCATGAGGGGAGTCGTCCATCACTCGGATACAAAAAAAAATGATAAATCACCTAAAAAAAGTCAGTTAGATGAAAATTCATGTTCTTCAAAAGGCAACAAAAATAAAAAAGATGAAAATTCTAAAAAAAGTAAAAATCTTTTGTTACTAGATAAATTCGAAACGGGTAGTAAACAAGAAAATATGGGAAAAGCTTTGGAAACACATGATGATAGCAATGTTTTTGATAATAAATCAAAAAATGTTATTGGCAAAATAAAAAAAAATACTGATTTGGAGGACAATGAGAAAAATATATCTTATACCATATCTGAGCAGTGTGATAAATATATATTGAAACACAGAGATGATCTTCCACGAACAATGTTATTATCAACAAATAATGATTATATTGAGGAGGCAGATCGAAGTAAAGATCCTAACAATATTACAAAACCGATGATAAGCAAATCACTTGATCAAAATGGTAAAAAAGAATTAGATGATGAAGAGGTTAAAATATCTAAAACCATATCTGATCAGTGTGATAAAAATATGTTGAAACATAGAGATAATCTTCCACAAACAATGTTATTATTTACAAATAATGATTATAATGAACAGAAAGATTGTAATAAAGATCTTAACAATTTTACAAAACCCACTGTAAGCAAACCACTGGATTTAAATGATAAAAAAGAATTAGATAAAGAAAAAGTTAAAATATCTAATACGATATCTGATCAATGTGATAAAAATATGTTGAAAAATAGAGATGATCTTCCACAAACAATTTTATTATCAACAAATAATGATTATAATGAACAAAAAGATCAAAATAAAGATCCTAGCAATTTTACAAAACCGATTGTAAGCAAACTATTAGATCTAAATGGTAAAAATGAATTAGATGATGAAGAGGTTAAAATATCTAATACCATATCTGATCAGTGTGATAAAAATATGTTGAAACATAGAGATGGTCTTCCACAAACAATGTTATTATCAACAAATAATGATTATAATGAACAGAAAAATCAAAATAAAGATCCTAGCAATTTTACAAAACCGAATGTAAGCAAACCATTGGATTTAAATGATACACCTCCTTTAACTACATCCGTTAAACCATTAATTTCTTCTGGAGAAAGTATGTCTTATCGGGAGAAAGTGAAACTGAATTTAAAAAAATTATCAACTTGCCAATATAATATACCACTTGTATTTGGATTTGCTTCACCACTTAATTTAATAGAATCAAAACAATTAGAATTTGAAGAAATTAATAAATCACCTAAAGCTTTCAAAGAAGAAGTAGCTGATGATTCAAAAAGTTTAAACTTTGTTGATAGTCCAACAATTCTACCTGAGCAAAGTCAAAGTAAAAAACCTAATGAAGCCAAAATATCAACACCTAAAATTGATATGGAAGCAAATAATGAACTAGTTATGCAAAACTTAAATCGTGTTTACTCTGACACATATAATAAACAATCATCTACAAGTGCCAATATAGAAAATGCAGAGGAAAATGAACAAATTGAATCTAATTTATTGGAACATGACTCGTTAGATTTAAATGATGTATATAAAACATCAAATGATTGTGAATTAAAAGGACTGGAACATACACTAGATACAACAGAATCAAGTAGTAGTTCAGATGAAGAAAATAACAAAGAATTTTGCCCAGGCTTTGAAAATACTATTGCTGGTCCAGAAATAACTACTTCAGCAGATTTATCTAATTTGAGCAAACCTGAACAAAATTTTGATGAGTCATTAAACTCTGTGCAATGTCATAATAAGTTTAATGAGGTGTCAAATATTAATAATAAATTAGTTATGATGTCTCCGTCCTTGGAGGTAAACGGTTCTGATTGCTTACACAATTCTAGTATCGATCTAGAAAATCCACAAATTGATAATGAATTAATCACTCAATGGATGTCAGATTGGAGCATGGTAGTCAACGCGCCTGTGGAAATCAATAACTCAAATAATTTTAGATTAGATAATCCTACTATTGATTTACAAAAAGGAAAGAAATCTCGTTGGGATGAACCACCTATTTATGAACAAGTAAACTATAATGAGACAATAAGCAGCAGTTATACAACTAAAGATTTTGATAATGAATATCGTTCATCTATTATTGATAACTTAGAAGAACAAAATTGTACAAGTCAATCACCACTTATTAATGAACCATCTAATTACAACCAAGAAAAACACAACCAGAATTTAAGCAATAGTTATACAACTAAAGATTTAAATAATGAAAATCTTTCATCTAATATTGATAATATTGATGACGACTATTGTAAAAGTCAATCAGAACTAATTAATGAATCACCTAATTATGAACAAGAAAAATATAACAATACTATAAGCAGCAGTTATACAACTAAAGTTTATAATAATGAAAATTGTTCATCTAATGTTGGTACTTATGAAGAAGAACCAAATTTTACAAATCAATCACCACTAATTAATGAACCACCTAATTATGAACAAGAAAAATATAACAATACTTTGAACAGTAGTTATACAACTAAAGTTTATAATAACGAAAATCTTTCATCTAATGTTGATAATTTTAATGAAGAATATTTTATAAGTCAATTACCACTAACTAATGAACCATCTAATTATGAACATGAAAAATTTAATGATACTATAAGTAACAGTTATACAACTAAAGGTTTTAATAATGAACATACTTTATCTAATGTTGATAATTTTGAAGAACAACATTTTATAAGTCAATTACCACTAATTAATGAACCATCTATTTATGAACATGAAAAATATAATGATACTATAAGCAGCAGTTATACAACTAAAGGTTTTAATAATGAACATACTTTATCTAATGTTGATAATTTTGAACAACAACATTTTATAAGTCAATCGTCACTAATTAATTGTGTTACCGATGTCACAGAATATAATTATTCAGATAATTGGGGTAGTGAATATGTAGATCACACACAACCATATCATGAATATTCCTGTCCACCTCCGTATTCTGAAATACAAACTATTGAGCATGACCGTGGAAGTTTTGTTGATTATAATATGTATGAAAATTTTGATCCAAGTTATGATTTCTATAATGAAAATGATAAAACGTGGGAATCAATAGATACAATAGTTCATCCGATAATAGGGGAAACATCAACAATGCAACAAGTGAGTTATGATTACAACTTTATCATGTTTATTTGGATATTTGGAATAAAAATTCTCCGAGGACAAAAAATGTGATAATAAAATCCTTTACCCTTATTTTTTTTCTGTTCAATCAGCTTTTTATATTAAGCATACTTTAATATTGATAACAGCTAAGTTGGCTATTTCAAATAAGTTTAGGTGTAGGAAATTTTCTTCATTCATATATACTACATGGTGTAGTCACCATGTGATTCAAAATGACAAAATGTATGCATACGAATATTTGAAATAAAGAAGAATTTGTAGTACGAAAGTATTTTGATTTATAAACATTTTTATATTAATAATTTTTTTCTTCTATTTTTACAGTTTTTTAAGGGGGGTTTTGGTATTAACTTTTGAAACAAATAAGAACTTAATTTTTTTACTAACATACTATGAAGATATTTATTATAAAGTATAGTACTCATTTGAATTTCAAAAGTTGACCCCTTAAAGGTTGTAAAAAAAAAAAAAACTAACTGATATACCTACTTAGCACAATAGGCCACTGTTATAGGTTGGGAGTTGGGAAAGAAGAGGGTAAATTTAATGTATATCTGTGTACAACGATTAATCATTACTAATAAAAAACATAATTCTGAGTAGTTGTACATGTTTTGAAATGCCGTAATATTAACAATTTGAAAATAAAACATTTTGTAAATTTTCCTTTTTTTCCTGGTTTTTCTCATTTATTATAAAAACTCTTTGGAAAATCCTAAAATGACTTCCTTAAAACACCACCTTTGTCAAATTTCCTTTTAAAAAAGGTGCTATACTTGAAAATCTGAGCAAAGTTTTTAGTAAAAAGTTGTTCATAGAAATAAAAAAATCAAAATCAAAATGAACATAATTGTAAAACCAATACATTCCTTGCTCTGATTGGAATTTAAAAAATAAACAAATAATTTTAGATGTTTACAAATCAAAATACTTTTGTATTATATACTTTTTTCTTATATTTTGAATATTTGTTTGGTAAAATGACTCTAATATACATTTTGAATCATCCTTTAAACAAATATATTAACGTATGGTTAATACTAAGCTACAAAATTGTTTAAAACATATTGTATAAAATTAGTTTAGTCTTTTCTCAAATTCTCATATTTACTACATATCATGTATCTATATTATAATATTGATTAGTCTTTAAATAGAATCTTGATATAATCTGTTTATGTGTAATAACTTATATACATGGTTTGGACACTGATAACTTCGGCATAGAATTATTTTTATTTGTCAAATTTATTTATAGTAAAATAAAAGTTCTATGGATTTTCATTCTAGTGAATTTTTTTCTTGGGGAGTTTTTATTCCGAGATTTGTTCACTGATACAAACTATTAATTTATTACTCTTAATTAACTCAATTGTATTTATAATAAGGTTGGTGATGTTTTTGAGATGTCCTCCAATGATATATATAATACTGAAACTGAATTTCCAAAAAATGAAGCTGAGTTTAATGGAAATATTACAACTATTATGCCAACTGAGGTAATATTGGTATTGAAGTATTGTAGTTAATAATTATTATTAATATGTAATATATGATATTTAAAAATTAATGGATATAAAAATCAACTTAACAATAAAAAAATATTGACACTTTTTACTCAGTAATAAATTTCTACATATGATACCAATTAGGATATTTTTTTTAAGCTCGGAGTTATACTTTAGTATCTGATCAACTCTTCTACTATTTATCAAAGGTGACAAAAAACTCATCAAAGGGTTGACAACCTATATTTTGTTTTAACCATTAAAAAGTACAAATGTTGAACTGGAGTATTTTTATAAATACAAGTGGTATTCTATTAAGGAGTTGCTATACCCATATGTGCTGTCTCAATGATACACATGACAAACTGGTCGTGGGAGCCAGTGATTTTTCATATATATGACTATAATAATAGTTACTACCTATGCCTAGTATTTATTTAATACACATTATTTATTATATGATACCCACATACTGAGTGAAAAATCTAAATTATTTTCGTATAGTAATGATTGCAAATTTTACTGTTTTAGGAATCCCTTGTATAGTTTAGAATATTTTGATATGCCAATATAGTTATATAACATCTTTATTGAATGTTAACTATTTATAATACATATTGTAATATTTTTCAAATAAACAAAATTATATGGAAAATAATAAAATAAAGTAACGAGTTAATTAACTTAATATTTTAACTTAATTTTAATTTTAAACTCTTAAATGTAAAAGTAAAATATTCTAATAATAAAACCATTATTAGCACTTGAGTTGGTTATATATGCCCTCACAGCAAATGGCAATTGTAATTGATAATATTATCCGATGCAATTTTTATTATTCTCATAATTTATTATTTTAAATTCATATTTTACATTATTTTTTACATTCTTATTTTTTGTCACCCTTTTCTTAGGGATAGAAGTCGCTAACTACTTTTGGTTTTCAAATGGCAACCTAAGTTAAAAATTCCATAAATAGATTTTGGGGGATAGAGGGACTAGTTGTGTATCATTTGTATGATGGTTAATATTTTTCAAGATTATGAGTATATCTTACGCTATGTTGATCAGTGATCACCTTGTATGGAGTTTGTTGGTAAATTACAATTTTTTTTTTTTTTAATTTTAGTAATTTCGTTGTCAATTTCTATGAGGGGGAGGAGGAATTATAACATATTTACATATAAATGTAGTTCAAATTTACTTTTTTTTTTTAGTTGTTAATCAATTAAAATGAGTTTTAAAATTAAACCTTATTCCTATGGTTTTATTTAGCTTTATAGTTAACTATGTTATTTATCATATTTAAGGATGAATCAGTTGAAGAAGAAAATCCAGAAAGCCCATGTTTAAAAAGTCCTAGTGGACAGTTTTTAAAATTATTTCATCAACATTTTGATCATTACAACCAAAATCCTATTAAATACTCATTAAGTGAACCTATTCTTGACCACGTGGCTGAAATAAATACCATTGTCCCTGAAAAATCACCTATTCAAGAGAATTCTGATTCTAATAACATAGATGATATTCCTATACCTTCACGTGAACGTGCTTACTCGTCTTTAATTCAAGATGATAATACAACTATTTATCTTACTAATGATAATTATCTAGCATATTGTGCTATTGATGATAAATGCATGGTCCACATAGCCGTACATACAAGTAATATCAATGGTATTGATGATGAAGTCAGACATTGTTTCAATGTATATCAAAATGGCAGAACAGTTGAATACTGGTTGCATGCAGATTTAATTCCTTTCGTTGTTCCTCCATCTGATGGTGAATTGGGAGTATTTACCAATGCAGAAGAGGCGACTGTGGAATCTGATTCTTCCCAAGAAGATAATGATGATGATGATGTTAATGATGATATAATTGAAGGTGAATGGAATTTGGTTGAAGCCAAAAACGACTACTGGCTGAATATTCAAGAAATGTACGAAAATGCACGTGTATTCAAAAAATATGGGTATGGTAATAGGGTCGACCAAGCAGTTATTCCAGAGGAGAATTTGTCAAATTCCTCTGATGATGATTCATATGAAAGTGATTGTTCTGATTCAGATGTTCAAACATGTTCAATTGAAAATAAAAATATTGGTGAAAGCACTATTTTAGAATCGCTTATAGTTAAAGACAGTCAAAATATGTCAAATATTGCTGTTGATATAAACACTGCTGGAAACGAACAAATTAAAAATGTTACACCATGTACTGTTGTATCCACGAAAACAGAACATGATGAGAATGTAACATCAACTGATCAGTTAATGTTAAATAAAAATACAAATACAAATGAGAACATCGAAGAGGAGGATTTAAATTTAAAGATAAAAACAGAATACAGTGAAAATATTTTAAACCAGTCTATAAATGAAGAAGACAATGGACAAGAATTAGGTAATATTAGTTTTGGAGCATTTAATACTATTAAGTTTTAACAATATTTAGGTTTTTATTATATGTGGTCAAAATATAATATTTTATCTATTTTATTATATAATATTATATTGTATATAAATTTTGTAGATGTACCATCAAATAAAGAAATACCAGTTGAAGAACTTATGAGGATGAATACCATCGTGAAACAACAAGTATTAAATTAATTAAATTTAATAATAATCCTCATTTTGAGTTTTAAAATAATTTAACAATTTTATATAGTTAATTTAGTTGAAGTTCTAATTGAAGTTTAATCATTGTTTAGATATTAGTTCAGAGTTTAAAAATGCGCTCAAAAGAAAATATTCAGGTGAAATTACCTGATACAGAATTGGTTCAATACAGCGACAATATGGAAGTAGTTAAACATCCATTTTTGGGACTGTTTCAGCCACCTACTTTCAGTATATTATCTAAAGTGCGGTAAGGATTTACAAATTATAATTCACAATTAGTGGTATATTTTTTTTTTAAATTAAAATACTTCAAAGTAAATTTCGTTTCTAATATTTTGCAAATATGGAAAAAGTTTTTAATGATAAATTTTGATTTTTAGAAAATAATATACAATATACTCTATTTTCAAATTAAAGTACTTAATTTGTATTTGCTTAATATCTACAATAATAAAATAATAAGAAATTTAGAAGATATAATCTGTTAACATTGCCCCTTAAAATTGTAATCAATAATATCACAATAATTTTTGTGTCAATACATATATATTGTGATTTGTTTCATGTTTCTAGTATTATTATATTTTAAATACTTTTTTTTTTTATGTGTCTTCTTTAAATATGGAAAAGTAATACTTTTGATGATATGTTTAAGATAAATTGATTAATATATATATTAAAAATTGAGCTGATATCAATCTCAAATTTATTCAAATTAATTGGTAAAAAATTATTTTTGGAATAGGTACTTAGAACTTTTTACTATCCTAAGTGTTTATTCAAGTTTATTCAGTACCTTTATTTAAATTTTAAGTTTAACAAATTTAATATTGAACATAAACTGGTCTTTACTTTCTTATTTTTGTGTTTCACAGTTTTCTATAATCCATAGAAGTATTAGGGTTTGCATTTTTTACTAATATGAAATATATTTCATATTTTTTATGTATTCAAAAAAACCTAAATGTGATATGAATATCCAGGTTACATAGGTAATAAATGTACTAGTATATTATTTGAATATCATAGTAACTATAAAATTAAATTCTATTAATTAAACCACTAATACAAATTATTTTATGTGATATTTCAAGTCAATAAATTAATTGATGGAACAGTAATTTCAGCAAATTTTTTTATTTTGAATCATAATCAGAATTTTTAACAATATCATTAATAACTTAAATGCTAAATGAATAACAATCATAGACACTAGAATAATCAAATGTTAATGCCTCATGGTAATAAAGAATATATTAATATATTATATTATATACTGTGATTAAGGTAACAATTTTTTAATGAACAAATCGCAGATAAAATAAATTCCACTATCTTATTTTTTTTAAAAGAATATATTTCTTGCAACAATTATTTAAAATAAATTTTAAAAATTATAAATAAATTTTAAAAATTATAAATAAATTAGAATAACAAGCTTTACATTCTGATTTTCTTATGATATTGATTTAATTAAAATTAATTATCTGTGCATCTTATAACTATTGTGCCTTAGGAATGGTGACGAAAAGGATGTTTCCAAATTGTCTAAACATGTGACTTTTGCTGACGGGATTCACCCTGGCAACATTCAAGCCACATCTCCAACACACGATAAAGCCAGCCGTTCAATGTCTCCGCCCCCTTTAAAGAAATTGATGCGAGAAACACTGAAATTAAAACATAGCATGTACCCATTAAATAGGTCAAAAATTCGTGTCAAATTAAATATGTTAAAAAAGAAAGTAGCAAAAGTTCTTCCTGTAGTTAAGGATCCTACATCATCATCAGTTATTGAATATTATATCAGACGAAGACGTCTCTCAGATTTGCCTATTGCTGGAACATTCAGTCATACAGTAGAGACTGATAATTCACGAAGAAGTCATAACACTTATGTTAGAAGTAGAAATCGTCATAGAAGTATACTCAGACAACATAGGGCTACTAGAGAAGTAACTCCTGTACCGTCCGAACACGATAGTTGGAGTGACAATGTAATATGAAAAAAAAATAATATTAAAGTTAAGGATAAAAATTGAGTAGGTGTTATATTTGTAAGAAATAATTTTAAAATGATCATCCAAATGTGTATAACATTAAGTTTATATATTATGTATATGTATGTATTTTTATGCAGATATATTATACAATATACTATTAATGTTTTTTTTGACTTCAAATTTTACTTTTACCCAGAACAAATTTATCTATTTTTATCACTCAATTCTGATAAAATAAATTTGTATAAATTATTAAGTTTTTACTGTAGTGTTTAATTATAAAATTATTGTATTGGGAGAGAGATGGCCATAACAACAACGTGCCACAATAGGTGTATAGTTATAAAATTTATTTTTAAAACTAAACAATTGTTAAATTAAAATTTCTGGTATTCTATATGTTTAAGACTTGGTAATGAAAAATATTGAAGTTATACTTTTTTCATTTATGCACATACTAAAAATATTTTTGTTTGTTTTGTGAATTATAAACATTTAATTCAAATACATAATTTATTTCTATGATATATTTCGTGAATTTAAAAAAAAAAAACATCTGAAACAAAAATAGTTTATTTGTATTGCATTAGTTAGTGAACACCAAGTACAAAAATACAAATTTTTTAAGTGATAAACAAAAAAATTATATACATTTTGTAACACCTAGTTGTCCATAGCAAATAACCTCTAATATTGGAATAAATATTTTAAAAAGCAAACTAATTGTACCGTGGTACTTGAATGTAGTTTTTTTTATTAATCTAAAATTAAATTAAATTAAGTTATATTGCTATGGAGAATAAAATTTTTCCTAAAGTAGTACTTAAATACATTGTATTATATTATTATGTTAATTATTTCTAACACAATAAAACTTATATTGAAAATAATGTGATCGTAACTTTATTCCAAAATTTCATGTATTTACATGTTTTTACCGAGTTTGTACCACCAAATTGCTATAAGCTTGAATGACATCCTCCAACTAGTTCAAAAGTGACTTTTTATTTTAACATAATATACATATTTTATTGCATAATTAATCATTTTGTATCACTGTACTAATCATATAAAATATCAAAAATTAGTTTAGTTCTCACTGTTAAATGTAATAAGTTGTTAAATGGGTAAATTGGAATTCCATAAATATTCTTATTATTATTAATTATGACTGAAGAAAAAGCAACAGTAGCTGACCATCAGATAGATAAATTAACATTTATTCATTGGTATTAAGAGTTTATGACGTTATGTATTTCTTTTAAACTAGTGTTCTAAATTTATAAATAATAATAATACAGGTTATCAGCATAACGTAAGACATTATTATAAGTTAGGTTAAGACACATTACCTTGGAAAGTACCTATTAACTTTTTTTCGGAATTTGTTTTATAGAACATTTAAACATAAGTAGCTTTAAAATGTTACATTACTGTTATTTTTTTGTCTTGTTAAGGGTTGAAAGGTGAAACCACTTTCTTCTTTTGATTTTCAAATGGCAACTTTAAAAATTCCATGTATAAATGAAGGTGTAGTTTAAATAAATTAAGCTTGTTGACAAGATATTTCACTTATAAGTCTGGGAAAGAGGAGAATAGTGGAATACTGTGAGTGGTGGAGCGTCGAGTGGGGTTTGAATAGTGTTCCACTACTGTCTAGTGTCTACTCTCCCCTTACAGACAAATTAGCAAACTTACAATTAGGAACAAGATTGCTAAGTACCATAATATAATTTTTTTAAAATCAAGTTAGTATATTTGCATTCATAATAGTTTATATTATAATTTCATATAATTCAATTGATACTGGAGCTCAAGACATTCATATTTCATATATATTTTGAATAATCAACATCGGATTGAGGGATTGAGAGTTGGAGGTGCTGTAAGACCCACCCATATTAGAAAAAGGCTGAAAAATATAAAATACAGATAAATTTAAATATTAAGACACCTATTTAAAATTTGTGAAGAAATTTACTACTAAATAGTATTTGTTTCTTGGGGGCACCTCGTAAAATTAATTTTGTGGAGACCTCTGAGCTCGGGCCCCTTGTCTCCTTGAATCCGGTCTGGCACTGTACACATTGTCATTTGTACATTTAGTGTTTACTAAAACTCAATGATATGAAATCTAAAACTAGAGTTTGTAGCATAGGTGCAACTTGACCACCAACTTTGGGGGTGCTAAAATTATAAACACATCAAAGATCCATGGGGATTTGCCCTCTTCACATACCCCTTTACACGACTTTAACAATAGGCAACTACACATTTCATTTACAATTTTGTGTAAACAATAATTTATCATAACCATTTTAATACACATATGCATTGTCTGTTTAGGATATCTGTATTTTTTTCTGATATCATTAGTTATGAAATACACGGATAAAATAATTATTCGCCGTTATAAAAAAGTTGATTGGGGTTTTTTATTTGAGGGGCGGCTACTAGTTTTTAACCAAGGGGTTGGCACGAAAGACCCTCAAGCACCCCCCCCCTAGTTGCGCCTATGGTTTGTATAGCACAGAAATATTATATGAGCCGTCATAAATATAATTCCATGATAATGACGCCGAGATTTGGTTAGGTAGTTAATGACAATTCGCGTTATCAACAATTTTAATTGTATTTTTATTCGTCGTACAATAAGAAAAAATAATACACATAGTTATAGGTAAATAGATTCAGAGAAGTTCGACAAACGCGGTACAGAGTACGCGAGTATAATAATAATAATAATAATAATAATAATAATAATAATAATAGTAATAATACGTACCTACAATATAATATAGGTATAAACAATCGTACAATAAACATAATATTATAATTTAATAAGTATATTATACAGTATATTTTTTTTTTTTTTTTACATTTAAATATAATTCATCACGAAACATCGTGGCCGGGAGAAGTGATGGCGACGGCGAAAATCGATGGAATACGAACGAAATATAGAGGTACCCCTCATATGCACGTGGAACTGTCTCACGTACAGCATTATGTTCTGTACCGTATGTTGAGCACAAGTACTCAATAATATCTAATTATTAGCGCGAATGTCTGTATTTTACAGAGGCGCGTAAAAGAGGGAGGGAAACGGAACAAACACGTTTAGGCGTGGGCGAACATTTTCGAAAGCCCCCTTTCCCCCGGCTGTCTCTCGTGATTGGTATTTCCTGGTGCTAAAACGGCCAAAACGATTGGGATACCTGTCGGTAAAACTGCGGTGCTTTGTCGTCCGCCACGGCTGTAAATCGCAATCGACGCGCGGAACGCAGTGGGCGACGTTTCGAAAACTTAGAGGAGCGTTCAGAATAGATATGGGTAGGGGTATAAAGGAGGTGGGTGTTCCCTTCGCAAATGCCAAACCCCTGTCCCCGGCGCCCCTATCAAAACGGTATAAATTAAATTTCAATGTACCATTATGCATCGTAATATTTTAAGGGTTGTACAATTGTTTCGTTTAAATCTTACTTTCATCTAGTCTATGTATAGAATCGTTGTGGACGCGAAAAATCCTCCGACGTGCTAACACCCGATTTGTCAGGAGACGCGACAAACGTTTCAATGAAATCAAAAATTGTCAAATGATTGACGAAAATAAATTTTAAAATGGTAAAACCGTAAAAGTATTTGTTCTGAAAAAAACCGAGGTAAAAAAAAAAAAAACCATTAATAATGATATATAGATATTATATTAGTGTATAAATTGTCAATATTTTGTTAGTTAAAATTTTTACCAAAATCATGTAGAAGGTTTTTCAACATCACATTGAATTAGGAAGTTTTCCAATGGGACGTTTTTAATGACATATGATTCACAAACGATTCACCGTAGGTAACACGTGCGAGGTTTTGTGTTTTATTTAGTTTTTCACGGAGATGGCGCATAGGACATATTATCGTATCAAAGCTTATATTTTTCTGAATCCAGGGATACTAAAATCGAAATTTGTACATAGGGGGCTTTTTCACCGGACTGAAAACACCAAACAGTTTTTTTCAAGTAAAGTACCCGTACACTTTTGAAAAGTATTTATGAATACTTTTGTTTTATATATAATATCCCATAGGTAAGTATAGACATGTAAACATTCTGTCTTTTAGGTAGGTATTTCATTTATTTTGATATCATAATTAAACCGCAATCACCTTCAGCTATATTATTATAAAACTGCATTGGGAATTGTTCACCGGCTGTAATTATTGGTTAGTCATTTTTCTTAAACTGTTTAATGGACATTTTTAAGAAAATCCTAAAAAAAAATCGGTACAGTAAATCAAAACAATATTCTACGGTTTTTCGAAAAATAAACTTAACTTTTCTCGACTTATGGGTCATATTAATGTACTGCAGTAAATTTTACTTCTCTTATTTTTTATAGAAAACTAATAAAATTGACAAGTTGATAATATTGAAACTATGTGATTCACACAGCTCTTACAATTCTTTCAAAAAAATGAATTTATACTTGAGTTTTAAATTTATTTTTGGACTATATTTTTTATACGCAACAAAATAATTAAAAAGACGGACATACTTCGCACGACGGGTGGACCACTGTTGTAGATTAGTTGGGAAGGTATAAAAAAACATAGAGGTGAAATTTAATGTATTTCTTGTTACATGTTTTTTCCAATTTATTATGAAAACCCCTGGGAAAGTCAAAAAAATGACCGCCTTAAATGTAGTATCATCCCAGTCAGATTTCCTTCCATAATAAGTGCTACATTCGAAAATCGGGGCAAAATTTCTGGTAGAAAAGTTGTTTACGGAAAAAAAAAAAATGAACATTCTAAAATCAACTCGCCTCGCACAGAATCTAAAAAAAAAAATCAATACGAGCAAGTAGTCGAACTAGAAAACTCGCGAGAAAAAAAAATATAGTAGATAAACGGCCCGTATGTACCCATTACCACACGCCTAAGATTATTTGGTGACGTGTCAATTGACGGATTTAGTATAATTGTGTACCCGAGGATTTCTCGAATACGGGCGCGGATCCGGGATAAGCGTAAAGAAGCCGAGAACGTTGCAGGCTCTTCTTGTCCGCCGGAATTTATACGGATGTACCTAGGTATATACAGAGTGTCCCATACGAAGGTATACCCATTATAATGTCTCCGGAGTCCGGAGATAATAAAAAAAAAATACCTTTATTTCATTATTTTTGAAAATTTCGAAGACGGCCATTTTACGTAGAGTTTATTCCCCTGAAAATGAATGTCGACGTATCGTAACTTTATGTTTTCGTTAAATTCGTGATTTTTGATTATTTTCGTAAAGTTCAGAGAAAAGAAGTGCACACTGTACGGTCAATATTAATCGTAATAATAATCAATTAGAGAATGCGATTGCAGTCTGCTGCATGATTATAGGGACTTTTATTTGAACTTTAAAAAACTATTAAAAATCACGAATTTGATGAAAATAAAAAAGTAGGCACGTCAAAATGTTCGGATGAATAAACTCTGTATAAAGACGACAGTAAAACGCGACAGTTGCCATAATGCGACGGCGAGCGCACGGCCGAACTGGTGCTGTGCCGTCCAGGATGACAGCGATAGTATAGCGGTACGACTGTCACGGCTATCGCGACAGCTACGAACGTAGCGTTCGCAGCGACGCGACCGCGCGGTTTAAAATAAATAATATCGTGTTATACGCACGAGTATATTTATTATAATATTGTATTGTTTTTTTTTTGACCTATAGAAAAAAAATAAAAAAAAAAAAAATATGCGCGCGCAACAACAATTGTCGGAAGTAAAAGATGCCGCGGTACAAATTACGTATTTACGTGTAATATGCGGGTCGGGAGTCGTGGGTGGGGGGGAGGGGAGGGGGACGCGTGGATACGCCGTGATGGTCACGCGAACAGAGGATCAATCGTCTCGGCTGCAGTCTCACGAGTCCCGCCGCGGTCGTCTCCTCCTCAGCTGCAGGCCGTCCGGCTCGCGTCCCGCGGGGCTCGGCGGCGGTCATCACCTG